AACTTACATTTACATTTAACTTGACCTTTGTCAATGCAAAATAAATGGCAACTTAATTCGAATTAGTTTAATTCTGATTTAAATTTTCATTTCGTTTTCTGTAAACCGGCTCCTAAAGGAATTTATCTTGAAACTACGTCAAGTTTGCAATCCGATAATTTACGACCCTGCCTGCTTGCGGTTAGAAGGGTCGGCATCCAGCAGGGGCTGGTTTATTGAGGCGTCATTTTCATTTTGTTCGACTGTACCTAACATTGCGTCCTTATTCTATAAATAGGATAAACAGATGCTAATAATCACTTCTTAGTTGCACACTAGTTACAAAATATAATAAGTAACAATTCTATGCTGTAGTCCTTAGGGATCACGGACAAATTTGACAAGTCCTACAACCTCTCCTGGCAAGTGATCCTTTTCTTGTGGTTTTGAAAGTGTTGTTAATTAATTGTAAGCGTAATAACCTAAAAAAAAGTAAAGAGAACTAACATTTGTATCGATAGACTCGATTTTACTATTGGTATTGATGTTTTAGGAATCACCAACTATAGATAACACAAAATTCCAGAAAAAAATTCGTGTGAATTTTAAAAATATATAGGTTTGTTTTTATTATTAGTTGGTAGTCAGTATCACAATACAATATAAGTGTAAAAAGCACGGGTAAAAAATAGATAACAAGTAATTTAAAATGTGACCCGTCAGTAATCTTCGTATATTGTGTTGCATACCCTCAGACAAAATATATCTTCCATTTGTACAGTTATGGATTTATTTATATTTTATTTATATTATTCTGAGCCGTATAAAAATAGTTTGTTTAACACATTAATGAGGTTCTTGCTAGAAGAACTTTGAAGAAAAAGGATGTATATAAAAAGTTATTTAGCAAAAGATACAAGTAGGTATTATGATGATTGGCAATAAATTTTGTGTAATTTATTGAAATGAGCTCAAAGTTGATGCATTTTATAAATTCTTCTTCAGCTTTAGTTTCAAAATTGTTACTTTTTCAAGTCGTTTCTCAAAAACGATGCACAAAACACTAATTTAATTGCGTTCTTTCTCATCCATGTTTATTTTGTATTTTTGTCAATTTCTTGCTAAAAATTGAAAATATTTAGCAAACCTGCATTACAAAATGCGTCTACCTTTTAACGGGCCCTTTTTCTAACTTCCTGCTTGCGAACTATTCGTTTCCAAATTTCTCAAAACTGCTAGCGGTACCGAATTTGTTCCTTTTTTGGTTTTTCGTCTTAAAATTTTCTTAGACGATTTTTTGTGCTGACGTTTAATGACTTTGTTTTCAAATTAATTCACAAAACCGGAACTGACAATTTCCTTTATTAAAATTACCATGAATGAATTTACTAGTGGTGCCAACGTTAAGACTGTTTGGCATTTCCATTTAAAATGCTCAAGTAAAATTTTCCCATTTTCAACAGTTTCAAATTTAAAATTTGTCTTTATTTAATGGCAAAGTAAAAACGTAATAAAAACACAGGTAAACATCGATAAATAGGGTCTAATTCACGGGGTTCTCCGGATTGTCAATTTACCAAATTAATTTTTTTCCTAATTAAAGTAACTGAAATACAAATTTTCATTAAAATATACAGGTGTCCCAGAGAGTTGAACGGGACTTGGCTGAAGGACTTGCCGAGGAAGAGCGTCGTCGCCAACACGTCTTGGAGTTGATTAACGCAAGATTGGAAGACCCGGCGTTCAAACATTCTTTTAGAAGAGTTTTAGAACGTCAGACTTGTCCTTGTCCTAATCCACCCACATGAAATTACTTGTACAACAAAAGAGATATTACAGAATTATTTGCAAACGAGAGTTTTATTTGTTTTACGTTGCTTAATGTCAGAAACATGATGGGAACTAATTTTAGCCAAGATTCTCATTAAAATATAACGCGGTGACAGTTTAAGTTTATTGACTTAGTAGTTGAAGTACTAGTTGCACAATTTCACTAATAAAAATCAAGACGGAATTGCATAAGGAGCTTGTATGAGATGTTCAATTAGAATGTATTGCACGGTAACCACATTCACTGATTCATTGATTTAACCTCGTTTATTTTTGTAAGAAAACACCCCTGGATTTTGCATAAATCGCCTCAAGTGCGAAAGTCGCTTTATTAGAAGCATCTAGAGCGCTGTGATTACTAAATTAACCTTTTAAAGTTGTGCAAGTTGAGATGTTTTGAATTTATGCAATTGTAACTAGTTTGAAGGTTTTCAGGAATAATTAGTCAATCGTTTGATTTTTAAAAAATAAGAATCGCAGGAGATATGTAGAATGGGAAAAAAATTTGTAACCAAATCACAGTCGTAGAATGGGCAAGAGTGAAAGTATGAGTTGATGGTATTGTTGATCAGTAATAAATAATTACACGTGGTGTGTGCCGGAAGTGAGGCGTGTAAATGGAAAGATATTTTTGCAATTTTAATGGACGGTTATGTTTTATGGGGTTTGTGGCGAGCAAATAATGAGTGTGGTTTCACTTAATAAGTGATAAAAGCTCATTAATTGATTGAAATTTATATACTGGCGACAATACAGTATTGTTAAGATTTTTACTCGTTAAATAATACTAATAGTAAAAGTTTGTTATTAAACAAATATTAAATAAAAAATATAAAGCAAAGAGGATTAGAATTGCAATTTACTTACCTGCTGTTTATTATTATTATCTAATGTAACATCTTGATATCTTTTGTCGACTAAATAATGATTAAGTAAAAATTAATAAACAAGTAATTTGACAAAGTTGCAGAAATCTCTTAAAAATAAAAAAAATCAAAATAATTATTTTTTATACTACTACTATAAAAAAACTATTTGTCGCGTGTCAAACGTTGTGATAATGATAACTAAAACAATGCTTTTCTGCTCACCTTCATTTACTAGTTTCCGGGCAATTACGACAAAATTAAGGCGTTTAAAAATAAGAATGCCAGGAAATAGGAACTAAAATTGTCAACGTTATACTTAATTTCCTTATCTGTTATTTACTCATTAAAGTTGACTTTCTTAAACTTTTTCATATGTTTGAAAGTATTTTCAACAAAAAATCATAAAGAGAGGACAAGACCCTGAAGATTTTTTAATAAGGCTCGGATTATATGCATGACAAATCCGTAAAATATGCATATATGCACGTATTTTGACAAGAATATGCACAAAATATTAAAAAATCAAAGTTGGAATAAATTTGTATTGTATTTTCATCATCTTGAACTGCACACAATGAACGAAAGAGAATAAATAAATTGGGTTTGCCTCAGAAAAGCCTTTTTAATAACGTAGTAATTAAGCCTTTCTAAGAAATCTGTACTTTCCAAATCACACCACTTTAAACAATTTCGCTAAAAAACTAATTGATGAATTAATACTATAGTAATTTTATGTTTACCTCTTTGCGTTATTTGAGTAATTTCTTCGTTGATTCTTACCAAAATGGTTAGTAGTTAACTGATTAGTTAACAATCAAATAATAATTATTGCAATAACCATAATCACACTATGAAAATGTGATGTTTTATTAAGAATAAAATTGTGATGTTTTATTAAGAATAAAATTTTTCGTTTTTTTTTGTGTTTGGGTTCTAAAAAAATTTTTAATATTTTTATCCCACTAAAAAAATATTTTTTGTATACGTTCCCAAAAACAGCTGTTTTAGAGACTTATTTGAGTCCCTAAAATGAGTCTTTTTTGGAAAAATGGTTATTTTAGGTACTTAGTCTCCAAAAATAGTTTTTACGGATTGAAAAATTAAATTGGTTATTATGATGTCAAATTTTTTTTTTGATTAATAAGAGGTGTAAATTCGTGTTTTGGAAGCTTTAACACAAAAATGTTGTTTGTACCTAAAACGTTTTTACGGAGTCATCTGTTATTCCGAAACAGTAACGATTCGTCCTCAAAAACTGTACTTGTAACAAAAATAACTATTTTCTTATGAAAGTTATGTTCTAAGTATTACAACTACATATCTATTTTTTATTAATTTAACAAAAATACATAAATTGCAATTTTGACAAAAAAATCGCATAACTCAAAGCAAAACAAAATTTCGTTTCCAAAATACGATCAAATTTTTAATATTACTTTATTTTACATTAATTATTATTTTCTAGAGGCAAATAATTAAAAAAACGTTTGGTTCCTAACTTTATATTCACCCTGTATAAAACGAATTTAAAAAGAAAACACTCAGCAGGATACTAATTCTTTGAGTCCGGCTTACGAATTACTGGTTGTTTTCTCTTTAACATACCTATTTTGTACTTGAACTGAAATTATTAATCGGAAATTTGTGATTGAAGAAAATATGCACAAATTGCAATATTTTTTAAAATATGCACGAAGTTGCCAAAATATGCATTGTTTAATTGGCTTATTTTATTAAAAAAAACATTAGATACATGCATTATTTTGCATTTTGCATATAATTCGAGCCTTATTTATTAATAATAAATCGAAACGTCGACGTAGCTTCGCTTTAACTATCAGAGGTAAAAGTAATAAAAAAATTACAACAGAAAGAAATGTTTTAATGGGGCGTTGAATAGTAAATCCATAAATTGTGAAAAAAGTAAGATAAAGTATTAAAAAAAAAATAAACAGACGATGAATCCTCTCCGATTTGATTATTTTGGTGGCACTTAATTCCAAATGTGATAATCGTTTTACGATTACGTGTTTTACGTAAGTTTCACACTTTCTGCTCCTGGAAGGTCGCCAAACATTCACTCCTTCAACTTTCCTCTTCTTATCAATATTCAAAGATAGTAACGTTTGGCCCGAACCTTTCAAAAAGAAAGTCCACCAAATGCAACTCCGAAAATTTAAACTGTCTCCAATGAATGGCAGAAGGTTAATTCGGTCATAATTGCCGTCACGCTTCTAAAACTGTGTGTGTTTATGAATGTGATTGTCCACGAGAGAAAGTGATGACCAAGGACGAGTGAAAGTCATGTTTGCTTAAATATATCATCTTGTAAGGATGTGCACCTGATTCTGGCTTGGGCAATATGGTTTTCGCTTTTCGTGAAAGTTCCATTTCGGAATTACCTATTATTACCTTGAAATACCTAAAAATAGAGCAACTTGACTATGTGCTTTTTTTGATAAAGTTACACTGAACCAAAAAATGAGACAAAGCACAACAGATGGTTTATTTAGAACAATCTGCTTGAATGGCAGTTTTATAATTGTTGTCACGTACCAAGTCATGTATGAAGTTGCCTTTATTATATTTATCCCTGTAATCTATGCTTGATACGATGATTAGCCGACAACTATTCAATTAATTGTTATTTCCCAATTAGTCTCTTCCGACCTGACATCTGATATGGCCAAAATAAGTGTCATTCAACTGAGCTTTTTTCTTTTCTTCGTGAAAAATATCTTAACGGAAGAACATTCGGTAAGTTTAAAGTGTAATTTTTACAAAAAAATTATGCAAGATAATAAGTAATTACAAGTAATTACGTTTTACGATACAAAAATTGTAGCTTTTGAAGCTGTTATTTTGAAGAGTCAATGATGAAAATGAAAGCATGTGCCTAATTGCTCCACGAAATAATTTAGAAACGGTTATGAACAACTCTTGAAAAGCAATTTAATTTTATAGTTGCAGTAACAAGAAGTTATATAATGTAGCGTGTAATTACTGAAATTTAATTCCTTTCAATGATGACATTTTGGTTTCTACATTTAAGATTAAATAAACGTAAATTAATAATTTTATGAGGAAAACGAACTTGGCAAATGTATGTTTTCCAGGTGTGTGAGACGACCTACAGCTGGTACAACGGCATACAAGTAGAATGGCCCAGCACCACCTCTTTGGTCTCCTCCAACCCCCCTTGTGTTGGTCAAAACAAAGAATTTTTAACTAGAAGTTGCTTCCACGGCCTGTGGGGCCCCGAACCTGATTGTGACTACATCCAAAAGGGATCAATTCCTGCCTGTCCCGAAAACTTCAAAGAACACGACAACATTTGTTACACATTTAGCCAGAAATCGACTTTTCCACCTCAGTGTCCCTTCACCAACACCATCCCCTTTGATTCTTACATCAACATAATCGAGTTGTCTGATGAACCCATTTGGGTACCAGTCAAGCGTAATTTCACCCATAACGGGCTTGGGTTTCTTCAATGGATTGAAGACAGTTTCTTGTATGGGAAAGAATTTATCCGACCTTTTACCATAGATGGTGGAATAAAAGGGAAGGATTGTGTTGTTTACTTCAACTCGGAGTACTATATGAGTTCTTGTAACGAAAAATATCGTGGGGTTTGTGCGTACTATAAATTGTACCAAATTAGTGGAGAATTGTGTGAGGATGACTCTGGGGCGAGTATTTGTCGCGTGAGCGACTTTGGGGCACAGTCAAAATGTTTTTGTCAAGGGACTGCAGCAATGAATCAGTCACTTTTCCTCAAAGTCGAGTTCATTAAAATTTACCAGAACAAAATTTACGAAACTTTGACTAGCGATGTTTGTGCTATTGGTCTCGAAAGGGTTAATGGGACTTACATTTGGGCTAACTCCAATCAGGAAATTAGTTACACCTTCTGGTCAAAAGAAGTCAATTTTACGAACACTTACGGTGCTATTCGCAGCGACGGGTGGCTTCTAACCCCACAACCATCCCCGTGTTTTCTCTATGAAAAACCATTAGACTTACCTGAACCTAAATTAACTCTCATGTTCAGCGACACTGAAAATAAATTGATTGTAAATATCACTAATCCAAAAAGTCTGAAACCTTTCAGTAATAAGACTTTAGTATATTGTTTCACCGATGCTGGGTACCACCCAATCTATTCCTACGAAATTTTAGAAGTTTGTGAGGAGGAATCTTGTTATTACTTTAGTCCTCATGCCGTCGGTCCTGGAAACTACTGGTGTCACTCTTTCAAATATTTTGACCCAACTCCTGTAACAAGCGAAGTGATTTTCGTCAATCAGAGCCAGTTTGGGCAAGAGTTTGTGGGGATTTTTCTGGAAGAATATGTGAAAGGCACCAATCCTTTAACCAGCAATGCTAGTGATTTTTTTCGTGAATTTTTCATTAACTTAACTCCTCAATACACGACGAGAGTCATGAAAATTATAGACTTGGACGAGGATCTCAACCAAGTCACGGTTAACTTACATTTTACTTATCAAACTAGAAATCTACCTGAAGCACCATCACTGGACGAAGAATTTGTAAGAGTGAGGAACAACATTTCTGAAATTTTGAACCAACAAGGGATCAAAATCGAAATGACTGATTTTCTGAGTGCTACACATTGTCTTCCTGATGGATTTTGGCCCATGACACCAATTGGAAACTCAACTGTTGGTGTTTACTGTTTCAACATTGATGGTATTTTAATTGAGAGGCGCTGTGAGGGTAATTTTATCGATGGTGCTCGTTGGGCCAAAACTGGAGAGTGTGAACCAGCAACTGGCGGTGATTCAGTCACCGAACGTTTGCTTGATTTGCTGTTCGATGATTGTATCAACACTGAAGACCTTGATGAGATAATTAAATGGTTTAAGGAATTTACAAGTTTTGACACTTACCTAACTCTAGAGCTTGCGACTAAATGTTTCGATAAAATTCAAACGGAGAAGTTTGTCGAAATAGTTGATCAGATTTTGGAAGTTGATAGAAGTGTGTTGGTTGATGGGCAGCGCAAAATGAGGCTCATGGACCGGCTTCTGCATGTTATAGACCAAATTGCAATTTCGCACAATCTAAACTCTAGTAATTTCCTCACAGTTAGGGTAAATGGTTCAAATATGTGTGGTTTAGGTTTGTATGTGAATCACTCAGTTGTTGAGCTAAATCCAGACAACACTTTGAATGATATAGTGGAGGATAATGATGTCGAAAGTGCCATTTGGGTGAGTTCCATCTTGTGCAGTAACCAAATTGAGGAAAAACAGTCGGTTATTTTCAAATTCTACTTCAATGATGTTTTTTTTCTTGAGTCGGGCTCTGAAACTAGCACAACTGTTGGGGTTGTCTTCCCAAACGGCAGGACTGGTCACGAAATACGAGTATTTCATCGGTTGGCGTCCCCCTTGATGGTGAAAGAAGATTGTGCTTATTGGAGTTACGATCTAAATCGGCCAAATGGTCGCGGATCGTGGATCAAAACTGGAATGAGTCAAAATGTGTCACTTGCGGTGTTTTGCGACTTTTCATTAAGTGTTGGTTCAATTATGACGTTTATTTCTTCGGAGAGTCCCTCACAGAAGGTTTCTGAAGACTTGGAGGGTATCCTGGAGTCAAATGACACGGCATCTGAGATAATTAGCAAGTTATTAATCATCTCGGAACGCTACGACGAGTTTTCATCCTACGATGTTTACCTTGTGGGGCAAATATTGAGAAAAGTGAACAACAATTCCGACATTAATTTGCAAAATTTGGTCCAAGTTGTGAGCAATTTGCACCGAATCGAGCGCCCGATTTTGTCACAAAGCCAGGATAAGGCAAGATCCACCGATTCCATTCTCCACAATGTCGACACTATCCTCAAAAATCAGAATTTCAACACATCGGTGAATGCAACTTCGGAGAATTTTTTCGTCCTGATTGCGGATTTGCAAGCAACGAATTTCAGTGGTTTGCTCCTCTTGGACACGAACCAAACTCTTGAAACTCGAACTTTGACCGGCGATATTACCACTAGTGATGTCCTCAAATCTGGTGATTTCTCCAGTGCTGTGTTACTAAGCCCGGTTTTGAGGCACCAAATGCAGGGAGCAAAAGTCGTGGTCACCATTTTCTCAAACGATGGTTTGTTTAACGAAAACGGGACGGAGACCAAGACAGTTAGCAAAATTTTCGGAGTGATTCTTCCAGAGGTTGCAAACTTCTCAGACCCGGTGGTGATACTCCATAAAATCAAAAGTAACAACAAGCAATGCGTCCATTGGATGTACAACAACACGCATAACGTTTCCGGTGCGTGGATGGAAGACAACAAGGGGGCAAGTCTTCCAGATTGGAGCCAGTGCGAATTCTGGCACACCACTCACTTTGCGCTGCTTCTACTCGACGAGGATAAATACGATTCTGAGCTTTTGGACTGGATCACGATGGTCAATTGTGCCCTATCCAGTCTTGGTTTGGCATGTTTTATCCTCACAGCTGTGTTTTTCAAGCGCTGGAGGGCCAACACTGGCAACCAAATTCTCCTCAACTTCGTCTTCGCTTTGCTCCTCCAAATTGGGGTTTTCTACGTTTCCAGTGTGATCAGTAAAGACAACCTCCTTTGTACCATCATAGGCATAGTTTTGCACTACTCCATAGTTTCGCAATTCTGCTGGATGTTTGTCATTGCAATCTTGCAATTCAAACGTTTCGTTGAAGTCTTCGGGGGTCCCCCCAAATACATCCTTCTCAAAGCTTGCTTATGTGGATGGGTTTTGCCATGTCTTCCAGTCGCAAGCGTCTATGTTTTAGACCAAAATAATTACGTCAATGGTCACGTGGGACTTTGTTACCCTTCAGGACTAGGACTCTATCTAGGAGTATGGCTCCCAGTCTTGATTGTAGTCGTCATCAATCTTGTCATTTTTCTCTATATAATATACAGTGTGGTCCACAAAAAAACTGAATGTTCGGATGTTGGGAATAGTGTGGCTATGTTTCAATGGAGACTCGCCGTCTTGCTTTTCTTCATGTTGGGTCTCACTTGGTCTTTTGGGTTTTTGTCGGAATTGGATTTTGGACTCGTTTTCGTCTACGTGTTTTGCTTTTCGGCAACGTTGCAAGGGTTCATCATGTTTCTGTTTTTCATCGTTTTCAATTCTAACACCAGATATTTGTACACAAGTGCTTTAAAAAAATGTTGTAATAAAAAGTATTAAAGTTTGGATGTTTTCATTAATCCTTGCTTCCTGCTAGCGACATATGAACCACTGATAAGCCATGAGACTTGTTTGATTATGGAAATTGATATATAAACGTTGGCAGATTTATCATTTGTGATAAACTTTGTATACTTATCTCTTTTCTGTTATTTTTATTTTTGCAAATCTTTATTTATTAATTAATCTTTTATTTTTACTTGCTACTTGCTTGTTTTGGGTTAAAAAGAACTCAAAATAAATCATAAAACTTTTATTTATTAACTTGACATTACATTACTTCAACCAGAAAAATATACAAAAACATAATTCTTTATGACAGAGAAAGCGGCAAATTGTGTTTAGCATCAGATTTGTAATAATCCTATCTAAACACTGATTAGTTTTGTCAACAAAATAAATAAACAATCCCGACAATAGCTTTGGCAAAACGAAAAAGTTTGTCCAATCTGTGTTTTAGTAAATCTGGCCCCACTTCCATTGGATTAGTTATTGATTTTATAGCAATATCTGTTAATAACACCAATATACAAGTACCTGGTATTGACATTGAAAACAATGAAAAAGAGGAATATTGTAAATCCTTGAAGCGTGGCTGTGATGCAGAACAAATATTCAAAGATCAAGCCAAAATCTAATTTTGCAAAAAACCCAAAACACCAAGTCAGTCCCAACATAAAGAAAAGCATCACAGCGAGTCTCCACTGATACAATGCTTCATTGTAACCATTAAAAACAATGTCGGTTTTTTTATGAACCACATTATACAAAGTTACAGTAAAAATAACCGAATTTATCACAATTACTAAAACGACTGGTAACCAAACCCCCAGATACAAGCCTAGCCCTGAAGGGTAGCACAAACCGGCACTACTATTCACATAATTATTTTTATCAGAAATAAAAACGGCCAGGACTGGAAACAAGGGCAAAATCCAGCCACAAACGCAAGCTTTTAGCAAAATGTACTTCGGTGGTCCTTCCAGAACGGTGACAAAGCGTCGAAATTGCAAAATGGCAATGACCAACATCCAGCAAAACTGCGAAATTATGGAGTAGTGCAAGGAAACACCAATGACGGTGCAAAAAATGTAGTTTTTGTGAAACTCATTTACCGAGTTGGAGATGTAAAAAATTGCAATTTGGACGATTATGACGATACTGAAGTTGAGCAAAATTTGGTTCCCTGTGTTCTCGCGCCAACGCTTGAAAATAATCGCTGTGAGGATGATAAAACTGAGGCCGATTAAAGAAATCCCGCAATTGATGCTTGTGATGATACTGAGGACGTTGGGGTCGTCAACAGTGCTTTCGTGCTTGTCTTCGTCGAGGATTAATTGAGCAAAGTGAGTGGTGTGCCAGAAATCACAGCGGGTTAAGTTGTAGGAGTTTCTGATTTTGGTGTCATTTTGCCACGAGCCGGGAATATTGTGTGAATAGTTCCAGAAAACACACTCTTGGTTAATTTCTTTCACTGGTTTGTAGAAGATTGAAACTGGACCGTGAAACTCCTCAAGAAGGGGAAGTATAACTCCGAAAATTTTGCCCACATTGTGATTTGGCGATTTCTCGTTGAAAAGTGCATTACTGACAAAGACAGTGACGATGATTTTTGTGTTTTCCCTAATTTGGTTTTTCAAGTCTGAACTTAGGACAACAGCACTGTCAAAACACTCAAACTTGGCGACTTCATCAATTGAAACATTTCCCTCTAGGATTATTGGTTCTAAAACATCTTCATGGTTTAGTAACGCAAAACCATCAATTTCTTTAGTAAAATGGACAATAAAAATGAAAAAGTTGTCAACAATTATTTGAGTTTTGTCCACAATGGCCTGTTTTTGGAGAATTATGTCAATGTTGGCAAGAATCAAATCAGTGGATTTATCTTTGAGTTGACTGTTTAATAAAATTTTGCGATCGATTTGGTGCAAATTACTGATAGTAAACGCCAATTTCCTTAAATCAATTTCCTCATCGTAGTTAATTTTATCCAAGATTTGCCCAACAATTGAAACATCTATGGGTTTAAACTGCTCATACCTCTCCGAAATGTGGGAAAGCTTGTCCAGGGTTTCGGGCACGGTGTCATTCGAGTCAAGCAAATCGATCAGATCATCAGTCACATTGTTATCATTAAACGAAATCAAACCAAAATTTCCACCTTCGCCAAACTCACATAGTACAAAAGGTGCAACATCCCGGATTTGACCTTTTCTCGCCCAAAATCCCCGACGTGACAATGTGTAAGTCCATTGGCCACAAAAATGGACTTTCTGGTCCGGTTTCACGCGATATAAAACTCTCACAGAATCGTCATTCAAAGTCACACTTTCTGGGTGCAATATCCCAAAAATTGGGCTCGCTTCAAGACCAGGCATCGTTTGCTGGAAGAAAGAATCGTTATCGAAGTACCAAAGCGTGATTTTAACGTCCTGAGGGATTTTTTGCCGAATTTTGGGACTCAACCAAATGGCATATGTAAGGTTTGGGTTTTTTAGCAATTCGGACACGGAATGGTCATCGAAAAGCTTATTAACAACGAACTTATCGCCGTGTTTTTCTACAGCCAGTCCACTCAAAAAAATTGACTCGATCGAGACCAACACAAAATTGTCTAATCCATAAATTTCAAAAGATTCATTACATTCCTGTGAGAACGTTTCAATTAACCATAAAAATTTATCAGTTGTTCCTAGCATACGTTGAGCTTCTCCTAAAATGTATCTATCGATTTTCGCAAGATTGTTTTGTATTTTTGCAAACAGGACAAGATCGTTGGGTGTGATATTGACTTGATTTAAATCATTGAACTTTTCTGCAAATAAATACACATCCACGGATTTAAAGTCTTGATAATGTTTGGAAAGATTGAAGAGTGTGTCGAGAAGTAAGCTTTTGGAAAAATTCGAAATCATTAATAACTGTTTTGTGATGTTTGATGTGGGAAAAATGACACAATCTTTATAATCCAACCATTTGGCACCATCTATGAAATTACCATAGCACAATCGCGTCACGAGTTTACCATCAGTTGTGAAGCAAAATTCTTGAGGATTTGCATTGGAATTGATGGGCGTTTCAGGCCAAGTGAGTGAGTTTGATTCATTTGGGCAAAAATCAGAACTTAGAAAATCGATCAACTCGAATTGTTCTGTCTTAAGATTATTGATAGTTTGTGTCACAACTCGTTTAATAGTTTCGTATTGAGAAGTTTCATTAACGGAGCTGTTTCCAAAGTTAGAACTCAAATGCACATTTACCAACACCCGATTTGTATTTTCATCAACATCAATGATTTTCATGATTCGCAATTGGTAGAACTGAAGGATATATAAATTGTTTTTCAGAGAGTGAAATAACTCACTCTTGTTTAGCATTTTGAGCAAATCACTACTTAAAGGATTGAAATTCTTGTAACGCATTGATAAGATTGTCACAAACTCGGGATAAATCTTCGGTCTATAAAAGTAAACCTCGCTTTTAATTATCGCCAAATCCACAAATTTGAAAGCTTCGCACCAGTAATTCCCCGGGAGTGTCCCCAAAGGTTCAAAATTGAAAACGCGTCCTTCCCCTACATTGATAACAGCGTTTAATGCTGGATACCGGAACACCAAAGTCGAACCATCCGCGTCAGTGAAACAAAATATCAAGGTATTGGAATACAAGAACTTGATTCTTTTCGGGTTTGACACCTCCACTGAAAACTCGTTGGTACTTTCATTAAAAGAGAGGGTGAGAGATGGTTCCAAATCCTCCACTTCGAGCTCAAATAGAGTGCAAAAAGTCGGCACTTGAGACAAAACCCAGCCTTCAGGAGTCGCAGCTGCGTACATTCCACTTTCAATAAAATCCACGTTTTTTGACCAAAACGTGTACTCGAGTTCTTTGCCCGAATTCTGCCAAATGTACCGACCATCAGAGGCTTTGGTCAGACCCATGGCACAAGTCTCGTTGGTCAAGCGACCATAAATGCTATACTGGTACGGTTTTAGGAACTCGGCGGGGTGGTTTACCCAACCCATGGTTGATTTCTTACAAAAACACTTAGACTTGGCATTGAAATCACCTTGAAGGCAGTAGAAATCAGTGTCGCAAATGTTTTCTACTAACTGGTTCAACTTCAGGTAAGCACAAACCCCGAAATGCTCCTCTTGGCAAGAAGTAAGAGTGAAAGTCTTGTTGTGATACACGATACAGTTGTTTTTCACCGATTTTGCGACTTGGTATGTGATTTCAGTTTTGTAACTGAAACTGGGTTCAGTCCATTGGACGAAACCAAGACCATTGCTTAAATCCCGACGCGCGGGCACCCAAACTGGAAAATCTATCTCCGAATCGACGATTTCCTTGTAGAGAGAAAACGGTAAAGTTTGAGGGTAAACACACCTAGGGGGGTAAGCGGACTTTTCACTCAGCGTGTAACAAGTAGTTACAGATTCGTTAAATCCTTCTGGACATTCTGGGAGTTTTTCAGGTTGGGTGTAGTGGCAGTAAGGCTCACTTTCCCAATTACCATTCACACAAGTCCTGTAGACAAATTCTTTGTTTTGATTTAGGCAAATCGGGCGCGATAAAGCCCGGTTTCTAGTGCTCGGCCATTCGATTCCTGTAGAATTGTTTATAATGCTGACACATTGCTAAAATTTGTGGTTTATTGCCGTTGCGAAATTTTGGTCTTACCGTTTCTGAAGTTTCTCGGATTAGAAACATGCAAAAAAGTGGTATTAGTTTCTGGTTTGGAAAAATCATGTTGATCATGCAGGTAAAAAAAACTAATCAGAACAAGAGTATACATAAATTTTCAGGAATACAAGGCTCATATCAGTTAATAGATTAGTTTTGTCAACAAATAAAGCGTAACAAAGCACATATATTACGTGATTTGGAATCTTTTCTGAATATTATTTGAAGTAATTGCTAGTTATCAGTTGATAATTTTGCCATATTGCCATTGTTCTTTAGTTTATTTTTTTACCCTAAAAAAGATTTATGTGGTGTAATAACAAATAACTTTAAATGCTTAAAAATGCAAAATTGTTGACGTGATAAACAACAGATGTAATATATTATTATCTATTCTAATCATAATAAACTTGATTTTGGGGATCAATAAAGAGAGTAATGTTAAAAAATTCAAGAATAATACATTTTTCTGTTAATTAATATAAATAAACAATATTTTAAATGGCTAGTATAAAGAACAAAAAATCAAAAATGAACAGAATGAGAAGATTTAAATAAATAACGGGTGAAAAAATTACTATGAAAAAAATTGCTTTTTAGAGGGAGGTAAATTCATTTTAAAAAACTGTTATTGAAGCATTTATTTTGTTAAAATGCTTTGATTCAAGTTGATTTTTGGCTTAAATTTAAGCCACATTCATTGAAAATAGCACAAATTGCTTCATTTCAGTCTAAAATTGCTGTAAACATCAATAATTACTTTAATTGGTTCACTTTTTGGCTTTGATAAAGCTGTGTCGGTAATGGAGTTGTTTTATTGACACACTAATCAGTGTATAGATAGGATTAATGCAAATTCACAAATCTGCTGTTGATGTTCAACACAATTAGTCGCTTNAATGGAGTTGTTTTATTGACACACTAATCAGTGTATAGATAGGATTAATGCAAATTCACAAATCTGCTGTTGATGTTCAACACAATTAGTCGCTTTTCAGTCATGTGGGAACYASAAGTAATATTTTGTTGTATTTTTGTGACYACAGTTATTTCCCAAAATTTGGTAAGWAAAAAATCTGGTCAAATTCTYCATTTGAAATTAATTTTTTAGACTTGTCATAATATTWATGGCGTTGTTAATAACGTTAAATGGCCGAGTACTAACGCTTCYATTTTATCACAACCACCTTGTGTTGATGAGAATATGGAACTTTTATATAGAGGTTGTGTGAATGGAGTGTGGGAACGAGAACCGAAATGTTTCTACATACAAGCTGAATCTATTCCACGTTGTCCGGAGGGTTATATTGAAGTTGGTAACATTTGTTACACCTATTTGGACTCAACTTTCCCTCCGAAGTGTCCATCTGCAAACCTTTTACCTTTCCAAAYTTACAAAATGAGTGTAAACCAAGAAAAACCGTTCTGGATGCCAATCACAAGAGATTTGAGCAACGGTTTGGGACCCATGCAATGGGTGGAATTTTCCATTTTGTTCAAAACTACTTATAATAGTTCCGATTATTTGATGTCTGAAATTGGTAGTGACAAAAATTGTATTTTATACAATCGAGGTTTCATAACTGCTGTTTCTTGCAATGAAACCCACAGAGCAATGTGTGCTTACAGTATGGAGCAATGGACTGAAGATAGTGTGTGTACTAAGATGGATTATTGCACCCAAATCGACTTTTTCGATTCTTCTAAATGTGTGTGCATGAAAAACTCTTCGGAGAGTTTCCAAAAAAAAGCTGAGTTTGTTTCTCTAGTCCAAAACAATATCTATTCTGTCGTTTCAATGGGAGATCCTTGCAGTTTTGGACTTGAAAAATCAAACAACACCTACWTGTGGAGTAATTCGAAGCAAAAAATTAACTACACTTGGTGGTCACCAGACGCGGTTTTTCATGATGAACACAAATACGGAGCTGTCWCTAACGATGGTTGGATTTTAACACAACAACCACTGAATTGCTCTTTGTATGAAGTTGAAATTGAAGAAATTGAACCAAATTTATTCTTAAATTTTACGGATGTACCGGGACAATGGGATTTATTTGAATTGAAAATTACCAACGTAAACTTAGTGAAAATAATCAGTACTGAAAATCGAGCTTTTTGTTTCACTAATGCTGATCCTGAGGAGTTAATCATACGCTTTGATTCTTTGATTGTTGCCGATCAATCTGACAATACACTTTATCTCCAATTTCTGCCAAATGTAAGAGGTCCTGGACATTACTGGTGTGAAGCTTTCAAACTTCTTGATTCAACTGTTATCAAAAGTAATGTTATTTTCCATAAACCGGATTATAAACATTATGAATTTGTAACAACTTGGAAAATAAGCTACCATGAGAAGAACTCTGACCCAGTAGGCGAAGCCACAACCACTATATTAGAGAAAATTATGTCAAATGTGTGTCCACCAGATATAAAATACTTGTATACCCCAAGAATAATGAAAATGTATGATTTGAATACAATTGAGAAAACTTTGTTGGTGAAAATTCACATTACGTCTACAAACGTAAAGACCAATGAAGAGGAGGACGCTGATTATCTTACAACAAATGTAATCAAGGCTGTGGAGTCTGCAGAAGACGCAAGCTTTCTTGATTTTCTAAGTGCAGAAAACTGTTTTGAAGAAACCGATGGTGTATTAACTTGGCCAAAAACTCCACTAGGATTAGAGACAACTTCAACGGAATTTTGCTTCACTGAAAATGCTACTAGAGTTTCACGAGCTTGTCTTGGTGATTTTATTAGTGGGGCTCAATGGACGTCTTATGAGCACTGTCAACGACTTAACTACTCTCCCATGACCAACCAATTGGTTGACTTGTTGGTAAAAAATAAGCTAGATGATGAGATCTCTGWTGCTGTTTACGAAATTTCGAAAAATTACACAGTTCTTAATGCTTTGGATGTATAYCTAATTAGTGAAATGTTCAATAGTGCCAATAGTGGGTTTTCCTTACATGTAGCCGAAAATTTTGGCAAAATCGTCGACAATCTTTTAAATATTAGGGATGTTGTAATTGATTCTCAAGCAAAAACTAAAGCAATAGTCTCTTTTCTTAAATTCATAACCATACCAACTGCARGTGATTTAAAGATTGATACAAGAAATTTTGTTTTTTACTCTTTRAAAAAGCAAGACATGGTTGGAGTATCAGTAGTAGGATCAGAAGCACGAATAGAAACATCTTATGAAATCGAAAATTTTGACAGTGCTATTRTGYTAAGTTCAGAGGATGGGCCTCTAATTCCTAAGAATGCTAGAATCACACTTTCAATATTTTTTCGAGACTATTTTTTCGATCATTCGCATAAAGTCATMACTCCAATTTTTAGTTTATTTCTACAYTCTGAWTTTAATTACACAGTTGTAGTAAAATATAATATCAAACYCAATGTCATAAGTAAAATGACWTGTTTTCGTTGGAACTTTAYARCAAACAATAATTTTGGAAGTTGGGAARYTTACCCGGAGGAAAACAAAACACAAAAAGAAAATTCTCTACTCACYTGTAGATTTCCWTCTGATGGTTTCTACGGAATTAGTTTTACACCAGYAAATGARAAYGTAACCGATGAACTCATAGACGTTTTAKTGTCAAACGACACGGCTGCTGTGAAAATCGACCAACTCTCAGACATATCAGAAAAGTATGAAAAATTTAAACCGATCGATGTCTCTTTCGCCAGCAAAATCTTACAAGAAGTGAAAAGCGATGATGAGATAAGTGTGCAAAGCTTRGCCARATTTGTGAGCAACTCGCATAAAATCAAACAAGAATTTTTACTAGAAAGTCAATTRGTCGATAAAGCCACTGACAGGATCCTCCAAAACGTTGATCTCATTTTGCAAAATCACAAACAACAARTTGTGTACATCACCGAACATTTTGCTGTTTTGAAAGTAGACTTGGAAACTGTTAATTTCACTGGAGCTGTTTTGTATCAGGAGAAAACAAAAATTCATATTCGGGTGTTGCAAGGTAATGAGAGTATCGATTATAGTCAAAATTTTGACAGTGCTGTTTTATTGAGTGCGAAATTAAAACAACAGTTGGCATCACAAGGAACAATCGTTTTATCAATTTATTCAAACGACGCTCTCTTCAATGAAAAGGATCCTCATGGAACCACAAAAAATGCAATATTTGGAGTCATTTTGCCCGAAATTGGAGATTATCAAGGACCTGTTTCTATAATCCAAAGAGTCGAAGAGAATAATTTCGAAGACCAATGTGTTTATTGGCATTATAGTAACGCTACTAGTTACTGGAAAAAAGACAGCATGAACAAGACTTCGTCTAATTTCGTTCAGTGTGACTATTGGCACACGACTCATTTTGCTCTTCTGCTACTTCCAAGAAGCTATTTTAACCATTATTAYAAACTTTTAGACGTGATAACTACGATTAACAACATTTTATCATTTKTATGTCTTTGTTGTATTGTCCTYACTGCAATTYTTTTCAAACAATGGAGACGTAACAYCGGTAACCAAATCCTTCTCAACTTTGTCTTCGTTTTGTTGTTTCACACTGTTGTTTTTTACATTTCTGGTTCAATTTCTCATTTCTGTAGYTTCCTTTTTTGTACTACAATTGGTGTTCTTYTGCAYTACTTYACAATTTCTGAATTTTGTTGGATGCTTGTGATTGCAGTGTTACARTATAGACGTTTMGTGAACGTTTTAGRAGCYCCCCCAAGGAATGTTTTACTCAAAGGTTGTTTATGTGGRTGGGGAATGCCCTTAATCCCTGTTACAGSAGTCTTGGTTTTTGATAGAAATTCCTACATTTTGGATTCCAGCGATCTTTGTTATCCTTCAGGACTCAGTCTTTATTTAGCAGTCTGGTTACCAGTCGCTGTGATTATTGCMATAAATTGCGTTATTTTTCTAATTATTTTGTATAATATTGGGTGTAAAAAGTCAGATTGTGTRAGCAAAGATAAGGAAGCTATGTACCAACTTCGTTTGGCAGTTTTTCTCTTTTTTATGTTTGGTCTAACGTGGGTTTTTGGTATGCTATCCAGTTTACAAGGAGGAATATTTTTTCTGTATTTGTTCACAATTACAGCGACTTGGCAAGGTGTTGTACTGTTTTTATTTTTTATTGCGTTTAATGAGAGTACGAGAAGTTTGTATGTTCGTGCATTCAAAAGAATTAATTTCAATTTTATTGTAAATTACAAATTTTGATACAATTTGTTATCTATCTTATGTATCGCTTTCAAATAAAAATCTTTATAAGCAAATCATTCTCATTGAGTATTACTAAAGACTATTAATTTTAAAAGAGATAAATTTGGAAAATTAACCTTGAAGAAATTGCAGTATGGTAATGCGGCCTGGAAGTCGCTGCAACGTTGACATAAGATAAGATAAGCCTTAGAAAAATTTGAATCAAAACTCTTATCTTTTTTAATTTTTTTACTTTCTATTTCTTTGTATAGTCATCTAACTGAAATAGTAAATATTGACCAAAATTATAAATCTTACAACAATGCAGCTTAGAACAGAAGATGATCAGTCTGCAGTAAAATAAAAATTAGGGTTTTCTGGGTTTGAGATATTCTTTGCTCACTTCTTCTCATTATTTTAAACAGATCAGAACAGTTTTCGGAACATCTTAAACCAAGAAAACTCTGCAGACTGATCATCTACTGTCGTAAGCTGCAATATTGTTGTAAGATTTATAGTCAATATTCACTATTTCAGTTGGATGACTATACATTAATGTTATAAATAGATGTTGCAACACACTTGCATTATTATCTAATTTGCTTTAACGTAATGTTGTGCCGGATTTAAATAAAATATTTATTTTCATTATTTTCCTGTTGATAGTACTGTAAAGCCATTTTGTTAACAAAACTAATCACTGAGTAGATATTATAGAAAAGTTTCATCTTTGCTGTTGAACACAGTAAGTTGTTGTTTCCATCATGTGGAACACTCAATTTATAATTTTATTTGCACTTCCAGTTAAAGTTTTTTCCCAGAATTTAGTAAGCAGCAATTAGTTTCAACTTTAACATTTTAAAATTATTTTCTTCAGACATGTAGTAAAGTTGATGGTATTTTAAATGAAGTTATATGGCCTGGTACTAACACTTCAACTTTATCACAACCGCTTTGTGTTGATGAGAATAAAGAACTCTTGCATAGAAGATGTGTGAATGGTGAATGGGAACCAGAACCTAAATGTTTTTACGTACAAGTTGAGTCTTTTCCACGATGTCCGGAAGGTTATATCGAAAAGGATGACATTTGCTACACATTTTTGGAAACAACTTTTCCCCCAAAGTGTCCTTCTGCAAATATTTTATTTTTCTACGAATACATACACCAAGTGCAAAATGCAACTAATGTGTGGATGCCAATCACTAGGGATTTGAGCAGCGGTTTTGGCGTTATGCAGTGGGTGGAACCGTCTTGGAAATATAAAAAAACATATTCTCATTATTCGATGATTGAAATTGGCAGTGACAAAAATTGTATTATATTCAATGGAACTTCCAACATTGCTGTTTCTTGTAATGAAAAACACCAAGCGATTTGTGCTTATGGACAACGGCAATTAATTGAGAGTGGGTGTAGTATTATAGGTCGTTGCGTCACAATTGACTTTTTTGATGCTTCTAAATGTGTGTGTACGAGTATAAAAGATAATTCTGAAGAAAAGTTTCTAAAGAAAGCTGAAATTCTTTCTCCTGTGCAAAACTATATTTACCCATCTCTAGTTGGTAATGATTCTTGCAACATTGGACTTGAAAAATTAAACAACACGTACTTGTGGAGTAATTCAAATCGAGAAATTACTTACACTTGGTGGTCACAAAAAGCAGTTTTTTATGACAATCTTAAATACGGAGCTATTACTAAAGATGGTTGGATTTTAACAGATCACTCATTTGATTGCTCGTTGTGTGAAGTGGAAATAGAAGAAACGGAACCAAATTTACTACTAAACTATTCAAATATTTCTAACCAATTTATATTGGAAATTATCAGTTCAGAAAGGTTCTTCGTAGTTTTTTGTTTTACTAATGCTGATAGTGAAACGTTAAACTATCCATACGAAATCCAATATTTTGATACAATTTCACACTTTGAACCATTTTTAGAAGTCCCTGGACACTACTGGTGTGAAATGTTTAGCCTTGACTACACAACAGTTTTCAAAAGCAATGTTTATTTTTACGAACCACACATGGAATATTATGAATTTACATCAACATGGAAGATCTTTTACTCCGAGATAATCGACCCAGTCCTTGAAACAGTGAAATATATAAATGAAATTTTGTCAAAAATGTTTACATCCAACACACTATACACTCCAAGAATTATGAAAACTTATAACTTGAATACCACTGAGAACACTTTGTTGGTAAAAATTCACATCACATCTAGAAATGTGAACAATACCGAGGAATTTGAAGCGAACAACATAGAAGCGGAAATAAAATCCACTTTGAGTTCTGAGAAGAAAGCAAACTTTGTCAATCTTTTGAGTGCTAAGAGTTGTTTTAAACAAGTCGACAACAATTTAACTTGGCCCAAAACTCCTATAGACGATGCAACAACCTCAGAAGAGTTTTGTTTCACCACAAACGCTACTCGAGTTTTACGAACGTGTTCCGGCGATTTTATTAGTGGGGCTCAGTGGACATCTTATGAGTACTGTGAACAACTTAATTACTCTTCCGTGACAAACCAGTTGCTTTCCCTGTACGAAAAGGATCATCTGGATGAGGAGTCTTACAATACCATCAATGAAATTTCAAAAAATTATCAGAAATTAGGCGTCTTAGATGTATTTCTGATAGGTGAGATGTACTCCAACAGTGATCTCTCTGAACAAGTATTTGAAACATTTCTCAAAACTTTGAACAATCTTCTAAATGTTGTTGATGTCTTGATTGAATCCCAGATGAAAACCAAAGCAACGAGACGTTTTCTTGATTTAATAAATCGTAGATCAACTGTAAGTAGTTTAAATATTACAACAAGAAATCTAGCTTTGTATTCTTTGAAAAGTTTAAATACAACTACCGTTTCAGTATTAGGTTCAGAAGTAAAAATTGGTATTCCAGAAAAAATCAATTTTGATAGCACTATTGATCTACAAAACATTCCTGAAGATTCTAATATATCAATTGCACTATTTTTTAAAGACCAGTTCTTCTGCGACTTTACCAAGTCTTATAACATTATCACTCCTGTTTATTCCATGTTCGCATCTTCTGAATTCGATAAACCAGTTCGAGTCTTCTATCGAATCAATAAACCAATTGTAAATGAAACGTGTTTGCGTTGGAACTCTCACGGAAACAACAATTTTGGAAATTGGGAAGAAAGCAAAGCTGAAAAAAACAATTATCTCCTCATGTGTGAGTTTCAGGGTAATGGAGTTTATGCAGCTAATTACGAATTCGGTCCAATAAACGTGTCGAATGAACCCTTAGATATTTTAGACTCTAACGACTCTAATTACGAATATGGCCCAAAGAACGTGTCCAATAAACCCTTAAATATTTTAGAGCCTAACAACTCTAATTTCGAATATGGCCCAAAGAACGTGTCCAATGAACCCTTAGATATTTTAGAATCTAACGACTCTAATTACGAATATGGCCCAAAGAACGTGTCTAATAAACCCTTAGATATTTTAGTGTTTAACGACTCTAATTACGAATACGTTCCAAAGAACATGTCCAATGAACTTTTAAATATTTTAGAGTCTGACGAGACGCCTGCTGTGAAAATCGAATTGGTTGCAAACATTTCCAAACACTATGAACAGTTTAAACCCATTGACGTCTTTCATGCCAGCGAAATCTTAGAAAACGCAGCGAATGACGATGAAATAAATTTGCAAAGTTTGGCCGAACTTGTAAGCAACACGAATAAAATCAATCAAACAGTTTTGTTCGACAGCCAAACACGTTTTCAAGCCACTGATAAAATTCTTTTAAGTATCGATTCCATTATTCAAAACTACAAAGGCGAAATTGAACTAATTCAAACCGAAAAGTTTGCAATGATGAAGGTAAACTTGCAAGCAAGGGATTTCCAAGGAGCAGTTTTATATCAAGAAAAAGGAAAAATTAAAGTTGATCTTTTACAAAGCAAAAAGAGTATCGATTATAGGCAAAGTAATTTTGACAGTGCTCTTTTCTTGAGTGATGAACTGAGGCAACAATTAGGACCGGAAGCTGAAATTATTCTTACAGTTTTTTCAAATGACGCTCTCTTTATTGAGAAAGAGTCAAATCGAAGCACAATAAACGCAATTCTTGGAATTATTCTTCCTGAAATTGGAGAATACGAAGGACCTGTTTCCATAATTCATAAAGTCGAAGAAAACAGTCCTGAAGACCGGTGTGTTTTCTGGAAATTTGGAACCTCCACAACTTCTAGTTACTGGAAGAAAGACCCTGAAGGCAACTGTTTGTCTAATTCGGTTCAAGACTTTCCGTCTAATTTCATCCAGTGTGATTACTACCACACGACTCATTTTGCTTTTCTTTTTGTTCCTAGTTCTGATTTTGATTACAATCATGCTTCACCATTAAAATTGATAACAACTCTTACTAACACCCTGTCAGGTTTATCTCTTTTATGCATTGTCCTCACGGCTATAGTTTTTAAAAAATGGAGAAATGACACCGGTAATAAACTTCTTCTAAATTTTGTCTTCGTTTTAATATTTCAAACAATCTTTTTTTACATTTCTAGCTCAGTTAGTCACAGTCAAGACTTTCTCTGTACTATAATCGGCGCTTTTCTTCACTATTTCACAATTTGTGAATTTTGTTGGATGTTCTTTATTGCATCTTTACAATATCGACGTTTCGTGACGGTTTTGGAAGCTCCTCCAAGATATCCTTTTCTCAAAGGCTGTTTATGTGGATGGGGATTACCCCTAATTCCAGTTTCGCTGGTTTTATTTTATGATATAAATTCCTACACTTTGGACTCCACCGGTCTTTGCTATCCCTCAGGGTGGAGTCTTTATCTAGCAGTCTGGATACCAGTCTTCGTTATCATTATCACGAATTTTTGCATTTTTTTGATTATTTTACATAAGGTTTTTTATAGAAAGGTAAAAAAGACTGGCAAAAGTAATGTAACAAGACATGAGTTGCGTTTGGCAATTCTTCTGTTTTTTCTGTTTGGCTTAACGTGGATTTTCGGCGTGTTACACCAACTTAAAAAAAATATAGTTTTACTTTATTTGTTTACAATTACGGGTACATTGCACGGTTTTGTCATATTTTTATTTTTTATTGTGTTAAATCCTAGAACCAGAAACTTGAAGTTGAAGTGTTTTCGTTAAGTATGATTTCTGTATAAATACGTATTATTGTATTTGCTAATAAACATATTCGTAACAATTGTGTTTCATTAATAGGAGTAGTACCTATATTATATCACAAAGTAGAGAAGAGAATTTTTATGGCCGAGCTGTTTAGTAATAAATGCGAAGCTACAAAAATCTTTGTCTACCGTGTTTAACATATATTTTTTTTCATTACTAGCACATTTATTACCTAGAAATACAACGACGAAAAATATAATCCTACTTAATGAACATGTTGTCTCACATGTAACATGTCACAACTACTATTTTTGTTAATTCTCTATTATCTACAGAAATTAATTACTTATCTGAGTTATTCACTTAAGTTGGAAGTATTATTTTCTTCTTAGCGTAAATGAGGTTTATAATTTTTGTACTTCTGCAACTAAGTATTAAAGAAATTTTCTTACTTCATAATATAAAATATTTGTTAAAATAACAAAGAAACTGCAAAGAATAGGGAAAGTGTTAAAATTTGCCTCGCTAATATTTTAACACGAAATAAACCCATTTGTTGTTTTTGACAGTTTTGACAGAAGCATTACAGTATTAGAGTTGGGGTTATTCTGATGTTTTTAATGAGAAAATTCAAGTCTCTTTTATTTGATTTTGCATTAATTTCAATTCGAATACTTCCGTTAGTACTTGTGATGGTAATAATTTTAAATAATAATATTCTAGAAATATTTGTATTAATGTAATACTCTCCAACATGGGCATTTACCCACCTCTAACGCATTATAGCTCTTGGTTTATAATGAAAATAATTATTGACCACTAGGAGAGAAGAAAACTTTACAACCTCTTGACAAACTAAATAATGGTATCTTTTACAGCTAGATGTGATGTCTTGAAATAAACTCTTATTTCCAGTTCCAATAGTTTATTATTTACATCCAAACTTAACAGCAGAGCAAGCAAGTGTGCCCCCAGTCGCATTCCTCCCCTTCCTTACTCCCTCAAAGAAAATCCACAATAGCCGGCTTTCTATTTGAGATAAAAATTCCCTCTAATTAGCTAATCTCATTATCGCAATGAAGCACTTGATAAAGCAATTTTTGTAATTAGCTTTAGTTGTATTGAACATAATGGCAAAAGTAAGCTTGAAACTTCTTTTGGTTTACATGTTCTTAACAACAACCATAACCGTAAGTAGAAATTGTTTTTCTGAAGCAATACTTAGAAAACCATCACTAGGTTGACAAAAACCATCAAATTCAAGAGTTGCCTCAATGTCCGGATGGTTTCACCGACGCGGAAGATTTCTGTTACACCACAAGTCCACCATCGACATACCCCCCAAAGTGTGCTTTTCCAAACACCATACCTTTCGATTCCTACAAGCTAATTATTTTTGAACCGGTTTGGATGCCAGTCACGCGTGACTTGAGCAATGGTTTGGGCTATTTCTATTGGTCAGAGTCCAGTTCTTTGTACAAAACTTAGTTCAACCAGCAATGGAATCAAAAACAAAAATTGCTTGGTGTACCACAACACGTCTTACATTGTTGCGGTTTCTTGCAACGACACTTATCCAAGAATTTGTGCTTACAACAAACTCGGAAAATCAAATCAGTTGTGTCCTAGTCAGTTCAAGTGCCAGCAAAGTGATTTTAACCCCAACTCAACTTGTTTCTGTGTTACAACATCTGAAACGCAAGAACCTAAATCAGAGTTTTTGAAACCGTACCAAAACAACATTTACGGTTTCTTGACGGATCAAGTTTGCTCAAATGGTTTAGTTAAAACCAAAAATGGTGATTTTATCCGGGAAAAGTCAGGACACAATCTGAGTTATTCTTATTGGTCTCCGAAAGCCATCGTGGATGGTGGTTTTCACTACGGGGCTTCGACGTCCGATGGTTGGATTTTGACAGCTCATCCCCTCCCTTGCACTTTATTCGAAGCCAAAACTTTGAATTTTGAGCCGAAACTTGACCTCACATTCAACTTCACTTCAATGACATTCACACTAAACGTTTCCAACATTGCTGGCTTGAAAATTCTAGATTCCGATGTCGTGGTTTATTGTTTCACTGATGCTTTCGCAGCTTTGAACTACAGATACCCGATTTTGGTAAAAATATCTCCTAACGTATACGCATATTTATACGCTCCTGGTAGCTATTGGTGCGAATCTGTCCGATATAATGACTCAAAAGTGATCAAAAGTCGTGTGTTTAATCTGGATGTGTATTTCAATCAAAGTGCAGAATTTGTGGGAATTTTTTCGTTGACTTACAACCAAACTATCAATCCCTTGAGTGAAGATATCGAAGACGTGATTCACACACATATATTTTCAGTGCTTGAGGCTTTGACTTATATAAAAAACAGCTATGCGTGGAGATTTATGAAGATTGTTGATTTGGATGAGACGAACAAGAAAGTTTCGATCAACATTCATTTTACTTCAGCACCAGACGAAGATTTATCGGATGAAGACAAATACAGTAAACTTAAAGATACTCTATTTGAAGCTTTTACCCACATTACTAACTTTTCAAGTAGTGATTTTTGCCCATCTGAGACCACAGACCATCTAACATGACCTTTAACTAAAGCAGGAGAAAGTGCAATCCCTTTAGAATATTGTTTTGATTCAAATGGCAATTTAGTGACTAGATTTTGTAACTACAACTTCATGGACGGTGCAAAATGGTCATCATTTCAGAATTGCAGTATCGCCAATCACTCAGAAACGACCTCAAAGCTACTTATTTACACACAGAATGTTAATAAAGAGAGTCTTCAAGAAATAGTTGGCCTAACGAGACAAGGAAATACTTTTGGCCCTTTAGACGTGTTTCTAATCGGAAAAATTTTCAAAAAAGGTCTGAATATTGACGAAAGCATTGATAGCTTTGTGGAAACTCTTAGTAATGTGATGGACTTTGACAGAAAAATTCTGGCAGAGTCACAATTCAAGATGAATGCTACTGATGTCTTGTTGGATATTTTGCATCAAGGGTTGCAGAACAAATTGGTTACTAAAATCGAAAATAATCTTATTATTGAATCAAACAAATTTTCATGGATGGCTCAGTTAGCTATCGAGCAAGATAATTCCATTTCAATGAGTCCAGATTGCATGTCTCCTTCACAAGGTTATAAATGTTTTGTTTCAATTGGTGATTACTTATGCTCCGAGTTGGAAAAATCAAAAATAATATCTTTTGTAATTTTTTTAAACGATGCACTTTTCCAAGACGAAGCACAGTGTGATAAACCTTCAAGATTCGTTTTTTATGCGGTTTTCCCCCCCGATATTGATGTTTCTAGCGAGAGTAGCTCATTTGTAAAAATTTACGATAAAATAGATTTAACTGAGGAACAGTTTTGTTCCTACTGGGAATACAACACAGAAACACAAAAGGGCAAATGGCAAAGCAACACTAAAATTGATAATTCGTCTAACTTCCAATATTGTGATTATTCAAATACCTTCAAGTTCCCTTTAGCCATCACAACTAGAACAAATTGTGAAAGTGACAACATCACTGAGAGTCTCATCGATTTGATAAACTCCACTGAACCCGCTGATGTTATTATGGAAAGATTATCGATTATTAGTGACAAGTATGGCGAGTTTAAATCACTTGATGTTTATTTTTTGTCGCAAGTGTTGAAAAAAGTGAGCACTGACGAAGAAATTGTCTTGCAGAAATTGGCTAAAATCGTCAATAATGTCGTCGCTATTGATCCAGAAGTGCTTTCAACAAGTCAGCAAGAAACAAATGCTACCGACTTGATCCTCCACTTCATCGATGTTATCATTCAAAACCATCGCTACCAAAACCACGCTGAAGTCACAAGTGATAACTTTAAAATCGTCATATCTGACATTCAAGAAACCAATTTCACCGGTGTGGCAATTGTGGATTCGCAAATGGTGGTTTTAGACGACGATTATGACATCGACGATGTGGTCGTTGACGAAAATTTGGAATGTGTTGTGGCCTTAAGTCCCGAATTGAGACACCAAATGGACACTGATTGGACCGTGAGAATCACAGTTTTCTCAAACGATGTTTTATTTAATGAAAAATCGAAGTCCGGGAATGTTAGCACGATTTTTGGTGTCACTCTCCCCGATGTTGGCCACTATTCAGGCCCCGTGCGAGTTTTTCACAAAATTGCCAAAACCAAAGTTGAAAAAAACTGCGTTTTTTGGGATTATTACAGTGGCAAGAGCGGTTTTTGGCAAAAAGACAGTGACGGAAGCGGCGAGGGACTAATCCAGTGTGATTTTTGGCACACCACACATTTTGCGCTTCTCCTCCTCGACGAAAATCTCTATCCAGGCCAAGACAACATTCTGGACAAAATCACAACAATCAATTGCATTATCTCGGGGTGTGGTCTAGGTGCCATAGTTTTGACAGCGATTTTATTCAAACAATGGCGCTCAAATAAGGGTAACCTAATTCTTCTCAACTTCGTGTTTCTTCTCATTTTCCAAATCACAGTTTTCTACGTTTCAAGCAGCGTGGATCGCAATAGTGAGGCAATTTTGTGCATTTTTATCGGTGCTCTTTTGCACTATTCGGTAGTGTCGGAATTTTGCTGGATGTTGGTCATTGCGTTTTTCCAATTCCGGAGGTTTGTCAAAGTGTTGCAAAAACCACTGAGCAGAGTTTTGCTCAAAAGTTGCTTTTTCGGCTGGTTTGTGCCTTTGATTCCCGTCAGCAGTGTCCTAATTTTTGATAGTCACACTTACACTGCGAGCAAAATTGGTCTTTGTTACCCTTCAGGGATGATTTTTACTTTTCTTTTCTTTTACTATTCTTCTTTTTAATTTCGTAGTGTTTGTCAGGATTGTACAAAGTGTGGTATTCCGAAAAAGCGAAGGGGTTTCTAGTGGTTCAAGCGATTTCAAATACCAAATTCGGCTTTTTGTTTTGCTTTTTTTTAAGCTGGGGATCACGTGGATTTTTGGCTTGTTGGCAGAATTAGATTCTGGAGTGGTTTTCGATTATTTATTCACTATTACTTCCACCATTCAAGGATATGTTCTATTTTTGTATTTCATTTTGTTTAATCCTGATACCAGAAATCTGTATGTACGTGCTTTAAAAAAGCTTTTTAGTTAATTATTCGCTATCAGACATATTTATTAATGCGTAAAGCAATTTTAATCTTGTTGATACAAATAATCTGTATCAAACGCATATCATTAGAGATAATAAATAACGTTCCAATCAATTGCTTTAATTAACCAAATTAACTTGAAATGATTTTGTGTGCGAAACGATTTCTTCTATTTCTTGTGACAATTGATTCACTAGCAGTAAGTTTTTCAATTCAGAAATTCTATAAATAATAAAATTCAAGACTTTGCAGATAAATACTACCGACGATTATGAATCACATATTTCGGAGGAATTTTTGTGTTGGAACAACACTCAAGATTGTGTCGCGTGTAGTGACTTTGGGAAAAAAAGTGACAAAAAGTGTTGTTTCAAAAACGCTAAAATTGCTAACATCACATCTGACTTATTATCCTTATTAGAAAGTAACTCCACAGTCCAGGAAATTACCCAACAACTTTTGAACATTTCTCAGGAATATCAAAAATTTGCCCCTTTTGATGTCTTTCTTGTGGGTCAAATTTTGGAAAAATTTTTGAACAAAACCGATTTACTATTGTTTGCCGAAATTGTGAGTAATTTACTAGAAATTGATGAAAACATTTTTTTCAAAAGCCAAACAGAGTTTCACGCTACTGATACACTTATAAAACACATAGATGAAATCACTCAAAACAACGAACCTGATTGTGTTTTAACCAACATCACCACAAGAAATTTTTTATTATTTGTGTTGGATTTGAGCGAAATAAAAATCAGTGGTTTAGCTCTTTTTAGTAAAAATCATCATTATGTAAATCTTCTACCACAGAATGCTAGTATTGGTGAAATATCAAAACTTGCAGGTTTTGACAGTGCTGTGCTTTTTAATCCCAAATTAAACTCAAAAATCGTAGTAAGTATTTTTTTGAAACAGGGTTTTTTCACACAACTTAGGGTAAATAATTTACTTGCATGCACAGTTTTTGGTATATTTTCGAGTATTCCTGATCCTGTTTCAGTTTATTACAAAGTTTCTGATACAGCAAAAATGTGTGCTTATTGGTCATTAAATTCTAGCGATTGGGAGCAATATGACAGTTTAGATCCAAATATAGAGTCACTAATTGGGTGTAAAACTCGGAACAAAATCCACTTCACTGTAGTTTCGAATCAAGAAAATAATGCAGAAATTCAATGGAGCATTCCTTTAGTCATTAGCATAATTTGTTGCTTTTTGTCCATTCTTGGTTTTTGTGGTATCGCTCTAACAGCAATTTTGTTCAAGAAATGGCGTCAAAATACAGGAAATCAAATATTGCTTAATTTTGTATTTGCAGTGTTAGTGCAATTTTTACTAAACACTACTGCCACTACAATTTTTTGGAAAATATCAACCGGTGACGCAATTTGTTACAGTTTTGGTATAATAAGACACTATTTTGTTTTAGCCCAATTCTCTTGGATGCTTGTTTTTGCAATATTACAATTTAAGCGTTTTGTGATTGTTTTTGGGGGGACTTACAACAATATACTGTTAAAAGCGTGTCTTTTGGGCTGGTCTTTGCCTCTACTGCCTGTAATAACACTTTTAATTTTTGATCACGAAAACTACGAGAAAGAGTGCTTTCCGCGAGATTTGCCTTTACTTTTTAGTGTTTGGGTCCCGGTTAGTGTTGTTGTGATTATAAATTTCATAATTTTTGTTTATATTTTTTACAATATTTTGTTCAAAAGTGTTGGGAAACCGCATGGTGGCAGTAATGGGATTTTGAGTCAGTGGCGTATTGCAATTTTGTTATTTTTCCTACTAGGTGTTAACTGGTTGTTTGCACTGTTATACGCTTTTTATCCTGATAATAACGTTTACAATATACTGATGGTTAGTACTAATTTGCAAGGTTGTGTCATTTTTTTGTACTTTATTGTGTTTAATAAGGGGACAAGGAATTTGTATTCGAAAATGTTCAAAAAGTGTTGTAATAAAAACTAATTTGTTTACTGTTTTTTAAGTAACACTGGTAGTGTTGTTGAAACAGTGACTGGTAGTTTGGATCACAATTTTAACGGAGCACAAATTTTTAGACAGTTGTATATTAGACACTAGATGAATAAATTACGTGTTTAAATGTTTGTATTTTATTTTTTAGTCACAAATTACACGAGAGAGGAAACAATGTTATTTACTTAACATTGTACCATTTTATTTAAACATTGATAATAAATTGCAAAAAATTTTTGTATGCATCCTGCTGTAAGTACATACATAACAGAAACAATAAAATGAACCACATCTCATCAGCAAAGATTAGTTCTACATTTTGTGTTGTTGAGGCTGCAGTAGGTAGAAAAAAATGAAACATTTTCTTTTAATTTTAGTCATTATTCATGTAATTAAAAAAGTAAGTACTTATTGCGATTTTTTGAATTTAGCTTGTAATTTCTTGTTTACAGGTTCGTCCATTTGAAGACACGATTTGCGTTATTTTAACACGAAATTTCGTCGAACCACAATCTTCATGCATAGATCGAGTACAAAATATTTTCTACAAAAACTGTTTACATGAAATATGGGACACCGAGTCTAATTGCTTTTTTTTCAACTCTGGAAAATTACATCAAACTTCAGACTTTACCAAGTTAAGTGATTGTGCAAAAATGAAACAACACAAGCAGTGCAAAATTCAACTCTGCTTTGATAGTTGTGACGAGTGGTATTTTTTGGAAGAAAGTGAGAAAAATGCCACTTCTGGTTATCTTCAAAGAAATATTTATGTAATGTTAATCAAGAAAGTTTCTTTGGTAAAATTTATCAAAATTTTTGATGGGACATTTAATGTAGGGCATAGTATTGAAGATGGTGCATTTTTCAACAAAAATAACATTTATGCAGCTATTTCGCTTAATCAAAATAATGTTTCTTTTTTTAAACCGTTGCGATTGCTTGAATTTGATGTAATACTTAGAGTTCCACATAGTTTAGATTTTGCAAAAACCGACTTTTTAAATATTGTGCTTTTCAAAGGTTTTGGTGAAATAAGAAAAAAATTTGCTTCTCAAGATTCGAAACAATTTGACAGTTTAGAAAATTCGATAAAAAAGTCTTTAGAAAAATTTATTGAACCAATCGATTTTTTCACACTTGATTTTTGCTCTTCTTATTCTGTGAACTATTACCAAAACAATGTTTGGAATGACGCCACTTATTCGGTCAAATATTGTGCAAGTTTTGCAAAAAGTGGTTCTAAGTGGTACCTTGTTGACGATTATTTCAATTTAGATATTCTAAACTTTGAAAATACTAACGTTTTTGTTATAAAGTCAGATTACCTAACTCAAAACTTTAGAGAAATTACCAATAGTCTTCCCAAAATCGAAAAAAAATACTTCAGAAATGAAACAAATTTGTTTAGTGCTATTACACCTTATTTGTTGCTAGTTTTTGATTTGGCAAAATTGGAAATTAGCAGTTTGATTATTTTTAACAACACCAACAATATTTACACAAAAATTTTGAGTGGTGAGGTGAATGTTACAAAGATCACTAGTCTTGAACACTTCGGTAGTGCAATAGTGTTTAATTATAATTTTACAGAAGAGATTGGAGACTTGCTAATTATTGTAAAGGTTTTCAACAAAAGTGTTGAAATATTTTTCTCAAAAGATTCCGTTGTTGTCGACGCTGTGGAACAAAGAATTTGCAAAAATTCATCTGACGACGTCGTGATTTTTTGTGACGTTTTACCAAATAGTATGTCTAATTTAGCTGAAGTCATTTTGTATTGCACAAATCTGGTGTTTTTAGCATTGTCGATACCGAGTCTTTGTGGTATTGGTCTCACAGCAATACTTTTTAAACAATGGCGCCGAGAAACAGGAAACCAAATTCTGCTAAATTTCGGTTTTGCATTATCTGCTAAGCATTTTTCATCATTCTGTTTTGAACAAGCGGTTGATGTGCAAGCCTTAAATGGGCCTTCCTGTTACATTTTTGGGGTTTTATACCATTATTTTCAGCTAGCGCACTTTTCTTGGATGTTTGTTTGTGGAATTCTGCAATTTAAGAGACTTGTCATAGTTTTTGGAGGAATCGATTATCTGCTTCCGAAAGCCTGCCTTCTGGGTTGGCTTTCACCAGTCGTTCCCGTGGTACTTCTTCTAATTTCCAATTACAAAAATTACGAAGAATTGTGCATTCCGAGAGATTTTGGGCTTATTTTTGCCATTTGGGTTCCAGCAGCTAGCATCATATTTTGCAATGCCATAATTTTTTTATACATTTTTTATCACCTTTTGTGCAATAGGCCCCAAATTCTTCAAAGCCAAGCCAGTGATATACGAGTTTCACGATATGTTTCACTTGCAATTATACTTAGTTTTATGCTTGGTATTAATTGGGCGTTTGTTCTTGGAGATATTTTATATCCTGAAACTTTTTTCTTTCGCTTATTTACCGTCAGTACCAGCCTCCAAGGTTTTGTTCTTTTTCTCTTTCTTATTCCACTAAACACAAAAACGAGAAACATGTATCTTCAACTTTTCAAGAAATGGTTTAGGTGTAATTCACAAGTTTACATAATCAATGATACTTCAACTGATTGTTTATAATTTTTCTTGTATTCAAAAGTGTGTCTTTTCCTTCCATAGGTAGAAGTTACTGCTTGAAACTTGTCCAACCAAAAACTTTAAAAGTAAAAATTTCTTTTGATATCCCAATTTCAGCCATTATAAATTCAGAAGCATGTTTTTCCGTTTCTATGGAGGAGGTAATTGGCCACTTTTCTTTCTGAAATTATGGTGGAAAACCTTAGTTTTTTGTTTAAGGTCCTAGGAAATACACTTTATTCACAATCACAAAGTAATAATCAAATTACCTTGCATGTAAAATGTTAGAAAGAATAACATTTCAATTTCATTTAACAATTGATATGAAATATTAGGTCCAAGTGGTCATTTCCTTACCAGCTGATATGTGATATGACAGTTCAGGTTGAGAAATGACCACTTCTCAACCAGAAAACTGATAAGGAAGTGACCACTTCCCCACCTGAACTGTCATATGCTCATACAGGATGTCCCAGCGAGTTGAAAAAGTTCAATAGTGACATTTAAGTGGTAGTATAGGACATTGATAGATACGAATCTAGTTCATGGCCTAAAATTATTTTCAACTATACAGCGTGTCTCAAAAATAAGTTACAATATAATACAAAAACAAAGACGTCTAGAAATATTTTTTTTACTACCGCAAAGAAAAAAGTACAAGCTATAAGGTTGTAACATTTTTTAGTGTGTTGGATTTGCAAAGATAAAAAAAATGAAGGCGTTTGTTAAAAGTTCAATAACTTGAAAAATTTTAATGGAACACCCTATTTATTGTTTTTGCATTTAAAAGATTATTAAATTGTCTTTTTAAAATTATTACTTTTAGGTGTTTATAATTAATAACTAAAAAGATATTTAACGTTAACCATTAAAAAAAAAATTACTATTGTTTCAGTAGCCATAAAGTGCACAGTTGCACAAGAGATGCAAGAAATATTATTTAATAATCACATTTGTGTTAAACTGAATTATCAATTATCAATTCTAGTGTTTTATTTACATTTTTTAAGTTATTTAACTTTTAACAAACTTTTTAATTTGTTAATCTTTACAAATGCAAAACACTATAAAATTCCAACAGCTTTAAATTCTGTTTTTTCTTCTTTACAGAAGTAAAAAAAATGTTCTAGCTGTCTTAGTTTTTATGGAATAAATTTTTAAAAAGTTCATGTTTTCGTCAAAAAAAAGTCTTACTTCTAAAACTAAGCAAAATTGACTAATAAAAGTTTAGCGTAAAAACATTGTTTTAAAAGGCTACATCCAAAAATGCAAAAAAACATACGGTGATTCATTTAAAAAACACAAGTTTGTATCGTAACTTATTTTTTATAAATAATTGTAGTGAGACTTTTGTGAAACTCCTCTAGTTACAATCGCTAGGAGATAAGAGTTATGCATTTACAAACGTTCAATAAATGTTATATTAAAGTTTATTGAGTTATGCAATTCTATAGCGAAAGGTTACAGTCTGCTTCAAATATCGTCAAAAATCTCGTACAGCACTTCCTTCACAGTCCTGTCATGAGATGGAATTAATTAATCCTTTCGAATCCTTGCACAATTTTGATGTTGCATGTCGTGCGACTCCATTGAGCAAGGATGACATGACTCTATGCGTGCAATGGGAAAAAATGGATTGCAGACGCATTTCGTAATTGGTTGAAGAAGACGCTCAATTTCAGATGACTCGCAACCGACCAGAAAATTGAAATATGGACACACTTTTACCGGTTTTTGGGGCAAGGTCAAACTGTATTGTGTGAAAATTAATAAAAAAGTTTAAACAAAAAAATTATTTATTTGAATGAATAAAATCGAAAACTTATAGTTAGTTACTTTCCTTTTCCAAGCGGAACTTATACTTTTTCCGGTGATGTTGAGGAAAATCCGGATTAAATATTTATTATTCATTCACTCATTGTTATAATGCAAATCTAGTCAGGTTTCTTAGTCATGACTGGGATAAAATTTAATTTGAAAAATTATAAAATTTGTATTTGTATAAACTGTAAGATACACGACATTCCATGTGGTGAAAATGCCAACATAGACCACAAGTAAATATTCATGTGAAAACGCTTTCAGAATGAATCACAAGGACTACTTCCGTTACTTTAAATAATTTTAAATAGGTAAAAAATGTATGAGAGAATAAAAGCTAAGCAGATTTGTAATCTGTGAGCTTTTTTCTTTAAATTAAAGTCAAGTAATTTGTCAAAATGAGTAATTTAATCCTCATTTTTGTCTCTTCTTTCTAATAAGAAAGTTTGGGTTAATTTACTCTCGTTTCACGGCATTATAATCCCATATGTCAAAGACGATTTTCCTTGGTCAATTTATCACCGAGCCCTTGTGTATCATTAGCATGATTTATGAGCCGCTACTGATGCGTTAACAACCTGTTTCTGATTTTGTTCAAGCATAATCAGGAAATTTGACTTAAATAAATAGTAAAGTATGCTTTTAGAACGTCCTGTAATGAAAGTGCGCTCGTCTTCGTGTGGATAATTGAAGGATGTTCCGCTGCACTTTCAATTTTAGCATCACACAATACGCACATTTAAAAATCGTTAATTCCCAGTGACCACAATTCATAATGTTGCATAAGAGTCTTTTTCGGGCATCAAACAATGCTTTTGACACGGTAGGAGAGCCGGCGGCTGGGCAACTTTCTACGAGCCCCTTTCTTCCCCTTCTCTACAAGAACCAAAGAGATCTGCAGCTTCTTCAAGTTGGTGTCAGTACTGCCGAACGCGATGGACTCTGTTGAGTGACTGTGAAGTGATTTGTACTGATTCAGGATGTGGATTAAGACGATAGTGAGTGGTTTTGAGTAATTTAATTGTGACTGAAATATTTTTTCGAAAAAAGCCGAGTCGAATTTATTTCCAATTATTTTTGTAAACACTAATTGACCGACCTCAAAATCTGACACCGTTTGAAAATTCGTTTGTGGGATAAACAAACAATTATCTGAAATTTTACCGCTTTGGTGCAAAAAATTGTGTCACAGTTAATTTTCAATTTTATCATTATTTTGTCGTCAAAATCAAAATTTGCTTTCTAATTACATTACTTTCAAGACGATTCGTTGATTAATTTCGGATCACGTTGCGGTTTCTAATTAATATGTCACTTTTACTTAAAAACATACATTTTTGTGTTAAAGTCTACCTTATTGCAAGTTGTAATTTAACAGAAAGTGAACATCGATTCTCTTTTTTTGCCACTAAGATGGCAAGACGACGTATGGAAAAGTGGTTCCGCGTTTTAATTTTCTACAAATTATCTAACTTGTTTGTTACAATCGAATGCAAATGTTGTTATTAAAAATGAGCCGTCGGAAAATTTCAGTGGCCACTTTCTAATACAAATCTTCCATTTGGTTAAAAAATGATTTTAATAACATCCCATAGCATTTTCCAATCAATATGTAACGTATTTTGTAATCAGCTTGAAGCTGTTATCAAGACTTCCTAAGGAATATTTTTTAATTTTTATACAGGAACTTTATTTATAGATTGCATGGTTCTTATTTTTTTATGATTACTTATAAAAATATTACAGAATATAATTTTAAAAAATTAATAAATTACACATTGATTACCTTTATTTTTTATACTACCTACGAGGTAAATAAAAAGCACGGAACCAAAGGTTTTTTGCTTAAACTATTTATTTTTAGAAAAACTAATTGATGAATGATAAAAAAAATGCAATGTTTTATCAAGAATAAAAATTTTCGAATTTTTTGTTGTTTTGAATTCAACAATTTTTTTATTTTTTTAAACGGCAACCCAGTATAAAACCATTTTTCTCATAAAAGTTATGATCTAAGGATTACAACTATCTACTTTTATTTTGTACTCAATGTTAAAGAGTGCTTTTATCAACTAATTTCAGTAAATAAAGTAGTTTTTTATCGCCTAGTGAAATAAAGTAATTTTTATCTACTATTTATATTCAAGAAATTCTGGTAGATAAGTACAAAATAAAACGAAATATTATACACGAGGATAAAGATAGTTTATCTACAAAACAAAATTTTGTTTTTAAAATAAAAACACATTTTTTATATTACTTTAACTTATATTTATTATTAATTTCTGGAGGCAATTGATTAAAAAAAAACCCACTTGGTCCCATACTTTATATTCACCCTGTATGTAGTTTATCGTCGATTTTAAAGTGATTTCAACAATTTATATGATGTTGATAAACGTCGTAATACTTACTTACAAATTTTTCAGTTTCTAACATTTACAAGAGATTTTGTTAATTTCAAACTCGACAGTACCTCAAGAATAATTATTACTTCTCTTCTTAAAATAATGTTAAAAAAGAATTTCTTAATACATAATATCCGATGAGTGTCTCATTATTTTGTCAAAACTAACGTAAATTTTCTAATTAAAAAAACTAATGTCTCACAGCGTTTTGACCCTTTTAGATATAATTTAAATACCAAACTCTTCTTTGGAAACTCAACGTTTGAAACCTGTTTCTAACGTTTTATAATAATGAGGAAAATTATTCTAACTATAGACCAGTTTTGACCCTAAAAAAATAATAGGCATTTTAGGTTTTTTTATTTTCCGGTTAAGATTTCTAAAACAGATTAAATAATTATTCAAAGAGACCAGATTCTTAATAAAACACCTGCTGACGATTTTACTGTTAAAAACAACAATTTTTAGTTTTTTTCACTGCTCCAGTTGGAGCTATTTATTAGTTTTCGGTGTCAAAACACGCCCAAATTAAATTACTGTTTATTATTGTTATCCAATATCTGGCACATCATTTGCAATGTAAATTTAAGCAATAAATTGCACAGCTAACTGTAACTTCTTCCCATCGTGGTGAAACTTGTCAAAATTTCACAATTTCCTTGCACTAAATCCATTGATGCAAAATGACCACATCTTCTCCCAAACTCACTTTTTTTACATCACACTCCCACGCAAATGATTTAATTGTCCCTAATTATGGTAATGAGCGATTGAATTTTTCCCATCATCTCCATCGTCCAATTGTCTGGATTGCGTAAAGCGTCACAATTCGGCTAAATTACCGTTTTTGTTGTCGATGAAAACGGTGATAATCCTGTGAACTGTGACAACTCAAGTGATGAATTCTTGGTGTAAAAGCAACCGCAAGTCGCGAAAATTGTCTGCTATTTTCTGGTCTATTTTAAACCGCGACCTCGTTCAAGTTCTAGGTGAAGGCCACGGCTGCGCCCAAATCCGGTACCGGACTTTACATAAGGGGTGAATAAAGAGTTAGAAAGTCGTGAAAGTCCCCCAGGACGTGGTGGTGCACTTTCGGTTTCGTGGCCCATTTCGAGTTCCGTTTGTAGAGAAACGCGGCACGTGTGTTGCATTATGTAGTGGTTGGAAACTTGGAGGCATTCCGTGTGTAAAAGGACAAAACGGTCGCAACTCTAGGTCGCAGACTTTCATCATTGCCTTTAAAGGTCGCTTCGCTTCTAATTGGAGTAGAAATTGCACGATGGTGTCAATAGAGATGCTTTTACACTGTGTAACACTTTATCGGATCATAATTATTTAATAATAATTTAATTGGGGCTAGAGACGGTGGTCAAAAAAGTTAAAAAACGAAAAAACGGTTTATTCTACTCTCACTAAAAAGTGGTGATTGTTGGCTTTGGATATGTTTAGTAGAACGGAAGCTTTTTTAATTAGAAAAAACTCGTCCGAGTAAAATTCCAACACCACAAAATTTGGAATAATTTATAACACTTTTCACTCAATTATTAGCTTATTAAAAGCTGAAAAATCAGAGAGATTTTCATAAAATTTGTACACATTATAATTGATCTTTCTTATAACTTGGATTGGCTCATCACAATTACCCCGAGCAAATTCTTGAAAAAAAGTCTTTCTTTCACACAGAATTCGTCTTAAGTATTAATTAAAAAGAAATTAATAGAAGTTTTACTCGAATTATTCAATTCTTAACGTTCGTGATGCTTATAACGTTTTTTGCACGGTAGAAACATTTTTACATTGATCTGAATAATTATTTGAATAAAAATAATCAATTGTGTCGTTTCATTTAAGACTTAAAGTGTTGCCACGGTGTTTCACGAATTGTTATAAATTTAATGAATTATTGTTAACAATAGTTAAGGTTGATGTTGTCTAGACGAAAGTTTGTTGATAGTTTGAAAAAAATACACCTTTGAAAAAACAGCTTAGAACATTTCATGAGTTTTCTCAAGAAAAATGTGTGATTCAGAATTCCTGAAATATTAAGATTTCGATATCAAAATGCCTATAAAATTTTTAAAAGCTGGTGTGGGGAAGAGTTGTGAGATTGGTAAAAAAAATTACTGAAAAAAAACTACTGAAGAGGCCGGAGGATTTACGTTGAATTAGTTTCTATTAATATGAAATAATTTGTTGGGATTATAATAAATGTTTTGTGGATTTTATTTAATTAATGTTTGAAAGTAACTAAAAGTGTTCTATCGTGCAAAAAAGATTTTAATTTATTACCATTTTAGCTTTGGCTTGAAAAAAAACCTATATTTATACCTACATTTTGTATTTGACTTGGCATTTGACTAGTTTTTTGTTAAATATATTCAACGAGAAAGTTATTTCTTTTGTATTGGTCAATGAGGAGCAAATGAGACGCTAAACCAGTTCTGTTTATGTGTGTTAATGTTACCGATAATCTTATTTATGTTTCTCATTGCTATTTAGTAAGTAAACGTACAAAAATTTTGCCAATAAAAGCCACAAATAACACTAAATATTGTTACAATTCAGGATACAGCCTCTTTGTTTTCTATTTTAATAGTCTGCAGTAACAAAACATATAAGATTATTATTTTTCCAACAGAAATAAATAAAGTCAAAGTGCAAATTTTAAACCCTCATAATTTCGAAATTTTTGCAGATAAAATTTTTTAACATTTTTTCCATGTTCCTGGTATCTTATTTTCTTATTTGGCATTTTTCTCACAAGAGCGAGTTCTGAAACATCCTGTAGATAGGTAAATAGTGTTCATAAAGTAGTTTTTGACAGATAAGTCCCAAAAAAGTGAAGTTTGTTAGATGTGTATAAAAAAATAAAACTTTACGGCGAAAAAAAGGATCGTAGAAAGACCATTTTTGTAATGAACGCCTAAAAAATAATAAATTGTCCTCAAACATTAATTAATTTGTATTATCACATTGTAATGGAATGGAAATAATAAAAAAAATCAGAAAATAACCTGTTTGTGAAATCGCCCGTAAAGTTTCCCAAAATAGACCGTAAAGAACTACTATTTCTATTATTGATATTAGAGATATTAATCGAAAAATTAAAAAAAAAGTCATGCAATTTTTTTTTAATTTTAGTATAATTTAAAAAATTGCGATTTCAGAAAAATACGTACCTCATTACCAAAGTTAATTTAATTTTTTTGCTTTGTGCCTATTTCTGCTGAAGCCGCAAATTCTTTGTGTGATTTACTCAAATGGTTTTAATTTGAGTTAGCTAATAAACTGTTGTGTGAGACAAGAGCTGTGATGTAAGATATGGCAACTCATCATTCATTTCCTAGTTTGGCAAAATTAGAAATTTTACCACCGCCCTGTTGAGAATGTAATAATGTAATTGCAATTAGTGTTTCTACACTAACTTTGATGACATTAAAATTTATATTTTATTTAATTTTCTTTTAAGAACGGTTTTGTGTTGTGTTGGAATGTTGAGCGCTTAATTTTAATAAGAAAGTGCGTCTGATCTCCGAGTAAGCATCCTTTTCTCTTGTAGGTGTTAGTAGGCTGCGTCCTCGCGACCTTGGGCGCGGAAGAGCAACGTTCGAAGAAGAAAGAAGATCCTCGAGGCAAACGCAATCTCCAGTACTTGGCTCACCATTACAACGGTCCTCATTCCTACCGACTGGAAAGGCGGATATCCACGGGTTCCCAAATTCCATCATTGTACCATTCTCAGTTCTTCCCAGGTCCTAGGTCCTACTCGCCGTATCACAAAGGTAGACCACATTCTCTATATCCGCCTCCTTATGCCGTTCAAATGGAACCTCTCGTCCACTACTCGCAACGAGATCCTTTGTACGATACTAACACTTTATCCCTGAATGCAGATGGCCAAGACGACCTCTTAACCGATAATAACCACCTTAGTGAGAACGTTTACGGGCCCCAAAAGCACGTCGTCGAAAGACCGGTCTACATTAAAGAACCCGAACCGATCATTGAGATTATTATCAAGGAATCGAACGTTACTTTGCCGCCGCCTCCAGCGCCACCCACACCGCCACCGAAGAAAAAGGAACAAGTGCAAGTGTTTTACGTCAAGTATAAGAAAAATCCCAACGGACATGGAAAAGAAACTGTGGTTTATGATAAACCGATCCCTGCTATCTCGCAACCAGTGCCAGAGGAACACGAAGAACCCCAAACTTACCACCACCATCACCAAGAAGTTGTAACATCACCACCTCCACCCAGTACAACTCTTCGTACGATTATTCGACCCGATTCAGAGACTTATCACAGTCCCAGTGGCGTCAAAGTCACCTTTGGAAAAGAATCCTTCGATTATGATAAAAGATCAAGCAAACCTGAAGATCTGAAAGCTTCACCTGGTGATCACAGATCAGTGCAGTTCCCTCAAGGAAGACAATTATCTTCGTTTCCTCCAAGTGTCCCCCGAAGACCCTCTAATCACAATTTCAACCCTTCAACAAACACGCGTCAACCTCAACCTTACCGACCATTCAACTTCTTCAGACAACAAAATTATCCTCGGCCCAACCCTCAACAGTACTCAACTTTACCCAAATTTCCCGAATTTCCTCAACCCTCAAAAACCAATCAACGGTTTCCTCCACCAAGACCGGTCCCACCTCAATTCCAACGCCAACCAGTGCCTTACCAACCATTTGAGGCTTTGAGGACTCAACCGCCGATCCAGTTCAGGCCTCAAACTCACTTCCCGATAACTCAAGCACCTCCGATTACGGAAAAACCGGTGCATTTCAACCAGTTTAGACCTCAGAAACCATCAGGACAACAATATCACACCCTTCCTCAATTTCACCAAGAACCGAGTCACAATTTCCAACAAAGACCAATTGAAGCTCAATTTCACCAAAGACCGGAACCTCAACCACAATTTCAACAACCACAACAAAGGCCGGAGCCTCAACATCAACCACAATTTCAACAACCACAACAAAGACCGGAGCCTCAACATCAACCACAATTTCAACAACCACAACAAAGGCCTGAACCTCAATTTCAACAACAATTCCACAATCAACCTAGCATTATACCCCCTGGGGGCGAACTAATTCAATCTCTTCCTAAATTCGAGCAACATATTTCAGTCTCAGAACCTAGTTCTTCCCAGTTTCAATATAAACAACAAGAGCCACAACAACAGTTCCAGTATCAACCACAATCCAAACAACAGAAGCCTCAACAACAGTTTCAATATCAACCACAACCCAAGCAACAAGAACCACAACAACAGTTCCAATATCGGCCACAACCCAAGCAACAGGAGCCACAACAACAATTCCAGTATCAATCACAACCCAAGCAACAAGAGTTCCAATATCAACCGCAACAATCGTCAATTCAACTTGAAAAACCCAAACAACAACAACCTCAACACTCCCCTGATCAACTTCAACAACAACTACGCGAAGCTAACGCTTTCCAGGAATCAATCCGGCACTCCTCACCCCAGTTTTTCAACTTTCAACAACCCCAACACAATTATTTCCAAACATCCACAACTCCTAGACCAACAACTCCCACGAGTACAACAACGCAAGAACCGGAAAAACCATCCACGACGACTAAAGACCCCAAAGTGTTGAATGCACAACTTCCAGATGAAGTTCCTGATGATCTCCGCCAACAACTCCTCTCGTCTGGAATTCTCAACAATGCGGATATTTCCGTTTTGGATTATGATAAAGTCGGGGATATTCCACTTTCGGCGCTTCCTCCAGACCAGTTGGCTAATTTCTACAGTGCCGGAGGGGCTCAACAGATAGGAGCTGGGAGTGAGCCAGTGCCGGCAGTGGCGGAGAGACAGTTCGATGCGGAAGCTTCGGAGATACATGCTGTTACTGCCAAGCCAGAGGTGCAGATGAAAGTTGTGAGATATGACCCGGAAAGTGATCGGGGTCAACAAGTACAAGAAGCGTATGTTAAAGATGATGCCACGCAGGTGGAACCGGTGGTGCTTAATGACGACAAATATAACAGGTATGAAATATTTAAATCCAATTCACAAAGAAACACAAAGAAATAAAGATTTTTACTTCAAGATGTCAAGAATTTTCGAATTAGTGTTTTCAAAAAAATTTTTGGCATTTAATTTTTCGGATAAGTTGTGAAAGATTTTGAATTTTCTTCGGTTTAAATGCAAGTCTGAAGACCTTCACTGTCTTTTAAAACGCTATTATTAAAAAAATTTGTACTGATTTTTTTAATTCGAGAATTTTTCAATATTTTTTTTGTTTTGTTGCAAGTCTAGAGAATTTTTAAAGCTTAATAGTTCCATATTTAAGATTTATCGTATCATTTAAGATTTAATTTAAGAATGTACATTTAAGAAGATCAATTATGCATTTTCAATGGTAACATTTATACTATCATTTAACATTTAAGCTTTTATATTTAAGATTCAATTTAAGAGTTTGCCAACTTTTAACTTTTTACTTTAAATGACAAATACCTAATAATTACTTATTATACAAGACGATAAAGAAATTGTTTATCTACGAGTGTAAAAGTTAAGTTTACAATCACGAGTGGACTTTTTTCACGAGTAGATAAACAATCTTTATCGTCGTGTATAATATTTCGTTTTATTTTGTACTCACCTACCAGAATTTCGGGAATATAAATAGTAGATAAAAATTACTTTATTTCACTAGACGATAAAAGACTACTTTATCTACTGAAATTAGTTGATAAAATATAAACAGTAGATAAAAATTACTTTATTCAATCCCCTATGTTAAAATTGAATTTTATCTACTCTTTTCTTCATGTTAAAATGAAATTTTATCGTCTAGGTGATAAACAAATACATCCATTGTTGTATATTTGCTGTTGTTAGTTGCTAACGACCTTTGACATTAGATTTCATTGTTGAATTTTATTTTGACATTTATAAATATCGACCAAATTCACTACAAAATTAGTGAGGATTGAATAAAATTTTATATTGTACACGACGATAAAATTCTCATTATCTTTTCGAGCATATAAGCGTCTCGGCTGACGCCTCGAAGATAAAATTCAATTTTATCGTTTTGTATAATAAATAACTATTATTTTACTAGACGATAAAAAACTACTTTATCTACTGAAATTAGTTGCTAAACGCACTCTTCAACATTGAGTACAAAATAAAATTGATAAATTGACATTAATTAATTGACATTAATCACACTTGCAAAGTAAAACTTTTTTTCTGAAATAATAAGAATTAATATCAGAATATAATTTATAGATTGTCACAACTTGACAAATGTTTGTGTAAAATACGAGATTTGCATCGGTGTATCCTTTAATTACTTTTTGGCTAATTTAGAAGAATAAATTCGAAAATTTAGTAAAATATCAAATCCGTTAACTCTTAAAAATTAAATCTTAAATGATAAATCTTAAATATGGAAGCATAAATCCACCATAAATCTTTGAGTACTTTTTTAATATGAATAACGAGGGATATATAAAAATTCTAATTTAATCTCCACAATTGTCTTTTGCAGTCTGATATTTTGAAAAGTGTGTAGTGATAATTCTTTGAATTCGAGAATTTCTATTTTTCTCTAAAATTTTTGGGTTTGGTTTCCTAGAATCTAAAGAATTTTTTTTTCAGTCGGATATTTTGTAACTTGGATAACTGTTTCTTTATTTTATTAATTTGTTACTTTTAGAAATGATAGCAACTTATTGTCAAAAATAAAATTTTTGGGATTAAAACTTAAAAAATTTGAAAATTCCCCACTGACATTTATTGAATTTTGCAACTTTAGACTCTTTAAATTGGAAATTCTGTGTAGTTTTTTGTCTTCAGAAACTCTTTTGAAGTCCGATTATTTGAAAAATCTGTGCCAATTTTTTTCATTCGAGAATTTTTTAAGCTCGGATTTCTGAATACTTTTTTTGCAGTTTATAGTGACCTCAAGAATTTTTATTTTTCTTTAATTTTTTTATTTTTTGTTGTAGAATCTAGAGAATGTTTTAAGCTGCATAGATTTCAGTGCCTAACTATAAAATTTGCCAGTTGTATAAAATTGCGAATGAAACTACATTTCTTATTGCAAAAATACATTTCTGTAGTTATTTGAAAATCAACATTAACTTTGAACTTCCAAAATATTGCACAACAGATAATTTTTCGCCAAGTCCTATTTTTTCCTTATTCTTTTGATCTTTATTTCAACAAAGAGGCAAAAACAAAATGTGCTATTTTTTGTTAAAATTTTACTTTACGACAACTTATTATTTATTTATAAATAGTCATAAATACTCATAATAAATAAAAAAAACTGTATAATATAAATGATAATAATAAAACACAAAGAAAAACAAGAAAACAAATAAAAACCTTGAATTGAAAAATTATTTAACTTTCTGACAGTTTAATTTTAGCAAATTCAGAAATCTGAATAAATTCTTAAAATACAAGGTGCGCCAGAACTCGCGCCCCAGAGAAAAATGCCATATAAGGTAAGATACCAGGAACATGGAAAAAATGTTAAAAAAATTTTATTTATAAAAATTTCTAAGTTATGAAGGTTTAAAGTTTGCACTTTGAGTCTATTTATTTCTGTTACAAAAATAATTTTCCAAGTTTTTTTGCTATAGGTTATTAAAAGAGGAAACAAGGAAGCTATATCCTAAATTGTAACTCTGTTCAATGTTATTTGTGGATTTTATTGTCAAAATTTTTGTCCCTTTACTAAATAATTGTAAAAAAACATATACAAGATCATCAGTATCATAAAATAGACATAAAAAAAATGTTAAATGTCAAAAAATAAATGTCAAAATTTTTTTACAGATAAATTTTTTTGGTATCTTACCTTACTTGAAAATTTTCTCTGGGGCGCGAATTCTGGCGCACCCTGTATAAACAATTTCCAAAATGTTCTGACTACTCTTTTTTATCAAAGATAAAAATATACCTAATATTTTGTAACTTTAGAAAACTACAGAATTTAAAAATGAACAGAAAACTCATCCACCATAAAAAAATCACTTCCCCATTCTATGAAAATAAATTATTAAATTTGCTCTTCTTCTAGACAGCCGAAGAAAATTTTTATTAATTTATAATAATTAAAAAAATAACGAAAATAACTACAAATAAAACCAACACACATTATTTACTCAAAAACCAAACGTTTATTTTGAGTATTGCCATTTGCGACACCAAGAGATCCAAAAGAAAATAATAATATAAAAAAATAACTACTAAAAAAGCTTTATTTCAGTTTTTTGTTTCAAGATCCTTATAAGTAGATTACGTTTTTGTTATGATTTTTTTTTTATAGATATTTGCCACTGAAGGTGAGCGGCGCCCAATTCCCCATCCCCGACGTCCCCGAACTGAAAGGGAAGAAAATTTCCAGTGTGGTAGTCCTAGCCCCTGTCAAATACGACTTTTCTTCCTCACGACAAACTCGTGACGCGAAAGAAGAGGAAGTCGAGTTGGTGGAAGGCCAATTTCTGAAAGAATTACTCGAAAATCCTTCCAAAGAAAACTTCAAAAAGTTCCTCGAAAACGAAAATCGCACCCGAAGCGACCGACAGGCGGTGATTCTCCTAGTGACAGGGTAAGTCTTCGTCAGTTCCACCTCGCATTTGCGTCATTTCCCCATTTCCAGGCCAAACGAAGAAGCCAAAGACCGCGAAATCTTCATGTACGACCTTGCGACCCAGACTGTCAGCAAACTAAACGGGGAGTTGTCTAGCGCCTTCGTCAACGCCGCCGAGGCGAACTCTGTCAAGGACACCAAAGCGTCGGCGTCGGAAATAGTCGAGACTCGGGTTCCTTATGACCTTGAGACCGAAGCCTCCGAGCATGTGGCAAGCTTCGTCGACGTGTCTGGAACTCCACTCGATGATGACTTAACTGCGAGTGAAACACGGGTTAGCAAGACTGGAGGGGCGCCCTAGAAGGGCCATCTGCGGGTTAAAGGTCATAAGGAAGTTCGCCTCCGGCTAACACAACCTCAAGTGCGTATTAGCAAAAATTTTATTTATTGAGACGTTATTTTCAAACTCGACTCTGTTCTTTGGTTTCCGTTTTTGTCAATATCGCCGAGGTTGTGTCAGCAGTGGTCAACTTTTTTATCAGTGGTTAGATTTAGGACGGGTCGAGGGGCCCTTTGTACAGTGTATGATACTAAATGTATTACTTTTTATAATAAAGATTTTGTAAGAATTGTGTTGGCTTGACCTACTCAGAGTATGGAGATTAGGATGAGATCGAGGACAGATTTCACCAAACGGTTTGCTTGAGATGACTTCTCTAATCGGCGAATTCCGGCAGAAGTTTCACTTTTATTTGATGACTGCCGCGAGCAAACGCAGCTTTTAAAAGGTACTTTACCCAATTTCCCCAAAAAACCTACATTGTGCCAAGATTTATAAAATAAGAAGGTTGCCTTATTCTTAATTTTATTACTCAATATCTCAAAAACTATGCATCGTAGAGGATTTTAACTTGTTGCATTGTCTAGAAAACCATATTTCAAGCGTTTTTACGACTTAAGATAAATTGATAATTTTTTTACTACCGCTCACCACTCGAAAACTCGAAAAATTCGTCATTTTTTAAACTTGACCCAATAACGTTTTATGCACTTTTTTGAGTCTTTAGCACCCCTAGAAAAGTAGAAAGCGTTAAATAGATCAATTTTAAAGTAAAATATTTTTTCGATTTTTGTCGAGATTTTGGTCGATTTTTGGCACCCGGAGCGGTCCTCTGCCAATAACTCCGGACATATTGGTGATAGGCTCTTATATTTGATACCGTTGGAAAGATAAATTAATTTTCTATAATATACAAAAAAAGATCAGTGCTCTACAATAAATACTTATTGAGAAAATTTCTCAAAAATATAAATTCGACTATAACTTCAAAACTATTACGAATTTTGCAGTTTCCTTCACGCCAATCGATTCTCCGGAACATTTTACATAAGTCTAGGTCAAAATATCATTGAGATACAGTTTTTTGCAATTTACAAAATTTACAAAACAAAAAAATGAAATAAAAATTTGTTAACACCGTAATAGTCGTTCAAAAAGTAAAAATTTTCAAAATTGTGAAATTTTAAACGCGTTTTTCTAGGAAACTATAAGACTTAAAAGCTAAAAACCATTAACATTTACTTGAAATTATCTATCTAATGGCACAAATCGGAAGTCGCTCCAAAAAAAATTATATCTCAAAAACTATGAGTCCTAGGTCAAAACGGTTTGTACAGGCGTATTCTCCGGTTAATTTTACATATGCATAGTACTAGTTTTTATAAGAATAAAAAATTTTTGATTTTTTGGTCAAAATCGGATGCTGCTTAACTGTATTACTCAATATCTCAAAAACTATGCATCGTAGAGTATTTTAACTTGTTGCATTGTGTTCAGCGAGAAATTTTACGTCCAGAAAACCATATTTCAAGCGTTTTTACGATTTTACCTTCAAAAACTCAAAAAATTCGAAATTTTTTAAACTTGAGCCAATATAGTTTTATGGACTTTTTTGAGCCTCTAGCACATCTAGAAATGCAAAAAACGTTAAATGGATCAATTTTAAAGTTGAATTTTTTTTTGTCGAGATTTTGGTCAATTTTTGGTACCCGGACCGGTCTTTTGCCAATAACTCCGGACTTATTGGAGATAACCTCTTCTATTTGGTACCGTTAGAAAGAAAATTAATTTTTTCTATCATATACGTGTTCTACAATAAATAGTTGTCGGGTAAATTTCTTAAAAAATCAAAAATATCAAAATTATAAATTCGACGGTAACTTCAAAACTATTACGATATATCGCAGTTTTCTTGACGCCAATCGATACCCCGGAACATTTGACATATGTCTAGGTCAAAATAATATATCATTGAGATACAGTTTTTTCGCAATTTACAAAATTGTAATTTTTGTAATTTTACGTCTAGAAAACCATGTTTCAAGCGTAAGGTAAATTGATTATTTTTACGATTTTTTGTAGAAATTTTGGTAGATTTTTGCCACCCGGAGTGCTCTATTGCCAATAACTTCGGACTTACTGATAATAACCTTTTATATTTGGTACCGTTAGAAAGAAATTTTCTATCACATACAAAAAGATCAGTGTTCTACGATAAATAGTTATTGAGAAAATTTCTGATAAAGTCAAAAATATGAAAAATATAAATCCGACTATAACTTCAAAACTGTTACGAATTTTGCAGTTTTCTTGACGCCAATCGATTTCCCGGAACATTTTACATATATTTACGTCAAAATATTATATCATTAAGATACAGTTTTGCCGCAATTTAGAAAATAAAAAAAAGTAAATATTTGTTAACACAATTTGTTTCTATAATTTTTTTTTTTTTTATAAGAATCAAACATTTTTGATTTTTTGTTCAGAATCGGATATATAGTGATTATGCTTTTAGTCTTATTCTTCTCAATATCTCAAAAACTATGCATCCTAGAGTATTTTAACTTGTTGCATCGTGTTCAGCGCGTAATATTACTTCTGATGCCAATAACTCTAGACTTATTGGTAATAACCTCTTATGTTTGGTATATTTTATAAATCTTGACATTGTGCTCAGTGTGCGCCATCTTCCGATAAGTGGCTAGAAAAACAGCTTAGGAAAGTAATCGATTTTCGGCTGGCGCAACATTTAAATGATGCAAACCTTTTTTGTACTAAAATTTATTTATAAAATTGCAGTCACAAAAAATATCATATCAATAACAGAGTATATAAAGCATTAAAACTCATATGAAAATATAACAATATTAAAACTCTTCTAAAAACTACGTTGCTGGTATTGCAATTTTCTTTTTTTCTGAAAAAAATTGTGCTAAAAACCGAAAGCGCAACAACTTATTACCTTTAGCTTTGTCCTTGGTGTCATTCTGTTGCACTTCGGGTAAGTTATCAACTGACAAGTCTTGCATTTCCTTCTCTAAACTCTCCAATTCCCTCTCGAGCTCCTCCTCGTCGAGACCCTCCTCCTCAAACCCGACCGGATGTGCAATAGCATCGGAAATTTCATCATTGAAATCTCGCTGTTCGGCAAATTGGTCCAAAATTTGCCCCACTTTGTCCACATCCCTACAAACCCCATAAAATTCGCTCAAAGTCGTCCAAATCTTACCAATTCTTTTGCGTCCCTTTTAAAGCCTTCGCAGCCTTATCCATCGACTCGACGGCCAATTTGTTCGTATTGGCCTTTTCCAGGAGCTCTAATTGCGCCTCCAGAGTGGTCAAAGCGCCATCAACCTGCTGGAGTTGGCGCTCTAATCGTTTCTTTTTTTGGATGGCTTGGAGAGCAGCTGGAAGGAAGTATTTCAAAAATTGTGTTTTTCCTACACTAAACGAACCTTTCCTATTGGTCGAAGCGTTTTTTTTCGCATTGGAAATCTCTTTTTTTAGTTTTTCTTCCAAACTGTTTTGCTTCCTGAGGAGCACGTCTTCGGTTACTTTGAGTCGTCTTATTGCTTCGGGTAGAGTGGGCGCTTTTGGGGGCTTCTGCCCCATGATTTTTTTTAAGAAACTCATCGGTGAATACTGAACAGGCACTCAGAATGGACGCCGCGGAAGTGAGCAGCGACGCAAGCGTCGATTCATCGGGAAATTGTGATTAAGGGTATTAATGTCAGTGTAACACGAACAGTGCAATGTGCAGGTGCATTTTTCGATTATCTTATCGCACTCTAGCAAAATTAAATATACGATAGATTGAGTTTTAAAATAAACAAAACATTGCAGAAAAGGAAAATTGAGGAAAAATGTTTTTCCTATGTTTTTCCACTGCGATTTCAGAAAGGAAAGTGACAGGGGCGGATGGGTTACCTACTGTTATGAGTACATATTTAAACTAGTGACATACTTTACCTGTACTATTTTTTTTATAATAAATTTATTTAAAAAAAAGATCAACATATTGTTTATTTAATTAAAACATTAATTCTCTTTTTAACAAAGAGCTGGTACTGGTTAATTTATCGATAATACTCGTAACATTGGAATCTATTTTATTCACTAGTGATTTATTCAAATTCATAACTAAAAACGATTCAAGACGACTATTTGACATGATACAGTAAAACCTCCCTTAACACCTCTTGATAACGGACATTTTTGTAGGAACGTAATATACAGGATGTGCCAGAACTCACGCCCCAGAGAAAAATTTCAAGTAAGATAAGATACCAGGTACATGGAAAAAATGTTTAAAAAATTCTCTGTAAAAAAATTTTGACATTTATTTTTTTGACATTTTCTTATGTCTATTTAATGGTACGGATGATCCTGTATATGTTTTTTACAATTATTTAATAAAGGTACAAAAATTTTGCCAATAAAAGCCACATATAACATTAAACAGAGTTACAATTTAGAATACAGCTTCCTTGTTTCCTCTTCTAATAGCCTGTAGCAAAAAAACTTGGAAAATTATTTTCCAACAGAAATAAATAGTCAAAGTGCAAACTTTAAACTCTCATAACTTCGAAATTTTTATAGATAAAATTTTTTTAACATTTTTTCCATGTTCCTGGTATATTATCTTATATGGCATTTTTCTCTGGGGCGCTAGTTCTGGCGCATCCTGTATAGGAATGTAATGTAAAAAATCCTCTCTGATAAGCGGACGCGGACAGTGAAATTTTCCCCAATTACCATAATGATTAAATTAATGAGTTGCAAAATACAGAATAAAAGAAAAATTTATTATTATTAGTAACAAACTCCAAAAACATAATAAAAAAACTTTTGGTCTAAACAAACAAACAAAAATTAACGATGGTGTAGATAAAAAATGTTTTTTTCTTTTTTTTAAAGCTTTTATAGACCATAAAGTGTAAGAAGATGAATGCTTTGCCTATTTTGAATTGTTATCAACACCAGACCTATTGTATCAGTGCAAAAATTACACTGAACTATTTTTTCCAAATTTAGCTAATAAATTACGATGCGTGTTTTGCATAGAGTTCTGTTGCGCAGTACTTACTTACTTTGATTTGGGTAAAAAAACACCGAATTTAGGTTTAAACTTTATTTTCAACGTAACATACTTTAACAGTGTGACTTACGCTGCCTTTGATCACAATTTTTTATTGGTAGGTAATGACGTAAAGGCAGGGCATTAATCAAGTTATAATTTAAGAACTGTAATTTCATAATAATTTTGTTTTTGTTATTTTAAATAAATAGCTTTTATTTATTTTTTTTTAAATTCAGCACACTCTCATTAAGGGACACCTCTTCACAACGAACAATTAAAGATTCCCCATCGATGTCCGTTGTTGAGAGGTTTTACTGTACTTCTTAAACGATTTTTTATGTATCAAAGCGAAGAAAATGATTGTTCACATGCAACTTGTGATATTGGCAATATTAGTAGATATTGGTAGGCAGTAGCCAGAAGAGGGTAGACTTTCTTGAAACATATTAAACTTAAGTATAATTTTAAAACAATAAATTGCACAATTTCTACAACTCTTGCAAAACTTTCACTGTTATCGTCTTCATCGTCTATTGTAGCACTGTCATCACATTCTTCATGTCTAAAGTTTGTAGTTTAATGTTCTTTAATGGATAACTTTAGTCTTTCCCAGTTAATGCCGAAATTCATCAACTCTTCTTTTAATCTCCCAGGTGAAGACATTTGATTAAATTTTTGCAATTTATTGTTTGCCAAAATATCATTGCATCTTCTGGTAATTTCTTTGAGGTTCTAAAGTCAGGAAAATTTTGAGGGTCCAACATGGCCAGGTCTCGAGAAATTTCCATATTTCTGGAAAACCTTATTCTTTGCAGGGATTTTATTGTGTTGTCCATAATAACATTATACATTATGTTCTAAACTTTTCAAAATGGGCTGAAGAAACTTCATCCCTAGTTTGTTTATCAAACATTTTTTTCACCCGGCGAACATGTTTTTCTGGAAAATTGGTTTCAATGTCAATGTTGTAGTTTTCTCTTTAAGTTAAAATATTAGTGGCCCATTGAGTAAATTTATTTGAAAGCGTATTTTTTCTATTTAAACACGCCGGCCCCGAAACAAATGGTTCGTTTTTTTCCATATAATGTGCATTGTGGCCAATTTAACGTTTCTTTACAGGAAAATATGTTGCTAGATTTAATGGCGATTCTAGGATATCAAAAAAATTGTTTTTTTAATTTTTTGCTCAGGGTCGTACAAAAATTTTATGCATTACACTGGAGGAAAGTGTATTTTCTTAGCTTGGTGGTTACTGCCCTGGACTGGTCCCACCTGTGAGAGAAAAAGATACACTTTCCTCTCTTGTGATACAAATAACTACTACCTCTGTCTCAAATTATGGTATATAAATATACACAATTATGTTATGCAACTGTGTACCATAATTTGGGACTAACGTATTTTTGTGTATTTAATGTTGGTGACAATGGCGTTCAATATTTTTACCAATTATTTGAGAATTCATTTCCTGATTCATGAAATGATAAATGTTTGTTTGAGTCGAATTTTCCAATGCCTAATTAAAAAATTTCTTTTCTTTAGAAACTGTATAAAAAGTGCAAAAAAAACGAGGTATTTCAAACTCTTGCTTAGATGGATGCAGCAAAGTAGTAAATACTTAAAAAACTTTCTTATTTGGGCGAAATTTACATTATATCTACAATATTATAAAAACAACACAACACATCAAACAAAAACGAAAAAAAAACAAATAAATAAGTGCATGAGCAATACGTTAACATCAGTCTTCGGCTTCCATGTCCGACTCGGATTCGCTGGAAGAGTCACATGAGGCTGCAAGGGACTCCCCCAACTTCTCCAACTCCTCTCTACTCAAACTTTTCAAGTAGACCTCATAGTCAGCGATGTACTTCCGTCTGACTTCCTCCAACTTCTCTCCCAAAATCTCCTTCTCCTTCTTGGTCATGGCCTTCCAAACCATGTCCGGATTCTCCTTCCCTTTATAAACACTCAAGAAAAATTTATACTCGTTGGAGGGAGGCATTGACGGTTTTTCAAAATGTTTTTTGGGTTTCTTGTCTCTTGTCACTTGTTTAGGGACCACAGTGGGACTTTTGTGTTTCCAGCGACTTTCCTCCTCTCGGATTTGATCCCTTTTTCCTGGCGGTAAAGTCAAAATGTACTCTTCTAGTTTAGTATCGTATTCGGCCCACATTTGGTCGACTCGAGTCCTGTATTCGTTCTTCTCCTCCTCAGAGCATGCCCTCCATTTATCCGAGACGTAATTAATAAGCTCGCGGCTGTTAATTTTACGAATCTCTTCAGTCTCCATCATCAGCTTGAGGAACAGTTGGTAGGGCCCCTTGGGGGGCTTTTGGGGCTTCCCAGAGGCTCGATCCTTGATCCTTCGTTCGTTTTTAGTGAGGAGAGGCTTGAGCTGCCCCGGTTCGTACTCGGGATGCTCCTTTATGTACTCCGTCAAGTCTTCCAAATACTTCGCGTATTCCTCTTCCGCCCAATTGATCCAGAAAAACTTCTCCTTGTCGCTAAACTCGTTCCAGCGCTCCCGACATTTTTGCATCACCACGTATCTGGAGACTTCACTCTCCTCTTTCTCGGACTCAACTTTGACGAAGAGTTCGAAGGGCGTCTTGGGCTTCTCGGGCCCCTCGTCGTCGCACGCGTGAGGCTTTCCACGTTTGCGCGTTTTCTTAGGGACCATCTCGGGGTGGGCCTCGTAGAAGACTTGAAGCTTCTCCAAGTACTCCTGTCGGGCGATTTTGGCCTCCTGTTCGTATTTCTGCTTCTCCGTCATGGTCAGATTTCTGAACATTTCGCCCAACTTCCGGGATACGTCATTGGGGGCAAGACTGGGGTTTTCATCCATCACCTCTTGACGCTTGGCTTCCACGAACAACATGTAAGAGTTTTTGGGCTGTTTGGGCTTGTCAGGGTGCCGCACAGTGCGTGGTTTGGGGTTCTCCACCCACTGCTTGATGTCGGCCGCGATTTCACCCAACAGGCGGTATTTTCGCACCTGCTTAGAGAGCAAAGCCCACTTGTCTTGGCACGCCTTTGGGGAGTAGTCCTTAAACGCGACATTTTCCCACTTTAGTTTCTCTAAACGTGATATGTACGACATGTTGTCGTCACTTGGGATGTTTTCCTCAATGTTTGAGACCAGCTGAAGCACGTCGGTCTTAGGCCACGAAAGACTGTCTTTGTTGTTTTTGGTTATGTTGGTCGTGGCGCTTGGGACGTTCGTGGAAGTTACTTTTCGTTTCTTGAGATTTTCGACTTCTGGATCCAAAATCTTTCTCTTCGGCATTTTTGGGTAATAATTAAGAACAAGTAACGAAAATCTGCAAAAAACACGCCACAATTTTCGAAAACTTAAGTAGCAGGTTTGCCAACCGCGTTACATAACCCCAAATTTTATTTACATTATTAATTTAAAGATAAAATAAGGTTGCAAATGCAAATACATAGGCAATGTAAATAAAGTGGCGTACATTAAAATAACGTAATTCAGTTTAATTTAATTAAAGCGATGATGTAATTATAAAAAATCTTCTAAATTAGAGAAACATTGCTGCCAACCGTAAAACCTAACCTGACCTTTTTTGAATTGATTTTTTTTTGTAAGAAATGGTACAAATTATGTAAATATATTTATTTCCTACCAAACAGAATAGTAAAATTAATAATCCAACAATATTAGATTACATCATGTTTGACTTACACAATAATATTCCTGTTTATGTACAATATTAAAAAAAGCGATTTATTTTTGAAACAATGCTTTGCCTAACATTCGTGCCTATGTTGCTGAAGCTGTATTGTGTGACACTCAACTGTTAGTCCATTCCGCCACTTACGAGGCCCAACTTTCCAATTCTTTCATATCATCATCTTCCTCGACTTTTTCTGGAATGGCAAGTGTAAAAATTTGAGTAAGAAAAGCGACAATGCGACTCACTTGCTGGTTTTGGTTTGGAAATCTCGCCAGTGGGCACAGCCGGTAGGGGCGTAGGCACCTCCACCAATTTCTCCTCCAAGGCTTCTTCCTCCAAAGCCTCGAGTTCTTTTTCAAGTTCATCTTCGTCCATATCTTCACCGAAACCGACTGGATTACTAATTGCATTCGAAATTTCAGTTGCTAAGTCTTGCTGATCGGCAATATCGTCCATCATGTTGTGAACTTCATCAACATCCCTGTGAAAATCAGCTGTGATTTAAAAAGTAGGAAAGTGGGCAACTTACATGTTGAGATGGGCGTTTTTGAGAGCATCAGCGGCATTTTTCATCGTTTTGAGTACGGCTGTGTTCGTGTTGGCCCCCTCGAGGGCCTCTCGCTGCATCTCGATCGTGCTGAGGGTGCCATCGATCTGCTGGAGCTGCTTCTCGTAGCGTTTCTTCCTTTTGAGGGCCTGTATGGCCGCTGTTTCGCAAAAAAACACTTAGCTTTGGTGGCTAATTAAAATTAAGAGGGGTCAATGACGCACACTGTCTCACCTCGTTTGTTTTTCGATGCGTTTTTCTTCGCCGTGAGAATCTCCTGTTCGATCTTCGATTCCAAGTATTCCTGTTTTTTGATGAGCATGTCTTCGGTCTCGCGCAGCTTCTGGATGGCCTCTCCTGTCGAGGGGGCCTTCTCCTCCTTCTTGCCGAACATTTTCCCGAAGAAACTCATCTTGGCGCCGGGGAACTACACGATTTGATCACGAAAAGTCCAATACACTTAAAACTAAAACGATTTTAGTTTATTTAGAAAACTCAAAAGATTCGGTTTTGACACTTTTGACAGGTTTTGTTCGTCGCCATCTGCCAGATGACTCATCAGCGTAAATACATGGAAGTGGCTAAGGTTGCGCAACATGAATAATTATTGTTTTTCTATTTTTTTATTTTCTATTTATACAACAATAATTAGTTTGATTTGTTTGAACGTATATAATCATCAAAAAACTTGAGGGACTCCTGAAGGTCGGCGTACTTTGCATAAGTGCAAGCCTCGTCGAGTTTCAGCCATTTGAAATCTTGATGCTCGTGTGATAATTTCACCTCAGCTTTGGGGTTCACGAGTTCGGCAAGCCAATAGGTCACTTTTTTGGGTTTCCCCTGCACGTTGTAATTCAAAACTTTCTTCACATCTTCGAAAATTTTCAAATCTTCTTTCTTCAAACCAGACTCCTCTACCGTTTCTCGAAGGGCAGTCACCATCTCGGTTTCACCAGGGTCCACGTGTCCTAAAACCAATTGTGAGTCAATTTGTAACTGAAAATATGTGTGGTTAGTTGGTTACCTTTAGGGGGGGTCCAATGGTGTTCACCGTAAGAAGTTTGCAATAAAAGATATAAAACATTGTCACAAGCCCTTTTATAAATCACAAAACCTGCCGCAACTTTCATTTTTAATAAAGCACTACTTTTTATGAAAAAATTGAGTTACAAATCGATGACAAATAAAAAAATTAGGTTAGGTTACACCGGTTAACTGTTAAACACTACTTAATAAATGCAAAAATGTTTTTATTTACAATAATTTAATTGCGGACTTGGTAAATAACTGATAGTTATATAGTACCAAATGCTTTGTGCAATGCTTTAGCCTCGGCTGAAGAAATGGGGTTCAAGGTGAAGCCCTCTAACCTAGGTTCGTGCTCTAAATCCCTTAATTTATGGAGTTTATTCTTAATACTCTTATCTAATTGTAAAATATCCTTATCAGCGTTTGAAAATTCTGAAAACTCAAATTTAAAAAAATCAAAAAAATACTAATACGGACCTGCTTTTAAAATTTCCTTGCATTCACTAGTAGGCCGTTCGATGTAAACAGAGCCGGCTTGGATCCAAGCCCTTCGATCCTCGGTACTCTCCAAAGCCCTTAGGGCTTCCCTAAACTTATTCCTCGAGTTGGACAAATCCAATTTTATTTCTTTATCAGTTAAAATGTCTTGGGCTAAAGTTTCCACCTCAAACAAGTATTGAAACGATTTCTGGTTTTGTATATCTTGACACTGAGACATTTCACATTTTTAAAAAACAACCACACTGACCGTAACTTGAGCCACTTCCATTTACTTCACATTCAGCGTTGCCAGTCCAATAAATACAATTCACTAATTTCGAATTGAAAAAAGTGCCAAATATACTCATTTTCACCAAATTACCTTTTTTATATAACAATTTAGTGATTTTTAAGTCGGTATGGCAAAATCTGCAAAAAACGGAGTTTTTATCTTAGAAAAATCTTTACAAAATTTTTCACCAAATCACCATCAGCATAAAAAATCACCAGATCTAGTAAAATTTCGACAGAGTCTGCCAGCACTGTTGATATTGAGGTTATGAGCGATTTGTGTTTTCACAATTTTCGCATTGTCATTTGAACTAAACATTTCACCAAAAGTGCACGAAAATGGCTTTAGCCGAGCTTTGCGGAATGTCTGATTTCGACACCTTCAGACGCGAAGCCCCATTCGAGAACGAAATAGTTAAAATGAGCAACAATTTCGCACACAACACCCTGCTGAGTGTGCCCCCATATTCCAACGTAAGTAGCTGTTTAAAACGCCCCCAAATAACCAATTGTGTTATAGCCGGCCGAGAACCTGGCCCATTTCTCCAAAGACGAGTCAGGCCGTGACATAAAAATCAAGTTCGATCACGGCACCACAACTCTGGGGTTCATGTACAAAGGGGGCGTAGTCCTCGCCGTTGACTCTCGCGCCACCGGTGGCCAGTTTATCGGTTCCCAAACTATGAAGAAAATCGTCGAAATCAACGATTTCCTCTTGGGGACTCTGGCCGGGGGCGCCGCCGATTGTGTCTATTGGGACCGCGTCCTGGCGAAGCAGTGTCGTATGTACGAATTGCGAAACAGGGAGCGAATTTCGGTGGCAGCGGCCTCGAAATTGATGGCCAACATGGTGTATAATTACAAGGGGATGGGGCTGTCCATGGGTATGATGCTAGCAGGATGGGACAAAAGGGTAATTAGATTCCATTATAAAAGTGGTTGGGTGTGTTAAATGGGTGTTTCAGGGGCCCCAGTTGTATTACGTGGACTCTGAAGGGACAAGAACCCCTGGAAAAGTGTTCAGTGTTGGCTCAGGCTCTATTTACGCTTTCGGTGTCTTGGATTCTGGGTACAAATGGGATTTGACTGATGAGGAGGCCTATGATTTGGGGCGTCGTTCGATTTACCATGCCACCCATCGGGATGCTTACTCTGGGGGTATTGTCCGTGTGTACCATATGAAGCCCACTGGGTGGGTACTTATCGACAATAACGACTGTATGGACTTGCACTACAAGTACCAAGATGAGAAATTAAAAGAAATAAATAAGGTTTAGGTTTGTAATAATAACGAATTGTTATTAAATTTTTTAACATAGTTGGCGTTTGATTGTCCCTCTAGTAGGCTGTGATTTTAATTGTAAAAGTGACAGTTTGTTTGGCATGTTTCAAATAATTCAAGTTAATAATTAGTGAGGTAAGTGGTGAATTAATTAAAATTGGTGTTTAAATATCGATTAGATGCGAGTCTCTCGTTTAAAATATGTAATTCTTGCCTACCACACCGTCCGCTGCGCGTGCCCAATCGGCGACGATGAAAAACACAAAACGATCGGTAAACAATCGAAAGGCGTGACTTTGACAACTGACAGCATGGAAGTAGGACCCTTGACTTCGGAGCCAACTTGGCAGCAACTCCAAGATTATTACAACAAAAATTCGTCAAAGTTGGTCATCAAGGACCTCTTCGCGCAGGACCCGAACCGGTTTAGCAATTTCAGGTGAGTGTCAATCGCGTTTCATTGAAAAATCTCGGGGAAATTGGGAAAAACCGGGTGACCTCTAAGTGACCTTGCACTGGAATTTGTTTTCCCAGTTGTAATCAGTGATTTTTAGCTTGAAACTGAAGACGCCCAACGATGGAGACATCCTCGTCGATTATTCGAAAAACCGCGTCAATTCCGAGGTGCTCAAATTGTTGTTTTCGTTGGCGCGGGCCCGCAAGGTCGAGGAAGCACGCGATGCGATGTTTTCCGGGCAGAAAATTAACTTCACGGAGGACAGGGCCGTACTCCACACGGCTTTACGCAATCGGTCCAATAAGGAGATTCTGGTTGATGGGAAAAATGTCATGCCTGAGGTGAATGCCGTGCTTGAGCACATGAAGCAGTTCACGAATTCGGTCCTCAGTGGGCAATGGAAAGGGTAATAATAATAACACAAGGCGACAAAAAAAATGTCATGTCGTGACAACTTGACAAATTATATATCATTTTGTTCGTCTCAGTGAGACTAATCAAATGCACTAAAAAAAAAATTTAAAGTCCTCACACTTTGAACTAAATAATTTTTTTTTAATTTAAATGAATTTAAAATACTTTAACTTTAAAAATCATTATTCAATAACTATTAGGCTGATTTCCTTCAAATAAAGACCATTCTAAAGGGATGGCCTTGCCCTTTAGAATGATATGAAATTTGAATTTGAATATTGGCAAACTTTTCTTCAAACAGTGTTCGAAGAAGTTCGAAGTAAATCGAAATGATCTAAGAAAAACCCTACGAGTAATTTTTTTTTCATCATTACCATCGTGTAAAGCATCTCTTTATTAGTTTTAATCCAAATTTTCAAAAGAATATACCGAGTAGTTTTCAAGATATGATTTTTTGAAGTTAAGATTTGCTAATCAAGCATTGCTCCATATAGGAGAAATGATCAGTGGTCATTTTTAGAACAAAAAAACTCTTAGTTTGCTTTAATTAGTACGCAGGTACTCTTTGTTTGTTTTAAGTAAAGAAACAGTTTTTGTTTATTCTAATTAGAACAAAGTAAGTGCAGTTGACCATTTTTAAGCAAAAGAAGAGTCTTAAAACAAATACTTTTATAAAAATGCAATTTTAAGTAAGTTTAACATGCATTTCTCCTATATGGCGCAATGCTTGATTAGTAAACCTCAACTTCAAAAAATCATATCTTAAAAACTACTCGGTATATTATTTTAAAAATTTCTTCTTACTTCTTGCTTCTTAATTCTTACTAATAAAAAGATGCTCTACATGATAGTGACAAAGAAAAAAAAATTACTCGTAGGGTTTTTCTTAGATTACTTCGATTTACTTCGAACTTCTTCGAACACTGTTCGAAGAAAAATTTGCCAATATTCAATTTCAAATTGCATATCATTTTAAAGGCCAAGTCCATCCCTTTAGAATGGTCTTCATTTGAAGGAAATCGGCATAATAGTTATTGAGTAATGATTTTTTAAAGTTAAAGTATTTTAAATTCATTTAAATTAGAAAAAATTATTTAGTTCAAACTGTGTGGACTTTTTGAAATTTATTTTAGTGCATTTGATTTGTCTCACTGAGACGAACAAAATGATATAAAATTTGTCAAGTTGTCACGACATGACTTTTTTTTTTGTCGCCTTATGTAATTAGTAATTTGGTAATTTATTCTATTTGGTTATTTTCAGCTACACTGGCAAGCCTATCACCGACGTGGTGAACATCGGCATCGGGGGCTCCGACTTGGGCCCCCTGATGGTGACCGAAGCCCTGAAGGGCTACGGCCGCGGTCTGCGAATGCATTTCGTGTCGAACATCGACGGTACACATTTAGCCGAAGTTTTGAAAAAAATCGACGCCGAATCGGTTCTCTTTATCATCGCTTCGAAAACATTCACGACTCAAGAGACAATAACCAATGCGACTTCGGCTAAACAGTGGTTTTTAACCCATGCTAAAGATGTAACTAGATTGTAGAGTAACTCGATTTTTTTTGACGCTCTCGATTTGTAGCCTGCTGCCGTTGCGAAACATTTCGTCGCTTTGAGCACGAATGGACCAAAAGTGAAGGAATTTGGTATTGATACTGCCAATATGTTTGAGTTTTGGGATTGGGTCGGGGGGAGGTACTCGTTGTGGTCCGCGATTGGGCTTAGTATTTCGCTGGCGATTGGGTTTGAGAATTTCCTCCAGTTACTGGAAGGGGCGCATTATATGGACAATCACTTCAGGTCGGCGCCCTTGGAGCAAAATGTAAGTATCGGTAAAGGATAATCTTTGCTAACTGTAAACTAAAAATAATGTCGAGAATTGAATAATAAAAAAAATAAATGTTTTGGATTGGTTTTAAAGATTGAGAAAAGTAAAAAAAAACAAATCAAATAAATAGTCGTTCTTGTTGAATGGTGTATTTTGATTTCAAAGAATGTAATACGAAAAAGGGAATCATTAAAAAAACTACGATGGTATAAAATAAAACTGTATTCCTTAAAAATTCTATCAAAATCCAAGAAACAGTAAATTGCGAATAAGCAAAGTCTTAAATTTAAAGGTTTTGAAAAAGAACAAATTTTATCTCAAAGTCCAGCAATCAAACGAAGAATAAAGTAAAGAAGAAAAACATTAAATTGTGACTTTTATTGTTTTTTCTCATTTTTTGAAGTTAATTTCAAGACTTTAAAATTTATGTAAACGAATTTGATGAAAAGAAAAAACTTTGAGAATGAGAAAGTTCAAGATTTTGGAACAGTGCTACTATAAAGTTTAGTATTTTGAGAAACGAGTTGGGATTTCAAAAAAAAACCTTAAAGATAATGTAGGGTCTCAGGAGAAACGTTTTGAGTACCTAAGGAGAAAAAAGAAGATAAAACAATTATTGAAATTATTGAGTTTTTAGGAAAGTTAAGAAAAATCTTGACAAAGAAATTTTATAAGCAGTTTTAAGATTTTGCAAGATAGTTGAGACCCAGAATCTTAACCTAATCAATGCAAATTTAAGTCAGTTTAAATTTTGAAAGAAAAAAAACTGAATTTCACGACTTTGGAAAATTGAAGCAAGAGCTAAAACTGAAAATCTTGTAAACGGAGAACTTTGAAGCAATGAGAAAATTCTAGATTTTGGAACAGTGAAATAAGTGAAGTTTGAGATTTTGAACACTAGGATCTTAAGAAAATTCAAAATTTTGAGAAGCGAAGAAAAGAAGACAATGTAAGGTCTCAAAAGAAACATTAAAATCTTGTCAAATGGTAGTAGCTAAGAACAAGTAGTTTTGAAATTTAGAAAAATATTCCGCATACGAAAAAAAAGGAGATAAAACAACTATTAAAAATATGAGTTTGTTGAGTTTTTTAGGAAAATTAAAAAATTTTGCTCAAGAAGTTAAAATCTTGATGTGGTCAAATTAAAATCTTGCAAAGAAATCTATATTCTTTATAAACAATTTTAAGATTTTTGCAAGATACACCTGAGTCAATCAATGCAAATTTTACAAAACATGTAGAAAAAAAACTGAAAAATCTTGAAAACGGTGTTAAGGGATACACTGAGACAATGAGAAAATTCAAGATTTGAGATTTTGAACACTAGGATTTTGAGAAACGAGTTGGGATTAAAATTAAATCTTCCGCATCCGCTTGCGCCCCGATTCCACAATGTGCCCCTTTCTCAGCTCCATCAAAATATCCGAGGTGTCAACTGCCATGTCCAAAGCTTTGGCAATCTCCTTAATCGCCATCAACTTATTCAACGCAGTTTTCTCCAAATTGTCAGCAATCTCGGGATGTGTGGACACCACATACCAGAAATCTCTCTTATCCAAATAAAACACTTCTGTAATTTCGATCGCGGTGACTCCGGCGACATAGTGCTCTTGTGTCATGATGTAAATTTCCCCAAAATGGTGTCCATCTTCGAGATGAAACACTTCTTTGCCATTTGGCAGAAACACCGACACTGTTCCATACGAAATAAAGTAGACGTTATCGTGAACGGCATCTTGTTTAACAATCTCATCATTAGGTAGGAAAATCTCGTGTTTGAGTAAGGCGACAAGCGCTCCAATGACCTCTTTTGGGGCCCCTTGAAACAGTTTGACTTTATTTATCAAATTGCGGCAACTGTACAAAAGGATTTCGTATCGGAGATGTTCGGAGAGAGAGTTGAGGATGAGATGCTCCATGAAGAACTGCTTCTGGTAGCGGTACTCGTAGTACATCAAGAGGCGTTTTCGCAAAACTAGAGGGAGTTTTTTCGTGACCATATATTCGTTGAGTTGGTAGATGAGTTCTTCGTATTTGGTTTCCGATACGTTTATTGTCCCGAAGAGTTGGAGGATGATGGCGATGACGTAGATGTGACAGGCAATTCCGCAGATGAGAATCAAGGCGAGGATGAGTTGTTCAAGGGGGTTACTGGTGACTATGTTGCCTTTACCAGCGCCGAAGAAGTGACATACGGTGCAGAGAAGACACTCGACGTAGAGGCTGTCAAGGGGTCGGTGGGTACCGAGAGTTGATTTGAGGACGTAGGAGTCGGAAAGGGGGTAATTTAGAAAGTAGCTTATGGCGGGGAGGATGTAAAGGACACAAGTGAACCAATGAATGACCAACATCATCATTATAGCAATTGTGATGCATTTGATGAAGGACTCGCGGACGTTGAAGTAGTGTAGAGTGTTGTTGAGGTACTCCAACATGGAATGAATCCGGACGAAGCGTATGGCGTAGATTGGAGGGATCTGAAGCCAGATGTGGAAGTACTCCGGAATCTGGAACAAGTCCTCCAAGTACTCAATATCAGTGATAAAGTACACAATTCCGTAAAGCACCGGAATAAAATCGTAGAGGAAGTACGTGTTGAGGTACTGTCTAGATACCCGTTGCGGGTCAAGTACTATCTCTTTGGTGCGATGTACCATAAACCCCACAAAAAATTGGATGATTATATCTATAAGGAAAACACAATTTATGATCATTTGGAACAATTCGTGAGCTTCCAACTCTTTGTGTTCATCATGTTCGGTCGCATTGAGGAAATGGGAGAGAAAAGCATTGAAAAGTGGGTCGGTAACAAACGCGATTATCCATAAAACGCAAATAAACATTTGTCGATAAATTGCCAATTTGCTCAAAGGATGAATGACCATTTTGAGTTTCTTGTTGCGGAGTTGGCGTCGACGTTCCTTGAACAGGGCCAGATTGCTCCTGAAGTATAATTTGCATTCGGGATTGGAGCGACTGGCGACTGTCCATTTTCGAAGATTATTGAAACATTTCTTGTACGCGGGGGCGAAAGGGGCCACACCCGGGAGTTCGCGTTCGAGTACTAACCGATCGAGTTTGCACACATGACGAGTGATGAAACTGATTCTCCCGCCGGCGGTGTGCTTATGTGGCATTTTTGACACTGACAGTGTTTTGGTTTTGTTTCAGGCTCCCGTGATTTTGGCCCTTTTGGGTGTGTGGTACCACAATTTCTACGGCGCGGAAACGCACGCTCTCTTGCCCTATGATCAGTATTTGCACCGTTTTGCCGCTTATTTCCAACAGGGGGACATGGAGAGCAATGGCAAATATGTGACTCGTAGTGGCCGAACGGTGAACTACAGTACAGGCCCCATCGTGTGGGGCGAACCGGGGACCAATGGCCAGCACGCCTTCTACCAGTTAATTCATCAAGGGACGAGAGTTATCCCCGCCGATTTCATAGCTCCGGTCCAAACGCTCAACCCCATCAATAATGGACTGCATCATAAAATATTGCTGGCGAATTTCTTGGCCCAAACGGAGGCACTCATGATGGGGAAGACGGGGGAGCAAGCGCGAGCCGAGTTGCAGAAACAGGGGCTGCAGGGGGCGGCGCTTGAGAAGATACTCCCGCATAAGATTTTCGAAGGGAATAGGCCGACTAATAGTATCATGGTGAAAAAAATCACACCGTTTACTCTAGGAGCGCTCATTGCTATGTATGAGCACAAAATCTTCACTCAGGGAATCATCTGGAATATTAATTCCTTCGACCAATGGGGGGTGGAGTTGGGGAAACAGTTGGCTAAGGCGATCGAGCCCGAGTTGCAAGACAATAAAGCGGTGTCGTCGCATGATTCCTCCACCAATGGACTCATTAACTTCATCAAAGCCAATCATTAAGGGGAGTCTTATGATGTATCATGTCTCTATGTTAGGTGTTAGGGAAATTAATATATTGTATGTTTTTATTAATAAATGAGAGATTAGACAATTGGACTTTTTTTGTTACATCACTTGATTTATCTATCAAGGTCGCAATGGAATTTTTCCATGTTTTTCAATAATTCATTTTGATTGTTTCTGTGGCCTCATTTCAGTGAACTTAACCTCAAATCTTTTTCAGTTTTCAGTTTCTTATAGAAACTCAATTGGGCTAATAATTTGTGTAATTGTAGAGTTCTTTAAATTGTTTTCAATGTCACCCATTTTGTAGCTAGTCACTCTTATCAAGTTGTTTGCTTTAGACTTATTTATACTTTGTCGGCAATATAATAACCTGTTGATGAATAAAGTCTTAATTTTTGTGTCCTTCCTCCCAGCTATATCTGTTTAAGGTAGGAACACGTAATACTTGCAATAAAAATCCCATTTGTGTTGCTGCAATGTTCACCTATTTTATAACAGGATGTGCATGTTTGTAATTACTAATTACATACTGGTTTTCTATTTTTATCGATTGCTTGGCCTTTTTGATATTAACAATTATGTTCACTGCATTCAAGGTTTAGCGTTCCAACAATCATCACCACTGAACTAAAACTAACTCTGGAAAAATGCTTCATCTTTTTTTAACTCTGTGGCGCATTTCAAATTTTGGAATGATTTTGTCTCCTTGTTTGTTGTAGCGCAAATATTTCATAAGTATTTTGTTCTGCTTTGTTCGTGTGTAAAATATCCAGCAAGTTGAAAACAAGCGACGTAATGAATGGCCTGCGATAATCTTTTTACATAAATTTTGTAGCAAAATTACCCAGCAAGCAGCAACACTATTATCAATTTACACCGAGATAGCTTAGATTTATTTGCGTGATTTATACCAAAGATTTCATTCACCTTTTTTACGACCTTTTTGTAAGAAATTGTAAAATTTAGCAACGAAGTAAATTGAAAAAAATGTATAAACAATATTAATAAAGTAATAAACGCTAAGGTTTATCAGTTGCTGTAGTAGCCAATCTGTGTTCTATTTTTTCAAATTTTTTGTTCACAGAAAGGTAAAAAGTTTCTTTCTATATCAGTACAGTAAATTATTATTTTTCAATTACAACATTATTGGCTGTATTTTGTATCGTAATATGTGTATATTACAATTGTAAGGTTGTTAAAACATTATTAAAGTATTATTATTTCACCTATTTTTTTTATGAAAGTTATAAAAATTTACGGTACCTACTTAAATAGTCGTATTTTAATAAAATTATTAGCACAATATTGTAGGTTACTATTTAGAAAACTTTTTATTTAGAAATCTGTCCATCTTTTTACACTTTTCTTGAAAATTACAGATTTAATTAAACTTCATTTTCAAGAGACAAAAATTTGAAACTTTTTTTTTAATAGAAAAATATCAAAACCATTTTTTTTATTTCTTTATTAAAATTTTGAATTTGTGAATGAAAAAATTTAAAAAGAGAAAAATACATAAAAAAACCGTGTGTGCAACAAGATTAAGATTTTTTTCAAAATTATTGCACGAACAAAAAAAATATAGGACCAAGCGTGTTTTTTTTGTAATTTGTCTTTAGAAAAAAAATAATAAAAATTAAAGTGCTTTAAAACTTGAAATCATGTTTTGGGAATAAAATTTTGTTTTGTTTTCGCGTGATGCGATTTTTTCAAAATGGCAACTTATATGAATTTTTTTTCGATAAAAATCAGATTAAATGTAGACAGTTCTAATTTTTAGATCATATTGTTTCTAAAAAAAGGTTTTATAATGGGTTGGCATTTAGAAAATTCAAAATTTTGCAAATTCAAAACAAAAGAAGATTTCGAAAATTTTTATTTTTGAAAAGACGTTACATTCCTTTATAATTAATTATTCATTAATTAGTTTTTTCAAAAATAGATATGTAGTTCAAGCACAAAAAACGTTTCGTTCCATATTTTTTATTTGTTCATCTGGTATATTATACCTACCGAAAACCATTACAAAAAATATTTGTACCAATGAAATATTAACGAAAACTTATAAAATAACATTTTTGAGGCATTTTTTGACTCAAATTTTGAATTTGTAAATATAGAAATGGAAAAAGAAGAGAAAAAGAACATTAAAAAAGTATGTGTGTCGAAATCTTTTTTTAAATTATTGCACAAACAGTGCAAAATATTTATTTTTGTTACCAATTCCGTAATTATCCGATGTCAAGGTCTTCTAAATATTCCATAAAATGATAAACAAATTGTCTATTTCAAATTTATCTTATCCCTGATTTAATTTAATTATTTAAAAAACCCGAAATGTTTATTACTTTTATTGTTTTTTAATAACGTTTTCCACTTTTCATTGGAACATATTTAAATTTTATTGTAGTTAAATAATCGTAGACCATGAGTGAAAGCAAGGAAAAATTCAAATTTGCCATCGATAGAGGTGGTACTTTCACGGACGTTTTTGCAAAATGTCCTGGAGGTAAAATACGAGTCCTTAAACTCTTATCTGAAGACCCTCAGCATTACAAGGACGCTCCGACTGAAGGAATTCGCAGGATATTACAAGAGGTGAGTAATCGCAAAACTTGTAGCAATAATTTTCCCATAAATAAGAAAAAAATCAAAAATAGGAGCAAATTGTTTATTCCAGGAAACTGGTAACGCTTTGGATAGCGACGGCAACGTTGACAGTACTCTAATCGAATGGATTCGAATGGGTACCACTGTCGCTACCAACGCTTTACTAGAGCGCAAAGGCGAAAGAATAGCTTTTGTAACCAATGAGGGTTTCAAAGACATTCTTTTGATCGGTAACCAAGCTCGACCAAAAATTTTTGAACTAGTAAGTAGCCACAATTTCTAGTACCCCCAAAACACTAAACCACTTCTAGAACATTAAACGACGCGAAGTCTTGTATTCTGAAACTGTAGAAATAGACTGTAGAGTGGTACCACTTCTGAAAGGCCGTTGCGAATTAGGAGACTCAGTTTTGAGGAAGTGGCGGGTTGTGGAAACCCCCACCGGGGAAAGATTTTACATAACTCGCGAACTCAACAAAGACGAGGTTTACAATAAGTTGAAAGCGATTAAAGATAAAGGGATTAATAGTATTTCGGTGGCGTTGGCTCACAGTTACACTTATCACGACCATGAGATTGAAATCGGCAAAATTGCGGAAAAAATCGGCTTCCAACACGTGTCCCTCTCCCATCAGATCATCCCAATGGTACGGATTGTACCTCGCGGGTTCACTTGCTCAGCCGATGCTTATCTCACCCCTCACGTCAAACGCTACGTCGCGGGGTTCTCCCATGGGTTCAAAAATAACCTACAAGGTACTCGGGTACTGTTCATGCAAAGTGACGGTGGTTTGACCCCAATGCACCATTTTAACGGTGCTAGGGCCATTTTGTCGGGGCCAGCAGGGGGCGTGGTTGGCTATGCGGTCACCACGTGGCAGAAAGAGACCCATTTGCCAGTCATTGGGTTCGATATGGGTGGTACCTCGACTGACGTATCCCGATTTGCTGGTAACTTTGAACATGTTTACGAGAGTACCACTGCTGGTGTTACGATCCAAGCACCGCAACTTGACGTCAATACTGTGGCTGCTGGGGGTGGTTCCATGCTGTTTTTCAGGTCGGGGATGTTTGTGGTGGGGCCTGAGTCGGCTGGGGCGCACCCAGGCCCTGTGTGTTACAAAAAAGGGGGCCCTTTGACGGTAACCGACGCCAATTTGGCCCTAGGCCGACTTCTGCCTGACTATTTTCCGAAAATATTTGGCCCGAATGAAGACTCAGCTTTGGATAAAGTGGCAACAATTGAAAAATTTCAAAGTCTGACGAATGAAATTAACGATTTTTTGAACCGGGAGACTTTGATGACCATGGAAGAGGTAGCGATGGGTTTTATTAAAGTCGCTAATGAGAGTATGTGTCGCCCAATTCGGGCTTTGACCCAAGCCAAGGGCTACGATACCGCTCGCCATGCCCTTGCCTGTTTTGGCGGGGCTGGTGGGCAACATGCCTGCGCAATTGCCCGGTCTTTGGGCATGACGACGGTGTTTGTGCACAAATATGCCGGGATTTTGTCGGCTTATGGCATGGCGTTGGCAGATGTGGTTAACGAAGCGCAGGAACCCTGCGCCAAAGTCTACAATGATCTCAGTTTTGGGTACTTCGACGAACGGTTTGATGCCTTGGAGGAGCAGTGCCGGAAGGAGTTGAGGAAGCAAGGCTTCAGTGACGAGAATATCGAATTGAAGCCTTTTTTGCATATGAGGTATGATGGTACCGATTGTGCGTTGATGTGTAGCCCAGAACCGGGGAAATCCGGTACCAAACGTGGCGATTTCATGAGTGCCTTCTTGGAGCGGTACCAAGCCGAGTTTGGGTTCGTGATCCACAAGAGGAATGTTATAGTTGACGATATAAGAGTGAGAGGGATTGGGAAGAGTGATCTCATTGAGGAAGTACCAATTGAGGTTGCCAAAGACGATCCAAAATGTGAACAAACGACTCAGGTTTATTTTGAAACTGGGTTCCACGAGACAGGAGTTTACCTTCTGAAAAATCTGAAATCCGGGCATGTTATTAAAGGACCGGCGATTATAATGGACAATTTGAGTACCATTTTGATCGAACCCGACTGTACTGGTACTGTAACCAAATTTGGGGACGTTAAAATCACCATTGGTTCCGGTCATGTGAAGGAAATCGGGCCTGAGCTAGACTCGATTCAGCTCAGTATTTTCAGCCACCGGTTTATGAGCATCGCTGAGCAGATGGGGAGGTACAGTTGAACAAAGTGAAAATGACGCCTCAATAAACCAACCCCTGCTGTAGATGCCGACCTTTCTAACCACAAGCAAAATTATAATTTAATTTAAACTAATTAACATTGACAAATTTCAAGTTAAATAAATATGTAATTTTTTTTATTCACAATCACTAATGTAATATGTCGATTACTAACCTTTTTAAGCTTGGGAAACATGTCATTATTTCTCATGAAGAGGAATAAATGTTACTCCTCTTGGGTGGTAATATGCAGGATTGCCAACGTTAAAATTACGAAAATACCGGAAATTTTTTCTTTTAAATTGTCAAGTTACGCATAATATTTCACTAAATTAGTATTCAATTGGTTTTGTAGCAGTTTCTCTTAATTCTAGGGGAGTACATTGCTCCATTTCGACGACTTTAAATCAGATTTACACATTATTTCAATATTTTCTTTGACATTTCTGAAATGTCAAAAATCAAACGTCATTTGGATGGCCTACCACGTTTGGACCTTAACTTTGTTAGAATTTTATTTTACTCAAATTTTTGACTAAAAATAATGTGATTGTGAATAAAATAACATACAAACCTCGGTGGTAATGGCATTACCCTTTGTGCTTTATCCGATCTCGAGGCTAGCGCATTTCGATCGTATAGGTAAGCACTCGGGGTAATGCCATATTTACCACCTCGCTTGTAATGTACTATTAATGAAAAATTTAACAAACCATTTCTTGAAGAAAATTATGCATTAATAATGACATTGACGAGAAAGCAAATCATTATTAACTTAAACATTTTTTTAACTGTTTTTTCAAAATAAAATTTATTAACATAATCTTTGTACCAAATAGGCCTTCTCTATTTTTAACCAATAAATTAAACCATTGTTTATCTATTTGCGGAAAGATTTAATTCCCCGTGTCCGTTTACCGCGAGTGGTTTAATTTTTTGAACAAATAAATAGGTTTAATTCGCTTGTTTTATATCTACATAATTTTATTAAATTGTGTGTAAATTGTTTCTTTGGAACATAAAGAGAGTTTAAGAAACTACGAATTTCAGTTGCAAGGAAATTTAATTGATATGGTGACTAGTGTTCATTTCTTTGTAATAATAATAAACAACTCGGAAGTGTGAGTGACCTAATTTCATTTTGGAAAACAGTTTATCAAAAAAATGTAGGAGTATTAATAATAAATGAGTTTTAGTCAATTTCATCTTATTAATTCATAATTTTCTCTAAGAAATTTGTTAAATTGTTTAAAAACTAAACATTTTCATTTAATTTAAAAGTAATACAATTATCAAGAAATAAGTATTGTAATTGTAGCAGAACTAAAAAAAAAATAATAATTTTGCGTTTTTTTTCTGGTTAAATTAAATAAATAATTTTGATTCGTTTTTAATGGTAATTACAAAACTAACAGAAAACTTAGGGCCGGTTTACAGAACGTGTTAATCGCAATTAAATTTTTAATTTAATTTGACATTTGATTCGAATTAGTTTCATTCAGAATTAAATTTTAATTTCGCTTTTTGCTCAAAGAATTAAACCACTCGGTAAATGCACACGTGGAATTAAATTAAATACACAATCGTTTAATTCATTTGTTGTTTTACAGAAAATCAAGTTTAAAGTAGAGAAAGCCTATTTCGTACAAAAATTATATAAATTAATTTTATTTTGAAAAAATAAAAAAATTATTAAGTTTGCTTTTTCGTCAATGTCATTATTAATGCATAATTTTCTTTAAGAAATGGTTTGTTAAATTTTTCATTAAAAAAACTCAACATTTTCATTTAATTAACTTGACGTTTGTCGGGTCGTTATCTACAGCAGGGGCTGGTTTATTGAGGCGTCATTTTCACTTTGTTCGACTGTACCATTCGAGTACCAACGCGAAAACTGATAATTTTTTGCAGAATTTTGCAGCGTACTTCAATCTCGACTAATATTAAGGAGCGTTTGGACTTCTCGTGTGCTTTGTTCGGCCCTGATGGGGGTTTGGTCTCCAACGCCCCTCACATCCCAGTCCATCTGGGGGCCATGCAAGAGGCCGTTCAGTACCAGATGAAAACCAGACAAAAATTTAGCGAGGGTGAGGTGATTTTGTCCAACCACCCTGCTGCTGGGGGCTCGCATTTGCCCGACTTGACCGTAATCACCCCCGTTTTCCACAAGTGGGTACCAAAATTCGTAGTTTTCGTGTTTTAATGCAATTTCAGGGGGCAGCCTGACCCAATCTTCTTTGTGGCGAGTCGGGGACACCATGCCGACATCGGTGGAATCACCCCCGGGTCAATGCCGCCCCATTCCACCACTTTGAGCCAAGAAGGGGCGGCTTTCAAGTCGTTTATCTTGGTGGAAAATGGGCGATTCCTCGAAGACGAGGTCATTGCCGCGTTCACTAAAGCCGGTGGTCGCAATTTGAGTGACAACATCTCGGATTTGAGGGCCCAAGTCGCTGCGAATAAAAAGGGCATTGCGTTGGTGGGGGAGTTGATCGAGCAGTATGGTTTGAGGGTGGTGCAAGCCTACATGGACCACATCCAGAGGAATGCCGAGGTGGCGGTGCGCGACATGTTGAAGCAAGTGGCTAAGGATACGTTCGAGAGGACGGGGAGGACTGTTCTGGAAGCGGAGGAGCACATGGATGATGGGTCCCCAATTGTGCTTAAAGTGACGCTGGATCGGGAAAAGGGCTCCGCTTTTTGCGACTTCACGTGAGTTTTTCCAGACTGGTTGTGAGTTGTTGTTGATTGCAATCTCGAACAGGGGCACTGGACCGGAAGTTTGGGGTAACTGCAATGCGCCCAAAGCCATCACGCTCTCGGCCCTTATTTACTGCCTGCGCTGCATGGTCGGACACGACGTTCCGCTTAATCAGGTATGCATAGTGAGTCGCTAAGTTGAAAGATTCGAAAGTTCGACTAGACTCATTTTTATCTGAGATTATGTACCGGAAAATTCCGGAGCAATTGAATTTTACGGAAAGAGCAACCGGCGGTAAACAAGATGATTATTTGACGCGATTGCCGGGTCCTATTTTAAGTTTCTGCAAGTTATTTGAGGAGGAATTGCCTGAAATGTTTATTCTGTCTACAAAGTTATATCAGTTTAAATGCTATGATAAGGATTGCTTTACTCATTTAGTAGTGGTGGTGAAGAGTTGAGCACTATATTTTTTCTACGGTTACGTAAGTCGGAAAAATGCAATTGTGGAAGATCATTGTTTTTATAATTTTTTAAAGAAATTTATTAATCAAAAAGCCAAATTTGCTTTATATTAACAAGCGTATAGTGATTGACTGGAGTTAAAATTGTATATTACCAACCGGAGTGGAAAGTGTTTCATTTCTGTCGCAAGCGTCTCAGTAAATTTTCTAATCTCTAGACAGAAGGCAGAAGGGCAGTAATAGAGGTAGGTATCCTAGTAGCACATTTATACAGGCTGGTCCAAAGGTCTGGAAACGATTTTATTTTGGCGAAACTATCAATTTTTTTTGGCAAATAAATTTATAGGTGTGCAATGGCTATAAAAATTTGAATATTAATTTATTGTTTATACTTACGAAATAAACATAGTAACAATTTTTTTAAAATGGAAACCTATCACAATTTTTTTTAGACGAGATGTGCAAAAAATTTTTTTGTAAACCTCACACTTTTTTTGTTGTTTGACTTACAAAAATTAAAGATTTTTTTGAAGTAAACTACCAGTTTGGTTTTTTTTTTGGAAATAACTTAATAAAGATTTAAAGGTTGTAAAGGAGCGATGCCAAAATATTTTTTATTTTAATTAATTGTTTAAACTTTTGAGACTACCATATTAATAATTTTTTTCTTAAATAAAAACGGTTTTTTATTTATTGTTTTACAAAGATATGTTTATGCATTTTATAAATGTATAAAGATATTTATCGAAAATGTTACAATTTATGTTAAAAAAATTATAAACTTTATCTCTTGTCAAAACACTCAACTATGGGTTTTCTTATGGGCGCCATATTGGATTTTTGCATTTTTCAAAAGTTTTTCGATGTCTCACACGATATGATCAAATCTTACAACATGCTGATCAAAACTGGAAAAAAAGTTTTTTCGAAGAATTCTTTGGAACACCAACAAATTTGTTTCTCTGGGTCCCATGTTAAATATTGTCCAATGCTTTGTTGATTTTCTGGAGAAGATTTCTAGAAAACTTTTTGGAAACGCCTCCTGTAAAAATAAAAGAAATACAACATAAAATAAACATTATTAAACTTTTTCAATACAATACAAAAGTGAAGGTAATAAACTTTACATTGGCATGTAGCCAAAATGTTTACACAGTTTTAAATAAAATTTTTATACTTACATGATAAACAATAATAAAAAATTTCCTAGATCTGGAAAAACTAGTTAGAATTTGTCATGCATTATATTGCATAATATTTATACAGGGTGTTTACGGTATTGAGGTTGAAATTTAAATAAGATGATATTCACTGTAGAAGAAAACTAATACGCTATTTAAAACAAAAATTCACGTTGTGAAAAGAAATAATTCATTTTATATTATTTGTTTGAGAACTGCTGTTTCAGCTGCATTAATATCATTACCTTTTGTTTCACCGTAAATCATAATCACGACAACCAATTTATTTTTTTAATATTTTTTGCTATTCATGTTCATAAATTTGTAAAAAAATTAAGAAAAACGAATCAAACCTATTGGAAACCATTTCGCTGGAAGAGATTGAACAGAAGATCTTCGAATTTTGATAAAAAATAAAGCAAAAGCAAAAGCAAATCAAATGATGATAGTGTCAAAACTATGAAGTGAATTTATTTTTTCATTGTAATGGATACGATTTTTTATTTGTTGCAACAATACAATTTTATCTGTACAAGAAAATCATACCAGCGACCTTCAAACCGTGTACCAATATTTTGGAGTTAAATAACATTCTGAGTAATAACAATTATGTGAGCTTTTTGTTTGGGTTACAGTATTTCTGTATTCCTCTATTAGGGTAGGTTAATTTTCAACTCCAAGACTGTAAACACCCTGTATATTAAAAAACCGTTGCTATATACGCCAGAGATAACCATGGTTGGATAACCGTTATGAAAACTGAATCTATATCAGTTATATAACCTTTGCTATATATGACAGACATACCTGGTTATGCTTAGGTAACCGATATACAGGATGCGCCAGAACTCGCGCCCCAGAGAAAAATGTCATATAAGGTAAGATACCAGGAACATGGAAAAAATGTTAAAAAAATTTTATCTATAAAAATTTCGAAGTTATGAGGGTTTCAATTTTGCACTTTGACTCTATTTATTTCTGTTGGAAAAATAATTTTCCAAGTTTTTTTGCTATAGGCTATTAAAAAAGGAAATAAGGAAGCTGTATCCTAAATTGTAACTCTGTTCAATGTTATTTGTGGCTTTTATTGGAAAAAAAATTTGTCCCTTTACTAAATAATTGTAAAAAAACATATACAAAATCATCAGTATCATTAAATAGATATAAAAAAATGTCAAATGTCAAAAAATAAATGTCAACATTTTTTGACAGATAGAATTTTTTGAACATTTTTTTTATGTTCCTGGTATCTTACTTTGCTTGAAAATTTTCTCTGGGGCGCGAGTTCTGGCGCACCCTGTATAAGCTAAATCTAACATACGCCATATTGCATCACAAAGATAACGTTAGATATTTGTTATTTAACTTTTGTTATATACTCCAAATCTAACCATCGTTAGATAAACGTTATACAGGGTGCGTCAGAACTCGCGCCCCAGAGAAAAATGCCATGTAAGGTGAGATACCAGGAGCATGGAAAAAATGTTAAAAAAATTCTATCTATAAAAATTTCTAAGTTATGAGAGTTTGAATTTTGCACTTAGACTCTATTTCTGTTGGAAAAATAATTTTACAAGTTTTTTTGCTATAAGCTATTAAAAGAGGAAACAAGGAAGCTGTATCCTAAATTGTAACTCTGTTTAACGTTATTTATGGCTTTTATTGACAACATATTTTGTACCTTTACTAAATAATTATAAAAAAACATATACAATATCATTAGTATCATTAAATAGACATAAACAATGTCAAATGTCAAAAAATAAATATCAAAATTTTTTGACCGATAGCATTTTTTAAACATTTTTTTCATGTTCCTGGTATCTTATCTTACTTGAAATTTTTCTCTGGGGCGCGAGTTCTGGCGCACCCTGTATAACATGCCGTACTACTAGGACCAGGATAATAGAAGGTCAGTAATGAAATGAGAGACATTCCAAACTCCGGAATAAAATGTTTTGTTTATTTTTTATTTTCTGAAATAAAAACGATTTTTGTCGGAGAAACAAAAAAAACAAAACAAAGTTTATTTTAGTAGTTTTTATTTATGTGTCTGGTCGCAAAAAACTTTCGTAATGAACATATTTTTTTTGAAATGTATTACTTTTGAATCTTATGTAAAATCCAACTTTATTGAGAGTACAATAATAGGAACACAAGGTATACCTCTCATGGCCCCCCCTCATACAAATAATACTAAACAAAAATAATTTTAATAACTTCTCAAATACACCCTTAATCTGTCTCCTCATCGTCGGACAGATCCGACAGTCCCTCCTCCTTCTGCTCCTCCCCTTCCTCTCGCTCCTCCCACAGCCGCATCCTCTCGGGATTGGCGAACTCCTGCACGTGTTTGGCCACCAGGTAGTTGTATCTTTCGGGCGTTCTGGTCAGCACCATGGCCGCGCAATGGTTGAGCGGGTCCTCGGGGTTGGGGTTCTTGAGCAGCTGCGGCAGGAACGTCTCGAAGATGATCACCAGGTCGTAGAGCGCCGTCCATTTCTGGTTAAGCACGTCGAGACAGATGGTCCCGGAGGTCTGGTCGACGTTGGGGTGGAAAATCTGGGTGTCGAAGCCGACGCTCGGCGACTTGAAGGGGTAGTTCTCGGGGAGGAGGACGCGGACGCGCCACACTCCGCCCTCGTAGGGGGTCCCCCGAGGGCCGTTGAATTTCACCACCAAATTGCGGTAGTTGTCGCAAGTCGTCACGTCGAATTTGTTCTCGATTAGTCTCATCACGTCGATTTTGATGCGGTGGTTCATCTTGGAATGGGGGCTGTAATGGGGCGATTTGGTGAGGGATCGGGGTTTGATACCGCTGAGGGCTGACGACTTGCACTTAACCTATAATAACAAAAATGTGACAAGTATGACAAGTCTTCGGAAACAAAGAAACTGAACAAAACACTCAAAGTTAACACTGGGTATGAAAAATGTGTTAACCTAATCGAGTTCTGTCAACATGTAGGTATTCACGCCATGCGATTTATCAATAGTTTACTCATAGCGTGAATTATATTGAATTACGGCTTGTTTTCACTATCTCTGCTATGTGAAAACATAATTATTGCAATTTTTTAATCATTTTGATTAAATGACTGACATTATCAATAACAAGTTTCGCTAAATTTAGCTAGAAAACAGTATTGTTATTAATTATTATTAAAGATCTTTGTTTACTTTATTTCACTATTTTTTTAGTAACAGTTTAAATTTAATTTTAAATAAAATTAAATTATACAGCGTGTAACAAAAATAAGTACATTTTACTACTAGTAAAACTCATCAAATGCAACAACTTTCTATGTATTTATCACTGGTGGATATTTATTACTCTATTTTTCCTGTTTTTTTACGTTTAATATTTTTTAATACCTACTAAATCGCCCCTGTAAATTATAGGCGGCCGCTGGCAAATCCGGCAATATTACCAATTCAGTGTTGCCAATAGATTTTTTGTCACACTTATCTACAGTCACGGAGTCCAGGAAGTGTCATATCAATTGCCACTTTGCCAACTGCAATACTTTGATCAGACATTTAATTGGTATTATGACATTAAATAAATGTATAAATACAGGTGCGCCAAAACTCGCGCCTCAGAGAAAAATTTCAAATAAGATAAGATACAGGAACATGAAAAAAATGTTTAAAAAATTCTATCTGTCAAAATTTTTTGACATTTGACATTTTTTATGTCTATTTAATGATACTGATGATCTTGTATATGTGTTTTTATAATAGTTTAGTAAAAGCACAAAAATTTTACCAATAAAAGCCACATTAAACAGAGTTACAATTTAGGTTACATCTTTCTTGTCTCCTCTTCTAATAGTCTGTAGCAAAAAAAACTTGGAAAATTATTTTTCCAACAGAATTAAATAGAGTCAAAGTGCAAAATTTAAACTCTCATAATTTCGAAATTTTTTTCATGTTTCTGGTATCTACCTTGCATGGTATGTTTCTCTGGGGCGCGAGTTCTGGCGCAGCCTGTATATTACGCAGAAACACAAAAAGTGATTATAAAATGTGCCATTTTAAAGTTTATTGCATTGTTATTCTCTAGAGCGCTAGCGATTTAATATCGCCTTAGTTTGATACTAATTTTCTCTGATTTTTTTTTATAATTTCTAATTAAAAAACATACACAAAAACATAAAGAAACGGTGAGTATGAAAAATGTAAAAACTTTTGTCTCTACATTAGATACTATATTTTCCAACAAAAGTTGGAAAATTAAATTGGCAACAAGACTGCCACTTTGGTCAGAAATTTGGTTCAGTCACCTGTCATATTACTTGCCAATTAGCCAACTTAACTTGAAAGTCATAGACCACTTTTGATCAGAAATTGAATTGGTGTTATGAAACTAAGTTTATTTAAAAATACAGGGTGTTTACAGTCTTGGAGTTGAAAATTGACCTAGTAATAGAAGAGTACAGAAATATTGTAACCGAGAAAAGAAACTCACACAATTCTTATTATCAAGAATGTTATTTAACTCCAAAATATTGGTACACGGTTTGAGGGTCACTGGAATTATTACCTTGTTCAGATAAAATTGTATTGTTGCAACAGATAAAAAAATCGTATCCATGACAATGAAAGAGAAAAGTCACTTCATAGTTTTGACACTGTCATCATTTGATTTGCTTTTGCTTTAGTTTTTATCAAAATTCAAAGATCTTCTGTTTAATATCTTTCAGCGAATGGTTTCCAATAGGTTTGATTCGTTTTTCTTAATTTTTCTCAAAATTTATAAACAAAATATTAAAATAATACATTGGTTGTCGTGATTATGATTTACGGTGAAACACAAGGTAATGATTGAACAAGGCCATTGTTGCAGCCGAAGCAGCAGTTCTCAAACAAATAGTGTAAAATGAATAATTTCCTTTAACAACGTGAATTTTTGTTTTATGTAGCGTATTAGTTTTTTTCTACCGTGAATATCATCTCATTTAAATTTCAACCTCAAGACCGTAAACACCCTGTATAACAGCCAAAAAGACGAAAAAATGATTTGGTATTTTTAATGTTTTAGGTTTTATTGAACTGTTGCTAAAGTGCTAAAGATTTAATATTGTCATAATTTTTTACAAATTTTCTCTGATTATTTTATTTTTTATTAAAAAATATACATAAAAAACGTAGAAAAGAAAGGTTACTATATTACTATAGAGTAATGTAGTGACAAAAGTTTAAAAATTACATTGGCAACGAAGGTTGCCAACTTAATTGTCGAAGTCAAAGACTACTTTGATCAGAAATTTAATTGGTATTATGTGAGTCTTTTAAAAATGTGTATAACAGTCAGATTATAAAAGAATAGAATTATTATAAAATGTAGCATTTTAAGTGTTTTAAGTTTTGATGAACCGTTATTGTGAGATTTAAAATCGGCTTAATTTTTAAAAATTTCCTCTGATTTTCTCATAATTTTTAATTCAAAAACATACATATGATATGGAAATTATAAAAGCTATAATACTATAGAGTAACATAGAAACAAAAGTTCGAAAATTAAATTGGCAACAAAGGCTGCCAACTTAATTGTCGAAGTTAAAGGTTACTTTGATCAGAAATCTTATTGAACGAATGGTAATTGTGTGCAGTAATTTTCAAACTAATTTATTCCGGAATTGTATTATTACGAAAATATCACGAGTAGTCATATTTTTGAAATCTATTCAAATTTTCTCCAAACTTTCGTCGGTTGTTAAAACTTGTATGAAATGACCAAAGTTGAGCTTCCCTACACAATAGAGGGAATATCTTAACAAGTTTACGATTTAGTACAATAATGACTCGGCTTCAGTTCGAGGGCCTAAGGCAGATTATGGAACAGATGTTAGGATTAAGCGGTGAATCTTTCAGGAGTTATCAATAATTAACCACAAAGGGTATGAAGCGCTCACGAAGAATCCGAATGTCCATCGACGATTATCAAATATTTACCTGGACGATATTATGCCTGCCAGCTGTGAAAGCCCTTGAACGAAACGCGAATTAACTCCAGATCACAGAAAACTCACAACATCTCGCGTTCACCGAATTGACAATTTTCTTCATGTGACGTTGGATTGACGGGTTTATTTTGGGGTTTTGCGGTTACTAAGAGAATCCACTTTACAGGACTTAAAAAATTTAACCGACGCATTAACACACCTGCTCAAACCGGAGGCAAAAGGGATTGTCGACTGTCAACATCCGGATTTTATCCCTTTTCATATATTTTGTTTTGGTTTCGTTTATGTTTATTTCCATCATTTTGACAATGCGTGTGTGGGGTCAAGGCAAATATTTATTCATATCTAATTGTGATATATTTTTGTTTGCAGGGCTGTCTTGCTCCCGTGCAAATCAACGTCCCTAAAGGCTCCATTCTCGACCCCAGTGACAACGCTGCGGTCGTCGGCGGCAACGTTCAAACGTCCCAAAGAGTTGTCGACGTTGTTTTGAAGGCCTTCAGGGTGTGTGCCGCCTCGCAAGGWTGCATGAATAATATTACGTTTGGCAGCGGCTCCTGGGGCTGCTACGAGACGGTCGCAGGAGGCAGCGGCGCGGTAAGACATATTTTATTCCAACTTTATTATATTCTATTTGTCTCGGGTAATGTCTKGAACTTTCAACAACTCTGGTCATGGGCGCCGACTTTTCATTTTTTCAATGGGTGCATAAACAAAAAGCTTGAATAAAAGCTTCTTTTTAGATCTTCTATGCATATGTTAGTATAATTTGCAAGATTTGAGAACATAAATTATTCCAAGTTTCAGATTCTCAATAGTAAATTGTAAATTAGTCAAAACCTATCAACTTTATCATTATTCTATTTTCACAAATACCACAGAAAAAATAAAATAATTTTATCATTTAGGAAATACCTATTTCCTACCAGTTACCAAAATACCAGTTAATTGAATTTTTTTTCTCCAAATTTAATTTTTAAGGTCTTACTGCCTTTCGGTACAATATCAAAACATCAAATTAAAGTGTATTTAATCCTCTATCGTTTACAGTATCAAAATTCTTTTTTAATTAGAAATTAAACTAATTGTAAATATTAATTTTTTCGCCGGTCTTAAAACTTGTACAATAAAAAGTGTGAAAAAGAAAATAGTACATGTTCAAAGTTGCAAAATGCTTCAAGTTGTTGAGTTTTGAAAAATAATACACTACTGTTAAATTTGAAAGAAAAAATTGGAAACAACTAAAAAAATTGACTTTTTTTTGAAAATTTGAATATGTCCGTAAATCGAGTGCTGAAAACAACGTGGAATTTATAATTAACTTTTAATTAATGTAATTGATTTGATGAGTAAAATTAGAGGTTGCTTAAACTGAATGGTCTCAACAATTCGTCAGTATTGTTTCTTAATTTTTATAAACTTTCAAACATATGAAAACAAATTTTTTTTTCATAATAAAGTCATATCTCAAAAACTATGATTCCTAGGTCAAAACGGTTTGTACAAGCGTATTCTCCGGTTAATTCTACATACAGTACTAGTTTTTTATAAGGATAAAATTTTTTGATTTTTTGGTTACAATCGGATATAGTGCTAATGCTTCTAGCCTTATTCTTAACTTTATTACTCATTATCTTAAATTGTAAAGTATTTTAACTTGTTGCATCGTGTTTAGCACGTTATTTTACGTCTAAAAAACCTTATAAAAAACTCGAAATTAGCTTTGAAATTCTGACAAACAATTGTTTTAGAATAATTCTATTACTCAAAATTAATTGAAGACCAGTGGCGCAGGAAAAGATAGAGTTTAGGGGGTGTTTAACTATGTAAAAAAATGCGCACTTATTTATAATTGTACATATAGAGGGTGTTAAAAAATATTCTGTTACTTTGCGGACCTATGTTTATTAAGATTTTTGTTTGTTTGTTTTGGTCCGTACTACTACCTCCTGAAATATTTCTTTTTTTAACATCCTGTATACATTTCATGCTACTTTTACCACTTTATTATACTTTATATTACTTGTCTTTTGTTTAGTTATATCTATTTCACTAGTACACTTATGTAAATCATTTATGTTATTAGTAATAATAACGATAATTAATAAAAAAAGTTCCTTGATTTTAATGCAAAACTTACCTTTCTATTATTACCTTTAACTTACTTTTTGTTTACTTATATTACTTACTATTAACTTTTACACTATTTTCACTTTTGTAGATACTTGTTTTAAAGTTCGCGCTCTTATACGGCCGCCATCTATTGCTGCTTATTTTAGTTAGTATTGTGCGCTTTCTCTCTTATACTTATTAGAACTGTTTTAAAGATCGCGCTCTTATGCGCCCGCCTTCTTTTGACATTTATTTGAATTATATTTGAACTTGAGAAAAATTGCCGACTTGACCGGGACTCGAACTCGGGACCTACCTGTTGGAAAGCGGGACCTTATGCCACTGAGCCACTACCGCCGCCAATAATTTAGTTTTGTTCAAAAAAAAATCATATCTCAAAAACTATGAGTCCTAGGTCAAAGCAGTTTGTACAGGCGTGTTCTCCGGTTAATTTTACATTTAGTTTTTCATAAGAGTCAAAAAATGTTGAGTTTTGCTCAAAATCGGATGTAGTGCTTATTAGCCTTATGCTTAACTTTATTACTCAATATCTCAAAAACTATGCATCGTAGAGTATTTTAACTAGTTGCATCGTGTTCAGCGAGTAATTTTACGTCTAGAAAACCATATTTCAACCGTTTTTACGATTTTTAGTAAATTGACTATTTTTACGATTTTACTACCGCTCAAAAACTCAAAAAATTCAAAATTTTTTAAACTTGACCCAATAACATTTTATGCACTTATTTGAGTCTTTAAGACCTCTAGAAATGTAAAAAACGTTAAATGGATCAATTTTAAAGTTAATTTTTTTGTGATTTTTGTCGAAATTTTGGTCGATTTTTGGCACCCGGAGCGGTCTAATGGCAATAACTCCGGACTTGTTGGAGATAACCTCTTATATGTACTGTACTGTTGGATAGAAAATTTAATTTTCTATCATATATTAAAAATTTCAGTGCTCTACGATGAATAGTTATCGAGAAAATTTCTGCTAAAATCAGAAATATCGAAAATTTAAATCCGAGTATAACTTCTAAACTACTACGAATTTTGCAGTTTAATTGACGCCAATCGATTCCCCGGAACATTTTACATGGGCACAGGTCAAAACATTACATCATCAAAATAAAAAAAAACGAAAAAATTGTTAACACCCATTGTTCACCGTAATCGGCGTTTAAAAATTCTAAATTTTTTTGCGAGATATCGACTTGGCTTTGGCCTCAGTCGATAGATTTTCTTACGCTGATTACGATGGAATTAAATTCTTTGCTCTAAGTCTAATAGTTTGTCCCCGTAATCGCCGTTCAAAAAGTGAAAATTGTCAAAATTATGAAACTTTAAACGCGTTTTTCTACGAAACTATAGGACTTAACTATAGGACAAAAAGCTAAAAACCATTAAAATTAGCTTGAAATTGTCTATTTACTGGTGCAAACAGGAAGTCGCTCCGGGTTATGGTTCCGGGTACAGAGCCATTTTTAGTTTTGTTCAAAAAAAAACATATCTCAAAAACTATGAGTCCTAAGTCAAAGCAGTTTGTACAGGCGTGTTCTCCGGTTAATTTTACATATAGTACTAGTTTTTTATAAGAATTACATTTTTTTTGATTTTTTGCTTAAAATCCGATGCTTCGCTYCTTATTCTTAACTTTATTACTTAATACACCATACTTCAATCGTTTTTATGATTCAAGGTAAATTGACTATTTTTACGTTTTTACTACCGTTCACCTTCAAAAACTCGAAAAATTCGTAATTTTTTAAACTTGAYYAAATAACGTTTTATGCATTTTTTTGAGTCTTTATCACCTTTAGAAATGCAAAWAACGTTAAATGTATCAATTTTAAAGTAGAATTTTTTTTGGATTTTTGTCAAGATTTTGGTCGATTTTTGGTGATAACCTCTTATGTTTCCTGTCTTTAGTTGCGAACTTAGAGTCTCAGCCACTTTGATTGTAATTTCATTGTGTTTGTGAGAGATGAAATGTCGGGGGTTTTGCCCGGGTCAAGGGTTGTTTGATGTGCTTCATTTCAGGGCCCCGGATGGCACGGATGTTCCGGAGTGCACACACATATGACTAACACGAGGATCACCGATGTTGAAATATTGGAAAGGAGATATCCCGTACATGTGCGCAAGTTTATGTTACGACCAGGCACCGGCGGCGGTGGCAGATTTAGGGGCGGCGATGGAGTCTTAAGGGAGATTTTGTTTAGGGCGCCGGTGACGTTGTCGGTTCTCACTGAGAGGAGGGTCCTGCAACCTTATGGAATGAACGGTGAGGGCGGTTTAGGGTTATAGTGCCGCAACAGTTTAATAGGTGATAGCGAGCTTATCAAAGGGGTGATTTTGACGTGAGAATAGCTCCAAGAGAGGGTTTTTTACTAGTTTAAATAGAGCTTCACACCATCAAAATTGAATTAAGTATAACTTTAATAATTTTGATTACTTTTTTAACTGGAAAAATTTTAGTTGCAACATGGTAAAAAACTTGTTAACTTTCGCAGTAATTTTTTCTATTTTGGTGTCGCAAGGATGAAGAAACATTATTGCTTTTACGAATTTTATGTCATGTTATTTATTACTCTATTGACTTTAACTTTAACTTGAAGAATATTTAATTAAAATGGTAAATATTTTGCAATCCCGGAATGTAAATCAAATAGCGCCTGAAGAACCTCTTTTGCTTTTGCTGAGAACTAATAAAATTTAAACTTTTTGATGTAAATGTTTGTCGTTTGAAAATTTAATGCATATTGATTTTTTACTTGTAAAAGAAACTTGTGACAAAATTTTAATTCGGTTTATAACAATGACACGTAACCGCAATTTTAAAGGTGTTTTATTATATTTTTTTATAATTGACTAATAAGAGAAGAAAAGCACTGGCTGCAGTTAAAGAAAAAAAGGTTTTAAAAACATAGTAGAGTTATATATTTTTATCTTGATTAATTGTCAGCTTTAATTATTTCACAAGACCTTTAAACCCTGTAATAAATAGTTTTATGAGATGTTATAGTTAGGAGAAGTCCTTGAAAGTTTTATTCTAATTAACTCTGTTTATATGCCTTCATGGACATAAGGCCCTTAATTAGCAGAACCATAATTAATTTTGCTTTAACTTTCTAACGTTGTAAGTAGGTGCTCACAAAAGTGCCACATTTGTCAAATTTATCTTATACAGGATGTTTCAGAACTCGCTGTCTAGAGAAAAATGCCAAGTAAGATAAGATACCAGAGACATGGAATTATGTTTAAAAAATTCTATCTGTCAAAAAAATTTGACATTTAATTTTGGACATTTTATCTTTCTTATGTCTGTTTAATGTTACCGATGAACTATTCTCTCTTCTAATACCCTGCTTATTAGCCTATTACTCTAAATATAGAAAATTATTTTTTCAACACAAAAAATAGGGTCAAGGTGCAAAATTTATAAACTCCCATAATTTTAAAATTTTTATAAATAGAATTTTTAACATTTTTTTCATATTTTTAGCATCTTATCTTACTTGGCATTTTTTTGGGCGCGAGTTCTTAAACACCGTGTATTAGAATTAAATGTTTCAAAAATGCTAATTATTACTACTTCATTCCATGAAATCTAAATAAAAATTTAAGAAATTTCTGATCAAAGTAGCTTGCGACTTTTATATCTTCTGTCCCTGTTTTTGCCAACTTAATATCAAAAACATCGCTTACTTTGATCAGAAATATCGTGCTATCAAAAAAAAATAAATTAGAGTTGGCGACGATTAATATTGTACAGTTGGCAACAAGTTGGCGATCTGGGCTGGAAATTTTCCGCACAAGCTGAAGGTGAAAATGACCATTCAGCGTTTTCGTCTTGTACAGCATTTTTGTAATAACTTGAAACAATAAAAATTTTCTGCTTTAAAGTGAACATTGTTTCACTTAAAATAAATAAAACGTACACTTGTCAAAGTTTCCGCTCACATTTGATGTCAAAAACCAGGATTGCTGTCTGAAGGACTTTAATCATCGCCTACTCTATTTTTTTTTTTGATTGCACTGTATAATCGAACGCATGATAAGACAGGGTGTGTCAGAACTCACGCCCCAGAGAAAAATTTCAAATAAGATAAGATACCAGGAACATAATTTTTTTTTAATTCTCTGTCAAAAAATTTTGACATTTATTTTTTGACATTTACATTTTTTTAATAATAATGATGATCTTGTGTATGTTTTTTATAATTATTTAGTAAAGGTACAAAAATTGAATATTAAAAGGCATAAATAACATTAAACAGAGTTACAATTTAGGATACAGCTTCCTTGTTTCCTCTTCTAATAGACTGTAGCAAAAAAACTTGGAAAATTATTTTTACAAGAGAAATATATAGAAAATTTAAACTCTTATAACTATGGTGGTATCTTACCTTACATGGCATTATTCTCTGGGACGCGATTTCTGGCGTACCCTGTATAATTAAAATCATAATGTACGAAATTAGATTTTACAATTTATTTTTTGTTTTTTAATAAAAGTATGAATAGATTATTTAATAGAGTACTTACAAAAAGTTGCAGGGCAAAAGTTACTTAACAATTCCAGCAACAATAAGAATATAAAAGAATTAGAATTTATTTATTTATAAACAAAAAGTAAGGATAAATAAATAACCAGGCAYAAATGAAATAATATCCAAGTGGTGGGATTAAAACACAGWTGGGTAAAAAAAATAAGTAAGTAATGCGTGAGTAAAACTTCTCAACACAATTAGTTGATTGTGGCAAAAAACCCCGCTCTACAAATCTCCCAAAGCGAAATTTGTGCTTCGGGCCGAAGGAAGTGCCCTCGCGGGTTTCGGCCCCATTTCCTCCCTTATTTATTATGCCCTTGTGTTGTTGTTTTTTTCAGGTGGCAGTCCTGGCGCTCGAGGCCTCAATCTCTTAATCAGAGTCGACGGTAGGACCATCAATCTCGGTCCGAAAACTGCAGTACCCATTTCACCCGGGGTGAGTATGACAAACCGTTTTGTTTACCATTCTTGCGTTTTTCCTCCATGAAAGAAGCCGCAGACGAAGATAAATCGACGCGATTGGTAATAGGAAACAAAACAATTCGCCTTTGTGGTTATGAGCTCGGTTAGTTTTATTAGCATAACAGTGCGCCATTATCGTGACGGTCGGGTTATCAATCTCGACAAAATGGCACCGTTAAATCGCCAATTCGGCGCCATCTTGAATTTATGACTAGGCACATCGTTGCGGCAACACATAAAAGAGTGTTAGTGTTATTTAAGAGTGCTGCAGATACACTTGCATCCAACTTGAAATTTATTGTGATTAAGGTGCTTGAAGCGACGCTCTTTGAGGAAATAATTAATGGGAGGGTGTCTTTAAAATAACACGGACGGAGATGGAAGCCAGAGGATTAAATTATAAATTAGTCTCAATGCCACGAGGCCAAAACGTTTGGCCTGATGAAATTTTCTGCGTGATTTTAGCAGAAATTACTTTTCGGCCTATTTCCACGCGACATTTCACGTTAGCGTAATACTGACCTACAGTTTTGTATTTACTTTTGTAATAATATAAAAATACAATTAAAATTAGTAATTAATACACAAAATACGAAAAGAAAAATAATATACAGTGTGTCCCAACAACTTGGTAAACTCTATTATAGAGCTTTCCGTGTCAACTGATAGACAATTCTAAAGTAATTTGTTGTTGACCGATTGCGTTTTGACTTATTTGATTCCTTTGACAAACACACTTAATCAAAAAATAGTAAAAGTTAAATAACAAATTTAAAGAAACCCTCTCTTTTTTGTTATTGTGTTTTAAGAGTTTTAGATAAAATACTAAAAGTTAAATAACTTTCTAAGTCAAAAAAATTTTAGTAAAAAATAAGATCATCTATTGTGAAATTTTACGTTAGCGTGATAACGATCTATTTTTTATATTTATTTTTTTATAGAAGAAATAAAAATAATATACAAGGTGTCTCAACGAGTTAGTAAGTTCTATTATAATGTACGTGCAACACAATATTTTATATTTATACTTAAGTAAAAAAAGATTATTATTATAGACCTTTCAGTGTTAACATAGATTGATTAAAAAAAAACGAGAGAGGCTGTAGAATTTTTATTTATGGCCCGATTTGAAAAATCAAAAAAAAACAAGTTAAATGGCTTCTAATAACTATGCTAGAAGCCATTTAACTTGTTTTTTTATATAATAAGCCGACTAATTTAAAAATTTTCTAAATGTTTTAGTGAATTTTGCGCTAAATTCAACTTTATAATTTTAAATAGGGACCTAATTTTTTTTATTAATTCGGAAGATATTAGTGTTCTTGGCAATACTTTTACTAAAAATTCTTGTTTAAAAAAATTACCAAAGTTGAAAAAAATAATAAAAGTTAATAAAATTATTTGCATGATGTCGATAAAAATAATTGTAGGTTAATAATAATCTTATTTAAAGTGAACGAAATATAAAATAAATAACAATAAAATAAATTAATAACCTAAATTTGATGTTTTTTCATTTGTTATAAGTAATTATTACTGTCATTTCATATTAAAAATTTGAAAAAATTTTGACCATATTCTCTTTCGTTTGCTGCTTCTTGACATTACAATAATATGGCATTGTCTTATTTGACATCATGAAGCTAGATTTAATTTTTTTTTCAATTTTGAAAATTATTTTAAACAATGATATTCAGTAAAAATAGAACGGAACACATGTCTGTACCAAGAAAACTAATACATTCCAAATTATGAAAAAAAAAATTAGTTTCCAATTTAAAATTGGAAAGTTGAATTTAGCCCAAAATATACTATGCCACTTAGAAAAATTCTAAAATTGTCAGCTTATACTATATTAAAAGCCTTTTAATTTATTTTTTTATGTTTTGAAATCGGGTCATAAATAAAAATTCTACTACGCCTGCCGTTTCTAAAAATCACCCTGTACAAAAAATACTAAATGTTAAATAACTTAAATTTAATTTTTAAGTTAAAAAAAAATTAATAAAAAATAACAGATTATGAATTGTGGCGTCTTATCGCGAAATTTCACTGACCTATTTTTTAAAAATACATACTTATACTCGTTTCATATTAATGTGCATCAAAGTAGTCGTTGAAAGTGATCATTTAAAATTCAAATAATCTTAAACTCAATTTTCCCTAAAAAATATTTTTCCAAATAAATGTATACTCCAGATAGCAAAAAATAATTAAAATTAATAACGTAATTAACATAGGGCAGCAAACATAAAAATTGTTGTCATTATTGATGTGATTAGATTTGTTCTGAATGACATTAATGACACTTTTTGTGTGAATTAAAGATTCGTTTAGACTGCTACAACCTACTTGATGCACATTAATATGAAAAAGAGTATACTTTTTATAGTAATATAAAAATATGATTAAAATAAGAAATGAGTAGTATATACAAAGTGGTTATACATGATTTTCTTTTAGCCAGTTTGTGCATTTTCCATGTAAAATAAAAAATGCCGCTTTACGAAAATAGGGGTACCTACTTGTTTTAACTGGAAATTAAAAAATCGCCGGTTACTAAGCGTCCACTTCGAAAATAGACTTCAAGTATAAACTTGTTTTCTTCCAAAGTATACATTATTATCAATTATTATTGGAAATTAGTTAAAACAATAAAAGTTTAATTAATAACAATTTATTATTAATTCATAAGTGACACTAATGACAGAACTAGAGCTTTCAAAAAAAGTAGAGCGGCACGAATAAAGTTACATGCAAAAAAATTCCAAAGCTGGCTAGATGAAAATCATTTATAACCATTCTGTACATAATAATATACAATGTGCAGACAAATCCTTTAATTTCACCAACACAAATTGTAAACAAATATGATCTGTGAGATTACCTCTTTAAAATTTATTACATTGTTTAAAAAAATACTCTAAAATTAGCAAAAACAGGCACAGAAAAAAATGTCAGAAAAAAATCATAAAACAGTAAAAATTTTGGATCTATTTTTTTGTTAAAGATAGCACAATGTAAACTTTGGGATAAAGTATTCAAAAGGTTCAATCTTTGTTTATATTGCATTTTTTTGACAATTTTTCCGACGCCAAAGTGGAGAAACTCAGAAACTATAAATATTCGGATGAGGCAAGTTTAGTTGTCTTTTGAGCTCTACTTTCATCTGATAAAATATTTGCACATACCTTAAAATCATCCAGAAAAAACATGAGACAATGATCATATTGTTCGGAAAAATAATTAATATGTAACAGTAAATTTGTGAATAGAAATATGTATTTACAAATTTATAATAAAATCGAAATGACTGAATAAATTCCCTTCACAATCTGAAACATAATTTTGAGTGTTTTATGTTAACGTGAAAAAGTCGCAAACCCCTAATCCTAATTGATAGTTGAAGGAATAATTTTCCGTGAATTTTATGGTACGTGTCTTCATGCTGTTTGTCAAAAAAATGAGATACAATTTTTTATTTGATTGATTAAAATTGTACCATTCCACTTCGTTGAGAGACGTCACCATGTCATCAATCTGAAATGATTTGATTAGATGTGTTTAAGAAAAAAAATGCTTTTTACGGCTGATTCAGTGGACTGGCCAGCCCACATTGTAGCTGCAAATGTTGTGATTCCGGCAACGGAAGTTGCACCCATACGCAAATAATACTCAGGCGTGAAATTTCCCTAAAAAAAATTGACATTGAATATTTTAAATTTTATTCGTACTTACGGAAATCAAGTAAAAGATGACACCTATACCCAAAAGACAGGCACAGAGYGCAAATCCGGCTATAAATTTGCTGATTTCTTTGATTTTTTCAGAATGTAGACTAAAATCAGTAAAATGATGATTAAGAATTTGAAATCTGTTACAGGCTGCGCCAGAACTCGCGCCCCAGAGAAAATTTTCAAGGTAAGATACCAGGAACATTAAAAAAATGTTTACAAAATTCTATCTGTCAAAAAACTTTGACATTTATTTTTTGACATTTGACATTTTTTATATCTATTTAATGATACTGAGGATCTTGTATTTGTTTTTTTACGATTATTTAGTAAAGGGACAAAAATTTCGCCAATAAAAGCCACAAATAACATTGAAGAGAGTTACAATTTAGGATACAGTTTCCTTGTTTCCTCTTTTAATAGCCTATAGCAAAAAAACTTGGAAAATTAATTTTTCAAAAGAAATAAATATAGAGTCAAAGTGCAAACTTTAAACCCTCATAACTTCGAAATTTTGATAGATAAAAATTTTTTAACATTTTTTCCGTGTTCCTGGTATCTTACCTTATATGGCATTTTTCTCTGGGGCGTGGGTTCTGGCGCACCCTGTATAGTACCGTATAAAATTTTGACTCCTTTGAATACAAATTTTGAGTCTTCGATTTATTTCCGTTTGGTATTTGGTGTTGTCAACTAGATTCTCGTCGTCTTCACTCCATTTGGTTAAATTTTTCAATTGTTCTATTGACATTTGCAATTGAAAGTTTGTGTGTTGACAATAATAAAAAATTTGGAAGGGTAGCACTGTTGCAATGTAACTAGTGAGCAAATACGTGGTTCTATAAAGAAATTCGAAGATGTGGCCGTAATTTGGAAAATATTCGTGGATAAGACGATAAGCGAAAAAAACGTCGTAATCTTTGGATAAGGGTTGTACGAAGGTCACACCCACTACGATAAAAAGTAGAGAATTAAAAATAACGAACATTTTTAAAAATTTAATGTTTAAGTTAATTTTGGATTGTAATTTTTTGCTTGTGCTGTCTGTGGACCAAAGTTCAAGTTCGTTTTTTAAATTATGTATTACTTTGCTTTTATAGAGTAATACGAAGATGGCGAGAAGTGGCTAAAATGTGATCAAATGTGAAGCTTACTTACGTAATAGAGAAATACCTACATAGAAATCTCCAAGAAATACAGACGAATAATTAATAAATAATTTTGCGTCAAATGTGCTTAACATGTAGTAAACAGTTATCAAATCTACAATTACATGAATTGCAAAGATGGAACCTAAAAGGATTTTCATTGGTGTCGATTGAAAAATATCAGATGATATAAATTTTATTAACTTTAGGTGATCATCTGAAAAGCAAACACTTGAGAGGAAATAAAAAATAATAATACAAATACCTGTCATAAGTTTGTATTTGCCAAACTCCATCTTGTTTATARWGTAACAACATATGAAATGGTGGTGATTGTCATAAAATCCAAGGATCTTGCATATTTTATGATTCCACTGTATTAATAATAAATACTCGGTCAGAATAATAAAATTAATATACCTAGAAGTTGCTTTATGATTTATTTGTCCATGGTCATTGCTAATAAACATTTTTTTAATGATTTCATTAATGATTAATAAAATTGTCAGTGACCACTAATAGCAAACTGTAAAATAAAATTTTAGCTTTGTTTTCTCTGCATAATTAATTTAATCTATTTAATTAATTTGAAATCAAGTAAATCTAATTTACTTAAGTGGAATGCAATTTTGATACTGAGCTAGACTATATTGATTCGTACTCTCCATTGTGAAATATGTCTCAAATCAAACTGAATTTTTTGTTTTGTAAAATAGAGTTAATTGTAGTCGATGAAAAATGGAACATTTTTCTGCAAAAACATAGTAGGGCTGTGTGTTATATCGAGAGATCAAAATAATTTGTAATCGAGTCATCGTTGGATCCAAAAACGTATATCTGTGAAACGACAAATAAAATGACAAGTCAAAAGGTAAAATGGCTTGATTATTAAGATGATGATTTTAATAACTAAATTTATATGTTTTATTGAAAAAAAAAGAACGGTCCTAAAATTATACGTCGCGGTCGGCGACTAATTCCAGCCCATTTTACTGTTTTATCTTTCGGCTTGTCATTTTATTTGACGTTTTACATGCAGTTAGTTTAAAAACAGACATACGCTTTCGGATCCAAAGATCACTCGATTACAAATTATCCTGATGTGTCGATATACAGGATGTCCTGTAAAAAAAAATAAAAAATTGTATAGGACATTGATAGATACTATAATCTAGTGCATCGCCTAAAATTATTTTCAACCATACAGCATGTCCCAAAAATAAGTTACGATGTGAAAAATACTGTGTAAACTTGTGTTTTTAAAATGAAACACCGTATGTTACTTGGCATTTTTGAATCTAGCTTTTTAAACAATGTTTTTACGCTAAACTTTTGTTATTAGTCGATTTTGCTTAGTTTTAGAAATAATACGTTTTTATTGACGAAAACATGCACTTCTTAAAATTTATTACACAAAATCTAAGACAGTTAGAACAATTTTTTCTTACTTCTGCAAAGAAGAAAGTACAGAATTTAAAGCTTTTGCAATTTTTTAGTGTTTTGAATTTGTAAAGATTAATAAATTAAGAAGTTTGTTAAAAGTTAAATAAAAAAATGGAACATCCTATTTTTTATTTTCGCATCTAATCGATTGATAAATTGTTGTGCAACTGTGCACTTTTTGGCTACAGAAACAATAACAATTAATATTAATATATATAATATATAATACAATTAATATATTATTAGTAATAAGTTTAGCGTAAAAACATTGATATAAAAGGCTACATCCAAAAACGCTAAGAAACATATGCTGTTTTATTTAAAAAAACACAAGTTTGTATTGTAACTTATTTTTGAGACTCGCTGTATAGTTGAAAATAATTTTACTCGATGGACTAGAGAAGTATCTATCAATGTTCTATATATTTTTTTAATTTTACTATTTAAAGGTTACTAAAGGACTTTTTCAACTCGCTGGGACATCCTGTATGTAGGTATTTTTTTGATGGGTTTTATATGTACCAGGTGAATAAAAAGTATGGAACGAAGCGTTTTTCTCGTAAACTAACCACTTTACAAAAAAAATAATTAGTGTTGCGTAAAGTCCAATTAAAATGTGACCATTTATCAAGAATAACATTTTTCGAAATTTTTTTTAGTCTTCGTGTTCTGGAAATTTTTTTTTTTAAATGGCAAACCACTATGGTAATTTTTTTAATTAAAGATTATGATCTAAAAATGACCTCTAAATAAACAGATTTGTTTTCTAGTCAGTACTTTTTTTTTAATAAATTGTAAATAAGTTGCGTTCCGAGCCCATCACGAAGATTTTCCGAACTTGAACGAGGGAGTCGTTTCATGACTTTGGTCGATGGAGAGCCCGGTTTTTGGTGCAGGTGCTTTGGGGTGGTTCCGGATGGATCAAAAAATGTAAAAACAAATCATTTTCTTCTATTTTTAGTCCATTCGAAACCACCCCAAAGCACCTGCATAGAAATCAGTGCTCTCCCAAGATGAAAAGCATGAAACAACCACTTCGGTTAAGTTCGGAAAATCTTCGTGATGTGCTCGGAACGCAACTTTAACAATTAATTAAAAAAAAAGTACTGGCTAAAAAACAATTTTATTTAATTAAAGGTCATTTTTAGATCAAAATCTTTAATTAAAAAAATTATCATGGTGGGTTGCCATTTAAAAAAAAAATTTTGTTCTAAAACCCGAAAACTAAAAGAAATTTCGAAAAATGTTATTCTTGATAAATGGTCACATTTTAATTGGACTTTACGCTACACTAATTATTTTTTTTGTAAAGTGGTTAGTTTACGAGAAAAACGCTTCGTTCCATACTTTTTATTCACCTGGTATGTAGAAGGTAAATGTTGCAGAATTTATTATTGAATTTGTTTTAGTATAATAATATAATTTTGTCTTTTTTAATTTAGTAGTTAAATGTGCATTTAGTAAAAATGAATTAAGATGGCTTCTTCTTCTTCTTCTTCAATGCCAATTCTTTGGATTTTTAAGTGTAGATGATTTTAAGTAAAGTGTTGTTGGTTGATTGGTTAATTTCTTTGACAAACATTCAATACAAAATTTAAAAAAATCCTAAAAGTTAAATAATTTAAACTTATAGAAATCTTCTGTTTTCTGTTTTTGTATTTTAAAAGATTTAGATTCACACCTAGTTCATGTGCTTTTTCTATTTTTTTCAACAACTCAAAAAACGACAAAAGATTATTTATTGGGGAGTCTTATTGCTCGTGTTGGTGCCAAATCTTATCGACACCGCGCGAAAAATAATTAGTTGTCCCACGTCGTGTATTTATCATTACCGGGATCATCTTATAATGGGTTTCGAGATCGCAGGACATCCTCCGGGAGCGATGCATCACTCCGAGGAAAAAAAGCCGTTATATCATCGCCTAAGCCTGATTAGTTCCGGCGCTTGCTATTTAAGAAAACCAATTAGTTTGCCTCGTTAGATTCCAATTATGAAGTTTAATGAAGTCGTCTTGAATAGCGCCGCCATTATCGGTCCCGGAATTAGGTGTACTTTCYTCGAAAGCGTCAATAATTCGCGATTCACGTTGCGTTTGTCTGTTGTAAATAAAACAGAAATCCGCACCGCRGAAAGCAAATACCAGACGATGCGTTTGTAAATTTTACATCAAGTCGACAAAAGGTGACGAAAGGAGTGGTGTTTGTTTCTTATTATCGCATGATCCGGGGGATTTGGGATAACTTTGTTTAGGCCCATCTTTGGTAAATCCAACTTGGAAGCTCGAGGAATATTTGATTCAAAGCGGTTTGCGTGTAATCCTTCCGAGGAAGAAGTCTAATGCTCGTAATAACGCAGTGGTTAGGATGGGGGAAGTTGGACAACTGGATTTATCCGCATTTTATTAACAATTAATCTACTTTAGGGGAAAACCAAAATTTTTGAATTTTTTGTTTAAATTTCAAAAAATTAAGACAAATAACTACTTATTTCAATATTATGCGCAATTTCTCTTGTCATATACAGGGTGATCCAGAGTTCCGTAACTTCTTTTCTATCTAAGCTATCGACTTGATTTTTTTCTAAACGATAGGTCCTGCAATAAAGCACATTTAAAAAAATATTTTTATTTAATACAGAATGTTTGAAAATAAGATACACAATTAAGTTCTCTTTTTTTTAATGTAAACCCCCAATTTTTGTTACATTTTTGAATTTGCTACTAAATTGGCGATATAACGCACCCAGTTTCTTAGAATTATCTCTATTAGTTTTTGACTTATGTAAATTTATGTGTCAGAATTATTCAAGATAACGTAACCAACTTTTTTTCAGTCGATTCTTCAAATTTTAACGCATATTTTGAGATAAAGGCGAACTGTGAGTCGATATTTCATGGCTTCGTACGATTTTTTTAAAATGACAGATTACAACTGGCAATACCTCCACTTTTTTTAAATACAACACTTTAATTGCATGGCATTTTTATGAGCTTTATTTTGTAAAATTTGTAAGATTTTTGCAAAATGAGAAATGTTGATGTTTTTTTTTTTGAAAAGAAAACTAAAAAGAATATGTTTCAACAAAATGAAATTGTAATAGAAACAGGAGTAAATCACAAAGGAAACAATTTTAGTAATTTTTACAAGAACAGGAAAGGATGATTGACATGTAAAATTTTGAGAAAAGTCTACTTGTACATGCTGGGAATTCTAACAACGATATTTACCTAAAATTTTGTTTATAGCCATAGTCGGCTAAGTTCTGCTTAATGAAAATATTTTCAAGATGGGGGTACTTTCTGTTACACCGGAAGTGGATATCAACTTCGTTATTTTAAATAAAAAGCTATGTTTTTTATTGCGTTTTCGGATTACTCAAGTGATTTTGAAAGAGTTTCCATTAGTCTTTCCTATGCCTAAGTTTAACCGTTTTCGAAATATTCAGACTTTAAAAATTTTTGGATTGGAATCTTCTTATTCGAAAATCGATAACTCTACCATTTTCTATTATGGTGAAACCGTATTTGGGTATACGAGAGAGAAAAGTTAGATCTTTCTTTTGGTTTATTCAAAATTGTAAAAATAATAAACAAACCGCCAAAATGTCAGGTTACGTTTAGGAAACGTATTTACGAAAAGATTAACATAATTGTGAAAAAAAACTTGGCGTTTCTTACTTGAGAAATATTTCCATGCCAAACTATGCGAAAACGATACCATGGATAGTAATGAATTTCTTCTATTGTAAAAAAAAGTCAAAACAACTTGGAAATTATTAAATTTAGGTATAGGGAATGTTGATACAAATCGATGCAGAATTAAATTCTCTTTCCTTTAGTGAAGAAAAACTTAGGGCCTACAATTTGAAAAAATTCAGTTACAGATATTTGAAATTTCCCAAACGTAACCTTAAATTTTGGAGATTTGTTAATCATTCTTCTAATTATAAATACACGAAAGAAAAGCGCTAACCTTTCTTTTTCATATTCCCACATACGATTTCAAAATAATTAAAAATACTAGAGTTATCGATTTTTGGAAAGGAAGATGCAAATTAAAAAAATTCAAAAAAGTATAAATACTTTAAAAACGGTTACATTTAGGTATAAAGAAGTCTGATAAAAACTCTCTCAAAATCAGTTACTTGAGTAATCCAAAAACGTAATAAAAAACATAACTTAAGTTGATATCCATTTCTGGTGTAACCGGAAGTGCTGCCATCTTGAAAATGAGCAGGATCTAAACGATTATGGCTATAATCAAAATTTTAGATAGATATCATTGTTAGAACTCCTAATACTTCTAATGTGGGGTTTAGCCAAAAGAGCCGTATGTTGAAAAGTGCTTCTTTATATTATAAATTGATAATTTAAAAACGAATTTAATAATTTTTACTTAAATTCCATGTTTATGAAACACAACAAACTTTTTTTTCTGTATTGATTTTTTTATTTTGGTTTGGTTGTTTTTCATTCTCGAATTAAATCCATTTTGTCGTGCATCTTCACGCCCCTCGTTAATTTTATAAAGTTCAACTTGGCCTGTAATGTGGATTAAGGGAGCAGTGACTAGGCTAATACCCATCTCACATCGTGCTCATTTCGCCGAAAGTGTTTAATAAAAGCCCTCTAGAAACCTCTTCCAGTGAAAAAACTTCGAAATTCGCCTTCTAAACAGTCTTATTAGATTTTTCCTGTGATAATTTCGATATAGACGATTCCGGGCTTACGTGAACGAGCAACTAATTGCGCGATTCGCCTCAAGTTCCACTAATTGCTTACTTACCAGCCCGCTGGGAGATGAGTAATATCTATTGCTGCACTTGCTGTAAACACTAAAGTTTGTTTGATGCAATTCGAGAAGCTGAATGGCAATTATTGCCATATATTTCAAGATCATGACGAGCTTACATGTATTTTACTCTTTTCTATGGACGAGTATTGAGCCGTTCCATTTTCCCTTTTTCGCGGGATTTAGACAGATAGCTTTACTATTGTGTATTTGCCGTTTTATTGTGACTTGCAGCGTGAGAGATTTTACATAATGTCGATCGTGTGTTTCAATGAAGGGGAGAATTCTCTA